CGCCCTCGCGGACATTTATACAAATCGATCTGCAGGATCCACCGGTGGTCTGGAATCAGCTATTCAAGCAGCGGCACTATTACGATGACAGTTTGCTGTACCGACCTAGTAATACCCTGCACTTTCAGTTCCATGTGGGTGACACTAAGTTGAAAGATTCACAGGTCCGTATGTTGAATCGCTACCAGGAACAGGCTAAGAGCCAATCCACCAAACTGAGCTCTGATTTGATGGCCCACCTATGTGAGGAGAACCCCCCAAGGTTCCTGGTGGATGACACCCTCTATCGAACTGTTTGCCACAAGGATTTCCAAAGCGTGTTCTTCGCCCCCATGAATCCGGATGAGTTCCAGGGCTTGCCCACCAGACGTTGGCTAAAATTAAGCCTAAAGCAGCTTCGTTTCAGCATGCATCCGCAGCATTTGGAGGAGCATAAACTGGCCCAGCAATTGGAGGATCTTTTCGATGTTTACTGTCATCAAAAGAGACTAAGGATCTGTAAGAAACTAAGGGAGGAACTAGAAATTGCACGGCAGGTGGCTCTTAAACTGCTCGCCTCAGCTGGCGAGGATCAGACGGCTGAGGTGAAGCGCCAATTCAAGCTCACCCGGCAGCTGAGGCAACGTTACTACTCAGAGTCGGCTGCCCAGCGTAATCTTCTGCAGCGTTTGCTGGGAGAGTGGGCCAAGCTAAAGGAACTGCGCCGGCAGCAGCGCTTCCAATGCACTCGTTTCCAGCTGGGTCTTCGGGTGGTCCATCCACCCGACCTGGAGGCCTCCTATTCCGCGTGGAAGGAGAGCTTTGAAACGGATCTGGCCGAGGTTTACCGCGAGCACCTGGAGATCTTTTACACCCGACTGCGACTCTGGAGCGAACAAGACTCCAGGAGCCGTAAGTCGCCTGGCCACTCGAAGCCGCCAAGGAAACCCCAGTTCGATCGGGTAATGGCCAGCCTGAGGAAGGATTACGACAAGGCCTTCAAGGACCCGGAGGAACCTTTTGTGGAGGTCTTCCGCCTGCATTCGGAAGAAGCGGCTGCCAGGTTGTCCATTCCAGGCGGCGATCAGGTGCCTAGGGCGCGCAACTACTTTCTCAAGATCTTCCTGGACGGTCAGTTTGTGGGGCAGAGCAGGAGCTATCGCCTGGAGCCGGATCTGCTGATAACCATCAACGAGTGTATTGGAGTGCTGCTGGAGAGGACCCTGCCGGAGAAGCTTAACATATGGGTGTGTATTCGTTTTTATTACGTTTACCTCTAAATATAAAATGTATCTTGGTTGTTTACTTGTCTAGCTCTATGAGAAGTCCACATTGACACCAAAGAGTCGCCGTATGGCCCAGATGAGCACAGCGCTCTTGTTGAGTTCCAAGGAGGATGCAGTGCAGGAGAAACTTAGTTTCCAGACTTCCTCGTCCTCCAACCAGTTGGCAGGTGATGTTTACCTATACTACGAGTACCGAACCGCAGAGGGAAGAGGAGGTGCCCTCCAACTGGACGATGTACAGAGACTTCCGGATGCACTGCGTCAGACCTTAATGCCGAAAAGACTCACCGCTTTGCCAGAAGCCTCAAAAGAACTGGTTAGTCCCAGACCACCCAGTGGAAGGATCAAGAAGAGCACGCTGCCTCCACTGATCTTCGCTGAACAGCAGCTCCTATTCTGTGGCATTGAAGAGCTCCTGGAAAATCGACGTTTCCAGTTACTTTACTCACGTCACCAGCAGAAGAATATGCACACCAAGCAGCTGCGCTTTGTGCCTGCCCTGGAGCACGAAATCTCGGAGGAGGAGCAGCTACCGGATGGCCTGGGAACTACTCAGCTCCTGGAACCGGGCACCTACTGGAACCCCATCGATCTGCACAAGCATCGCGGAAGGAAGTTCCTCCAGCTATTGTACGAGGTGATCAGCAGCCACAGTGCCAGGAGGGCCAAGGCCATGCACACGCCTCTGCCGTTGCTCCTCCTTGCCGAGGATGCGGATCACTCCACCGCCACCGGTTGGACGGCTCTTTGGCGTGCTATCTGCTCCGTTTTCCAGGGTCAGCCCTCTACCCTGCCCAGGGAACCACCCGTTTGGTCGGGCCAGATGTCCGGCCCAGATCTGTTCAAGCTCTTCAGCGTTTCCCTCCACGTGGTGAGGGCCACGGGGGTGCCAGTGCGCAGTCGCCACATCCTGAATCTCAACGAGCGGCGCACCAGCACTGGAGGCGATATAAGCACCAGTCTGTTCGTCACACAGAGTGAGTAATAATTGAGTGGTAATCTACATAAGGGGAAAAAATAATATAAAATCAAGCAACGTTTTAATAATGAAATCATGGGTTTATAACCATTTAACTTCTTTTAAAAGATTTCTCAATGACCCACTGACTGAACCCAATCAATGTTTTGATAAGGAAATATGAGATTAAAGTGACTCACTTAATGTTAGAAACGGATTTTTTAAAAAAGAACAATATAAAGGTACGAGAATAATTATTATAATCTACCAATCAAGTTTTTGATAATGAAATCATGGGGTTAGAATGACTCATTTAACTAAAATGTTCTATAACAAACCTCATAACTTTTCTTAAAAGAATAGGGAGGGGGATTCTTCAATGGATTTTGTAGTTTTGTACAATCAAAGTTTTGATAATGGAATTATGATGTCAAACCTCCAATCTTCCCAAATGTGATTTATACATCGATTATAATACAATACAACGCCTTCTACCCCATAACAGCTCTCATGTACTCCAATGTCCGACCCTTTGTGACCCTGAGCTATGGACAGCGTTTGTGCCGGAGTCGCACCGCCGAGGGCAGCAATCCCACCTGGAACGAGCAGCTGCAGCTGCAGATCCACACCCAATTCGGCGATCTTCGCGAGGACCTCAAGATCAGTCTGTTCGACGAACTAATAGAGCAGCAGTACAGCGATGAGGCATCTGATGTGTATCAGCGGGTTCAGTGCAACTGGTTGGGGGAATTTCGGGTGCCTATCAACAGTCTTCTAGCCAGTCGGAAGGTGAATAATAACTTTTCAGAAATTATTTGTTTATATAACCATATAATATTCTTAGTTTGAGGGCTGCATCGAGATGGCAATGCCCAAAGTCTTGGTGGGCTATAAGCGACCTTTGATAGACTCGGTGACCAACATGTCAACGGATCAGTATCCCGAGTTCAAGGAGGCAGTGCATCTGTGGTTCTACCTGAGCATCGAGCCCGGTGGTGGAGACCTTCTGCCTTTGCACTCGAGTGCCTTGGCCTGTGCCGAGAAGCCAGAAATGATGCAGTATCTCAGCGAGAGGAGATTGGAACTCCTGCAGCTGTTGCCCCAGCCACAGCGCTATGTGGAACCTCTGGTATGCACGGCCCAGGGGAAGAGGGTGTGCCTCACGAGACTTCTGGATGCAGTGCCCCTTCCGCCAGCGGCGGCCTCTGCAGAAAATCCCCTGGAGAGCTCATGTCGCTTTGTGTCGCTTCTTAGCCAGTTCCGCAGCTATGATCCCTGCCAGGGATTCCGTGGCGTTTGGCTGGACAATCAAGCGCTGCTGGACAGCACTTGGTGTTCGGTCAAGGATCTGGGGGTCCTGCTCTGCAACTACCTGCTTTCCTTGGGCCTGGAATGCTGGCTGATCCTGGGCGTGGCCTGTCCCCATGGCGAGTGTTCTTTTGTCCTCTTTCGCCAGCCGGAGACTGCCGAGCTCTTCCTTGTGTCCCCCTCGAGTGGCAAAAGATATCAATTGCAGGATGTACATTGTCCACTGAGGCGAATATTTTGTATAGTGGGGAAACAGAATGTAAGTTATCAGAGGTTGCTGCCATTTCCTTGTATTATCACGTAATATTCATTAAATCCACAGATCCATTTCAATATTCAGACGGAAACCCGTGTCAGCATGACCAATTTTAATCTTCACGATGGCGCCTGCTGGTTTCCACTTTTCAGCCGACGAGTTCCTGCCCCCCACAGTGGGGTCCAGAAGATGGACTATCTGTACAAGAGGAGCTACGATCTCAGCCAGTTGCAGAAGGACATTGAGCGAAAGGTCATGAAGAAGATCAGTGCCTGGCGCACAACTCGGAAAACCATCTGGAATCGGTGCGTATTTCCGTCAACTAATTATAGATTATAAATTACCTATAACATATGATTGTAATCCACAGAGCCTTTCAACCGCGACTCCAGAAAATCCTCAGCGATATGGAAAACCTTTCCACTTTTTCCAGAGGTCGCTATGATGAACCTGTCTACAGCGAGCAACTAGAACGGGAGTTTCCAAACTACAGAGTAAGTTTTTTTATGCTAGGGAGATATAAATAATACCTAGAAGAATTTAACTTTATGTGGTAACTCTCCATGACTTAAGTTGTTCACTCCCTGATTTGTATGTCAAGATAGGATTTTATTCGAAACCCAACATTGTAACGAAAAGTCGAAACCTTAGAATTTTCCACTGTTAGGGATTCACCCAGTGAATCTATCAGTTACTCGTCACAAACATACACCTGGCCTACCTCACCCCACCTCATCAATCACTATCGCAATCGATCACTAACCCTGTTTTTCTACACAGCTCTACGGCTTCACCCTCAACTTTGCCTACACCAATCTGGCGGCGATATCAGAGCGCATCCGGACCACCTGCATCCACTACAACCACGACGCCTCGGTGGAGTTCTGTGTGGCGGTTCACCTGCACGCCCACGCCAACGACGTGCTGTCCGTGTGGCTCTTTCTGCTCTCCGTGGTGCCACTGGTGGTGTGATTCACCAATCACGCATCCAATCGCAAATGCCAGAGGCAATCCCCATGCCATTAGAGATTCGGGGTCGCTATCAGTTCAGTTTACAAGTGCAAGCGTAGCCGCATGGTCTGATTTTTATCGCAACGCCCAACTGTCGACCGAAGAGGCCGAAATGAAATCTATTTAATTTGGTTTACAGCCCGAAAAATGTATATATATATGTATTTATAGAAAAAAAAAAGCGTGTAGTTGTACGGAGTGATAAGGCGGTGACGGGGGCGCAGGTACCAGTACCTGGTGGAAATGGTGGCGCACCTGGTGCGGGGCTAGTTCGCCGCGCACCCCAGAACCGTCAACATCGATTTCACAAGCCCATGTCCAAAAGCATGTTCCAAAAGCTGTCCGAGGATTATGCGAAATTCAAGCGCTATGTGAAATGGCTGTATTTGCTCTACGAGCTGAACACACAGATCGCCATCTGTGAGCCCTGGGAAAAGGTGTTCCTGAGTAAGTAGTCCAGGGCTCATGTCCCCGGGAAGGGGGAGATTAGGACGTACATATCTACAAAGTAACAAAGTAACTTTGGCGCGATATATTGTCTTTACTCATCGATATCTTATCTCGGCCGGTCAGCCAGTCGGTCTTAGTCATTAAAAACCAGTCGACGAACAGCCGACCTGCTAATGGATGGCTACATAAGTCTCATCAGGTTATTTTCCTTCTTTTAGATGTGCTTCTGGGCAGCTTTGTTTCCCTAATTCTTTACGCATCCGTCGCTTTTGTTCCCGGCTATTGTGTGACTGTCTTCCACCTCCTGTGGCCAATGGAAACAATGCAAAATCTCAACCGCGCTTGCAATTCGAATATCGAGGGCTTCTGCGGCAACGAAAGTGGAGCATTAATAACATAATCTTAGTATAGCTTATCTTAATCAATAAATAATTAAGAAAATAACGGTTGCGTTTAAATACCAGTTTAAACTTTTACAGCATTGCCAGGTTCAACAGGTAGAAAAGACAGCAATCTAGGTGGAAACCCGTGCTAACGATTGTTTAAAGTGATTAATCGATAGCTGCAATAAATTATCGAGTATTCCTACTTCGATAAACATTTTGTTTATTTTTTGAGGCTCCGTTTTGTTTAATTAATTAATTAATTTAACCATGTCGAACGACAAACGCACCGTTTATGTGGGCGGCCTGGCCGACGAGGTGACAGAGCGACTGCTGAACAATGCCTTCATACCCTTTGGCGATATTGCGGACATACAGATGCCGGCCGACTACGAATCACAACGCCACCGGGGATTCGCCTTTATAGAGTACGAACAGAGCGAAGATGCAGCGGCTGCTATAGATAATATGGTAGGTGAAATCAAGCAGGATGACACATACATAGATGTCTTACAATCTTCAGACACTACTTACACTTTCAGAACGACTCGGAGCTCTGTGGCCGCACAATCCGCGTGAATTTGGCCAAACCGGTGCGCGTTAAAGAGGACAGCTTCAAGCCCGTTTGGGCGGATGACGACTGGCTGCAGAAGCATGCGGGTGCCACACTGCAGCCGGAAGGCGATCCGGAGGCGGAGAAGGTGGAAACCCCCTCCACGGGGCCAGCAGTCATCGAGAAAGCTGAGAAACGCAACCCACAGGTCTTCTTCGACGTCCGGATTGGTGGCAACGATGCCGGTCGCATTGTGATGCTCCTCCGTGCGGATGTAGTGCCCAAGACAGCGGAGAACTTTCGCCAGTTGTGCACCCACGAGCAGGGCTACGGCTACAAGGGCTGCTCCTTTCACCGTGTGATCCCAGAGTTTGTAAGTTTGACAGCCTGGCTTTCCCTACAACCATTCCTAACCACTTCTCTTTAACAGATGTGCCAAGGCGGAGACTTTACCAATAACAATGGTACCGGCGGAAAGTCCATCTATGGCAAGAAGTTCAACGACGAGAACTTTAACCTGAAACACAATAGTTTCGGCACTCTGTCCATGGCCAACTCGGGGGCGAATACCAACGGCTCGCAGTTCTTTATATGCACCACGAAAACAGATTGGCTGGACAACAAGCATGTGGTCTTCGGTCATGTCATCAGTGGCGCCGAGGTGGTGCGCAAAATGGAGCGGTGTGGCTCCAAGTCGGGCACTCCCAGCCAAAAGATTGTCATCTACGCCTGCGGAGAACTCAAATAAAGACGCTCGTTTACCTAGTTTACTCTTCAACGATCGCATTTATTGAAAAATCCACTAAGTCATATAGGTGAAAAAGCTGCAAGCAAATCCTACTGGAAGTAGGTCCTGGGCTTCCTGAACGAGAACAGCTTCCTGTTGCCCTTGTGGTGGACACGCTGGACCAGTGGGAACTTGATCTTGGAGTCGTGGAACTGCTTGACGTGCACGCGGCGCGTCTTGGCGGCAGGGATGGAGTCCACCTTGATGATCTGGATGGAGTGGGCACGGGCACGGTGGCGGGCGCCCATGTCGCGGTAGCACTGAGTGACGGCACCGCCGACGGTCAGGTCACGGTACTCGCGGTACATGTTGTGGGTGCCCGAGCGGGAATCGTAGCGCAGCCAGATGCCGAAGTTCTTGATCTTCACGGGCGACGTCTCGTACACCTGCTTGATGGACACGATCTCGCCGGTGGTCTTCTTGAACTTCTTCAGCTGGCGCAGGAAGTACCAGAAACGGGACTTGGCCACGATGTTGTCGGGAGCGAAGATGCGCATCTTGTAGAGCGGCGTCTGGGGCTCCTTCTCGCTGGGCAGCTTGCGGCCCACGACCTCGTACTCCTTCAACTGCAAATGGGTTTGGGTTTAGTAAAAATGGTCTTGAAAAACATTGTAAACAAATGCGGACAGAAGTAGGCAAACAAACACACGCATGGCAGTTGGTTTTTCGAGGTTATGTTTTCGGCGACGCAGAGTAGTTTAAAATTAAATTTATGAAACGCCTTAAACGGTTCACATTGGCTGGGGTCGCTTTAGAACCTTTTAGAACGAATTTTAAATACTTAAGCTAAGTAACAGAGGTGATTTTCAAGAAAAGTTGCTTGAAAAACATAGGCGAGGGCACCTTGTACTCTTAAGTCCAGTTTTACACAAAAATTGCGTAGTTTTACGATTTCCAACGATTGCATTGCATGCATTGTATGTTTGCCTAGCTGTTTCACACATTTTAAACGCCAGTTATGATTGCTTAAATCATTTTTTCCTTAAATACTAACCAATCCCTTGGCTCTCATGTTGGACGTTCACGCGAAAAGGAAACGGAAAGAGCTTGTCAAATCGGGATGACACTGAACCTCGATTCAGGGATGGCAAACACTATCGATAGGTTAAGTTGGAGAGTGGTAATCACTAAGATCAGGTGAGCAAGGCAATTTGCAAGCACTTCCTTTACGTTTTTGATAATTAAAACTATAAATACGTTTATCTACTCCAATAGATTATATTTTAAACGGCTCTCGCCACTACTTGCCACCTATCGATATGTCTACACTGAACCGCTGGCCAACCTCGCAGCGGTGCACGTCGCAGGGTTGCACTTTTGGCAGTCACACCAGCACGCTGCGCGAGCTATCGAACCATCGCCCATCGCTAGCTTCTGCGCGTGTTTCAATGGCCTGGCTGTAAAAAAAGGCGAAAAATATTGCTTAAAACTTGTTTTTCACGCGTAATTCGAGCTCTCCCCGCAGCCAAATTGTGAAACACCCAATCCCCGTACAATACTCCAAGTGTTGCAACTAAAATACGGCGGAAAAGTGCGCGCACAGAGTGAGCAGAATATAAAATGCAAAGCGTGGACGGCGACGTGCAAAAAGAAGAAAATTTTGTACCCCTCACGAGAGACGCGCAAAAAGGCGAAAAGACGAGTATTCCGCATTGTTCGTCGGGACCAAGCTAAAAAGCATTGCGTGCAATTGTGAAATCCGCTTGCATAACGCAGCCGAGAGTCCTGGTCGTTTATAAACATTTGAAACCAGGCGTAAATTGTATAAGTACGCCGAGGGGTGGGGGCACCCCTTCTCCGTCGCTGTCTCCGTCTCGGCCAATCCAATCCAATCCGCTGGGCAAAAATCTCTCGGCCTCTCGGTTTCAGTTTCGGTCTCTTTTTGGTTCAGTTCAGTTGTTCAGTTGTGCAGCGAACTTCCGTGAAATCGGTTGTTGTTTTGGCTACGTTCTCTCTTTGCGGTTTGCGCGCGTAAATTCGTCGCTCTCTCTCTCTCTCCCCACTCTCTTTCTGCCGCCTACAATTTGTGGGAAAATTCTACCTAAGCAGGGGTACAGCAACAACAGCAAAAACAAATACAGGAGGAGAGGAGCAGGTAAATAAACGTGCATAATTGCTGTACATGTGATTGTAGTGTCCATTCCAAGAATGTTTCAAGTAAATTCGTTTATTTTTAGCAGTAAGTTTCTCTCGCTGCCTTTTTGTCATTTTGCTACCATTTATTTTGGTATTTTAAATTATTTTGGCTTTAGATTTTGTACCAGGGCTGGGAAATTAAATCAAAAAACTCAATGACCGGTGATTTTTGTGGCATGTTTATGCGGTACAAATATAATGATCAAGAAAAATTCGTATAAAGCCCCGCATAAACGATACAAATTTGTTGACATTTCTTTTTGTTTTTCGTCCAAATGCCAGACCTAATATCTCACGTAATAATAAATTAATTTCGCTTTCAGCTGCGTATAGAACAACGAAAAGAGAAAATAGAGAGCGCGAGAACCGGAACGGACTCAACGCCAACGGCATGCAAAGGTAATGAATATAATAATTTTTGGCCCAAAGTGCGTTTAATCGATTAACGCTCTGATTGTTTGTTGTTCCCCCTTTTATGATTTTGCTTTTTATTTTGACCGTACAGCGTGTGAATGCAGAAAATATGATGGAAGCATTGGATCAGCAACAAGCCAAGCTAACGTCTAACCGAGATGATGGAGAAGCGAGAACAGGATCGGGAACGGGCTCTGAAGTGGGAGCGACCACTGGAGGAGGAGGAGGAGCTGCCGGCGAGGAAGACGACTTCGAGGAGCCTCATCATGCGCTGGGCCTGGCGGAGGAGGAAAGCGAGAACAACAACGCCCAGGAGGAAAAGGGCGAAGGAAAGCGGAAAAAGAGCGCCGATGACGTGATAGACTTAACCCTGGCAAATGGCCAGGACTGCCGAGACATGCCAGAGGAAGAGACAGAGCCGACAGAGGAATCTCCACTTGATGGGGGAGAAGCCACAATAACAACAGAGAACGAGGCATCTCTATTGGTTCCAGCAGACGCTGCTCCGTCATCCACATATCTTGTCAAGCAAGAGCTGGCCGATGATATCCCAGAGGAGCTCGTAGAACCTGCAAAAATTCCACATGAGGAGTTCTTGGGTGATATCAAACTAAAGACCGAAGTGGTTGACCAGGCCGATTTATTAAGTGATAACCAAAGCGAGTTCTTATCCGATGCAGAAGAGCAGCCAGTAGATTTTCCAGTCGTAAAACGTGTGTCTGAAGCCGCTGAGTCGGCTGTCGATATTCTGCCACAGGAAGCAGAGAGTGAAGAAATGGAAGAAAAATATTTCCCATCTGTCGATAAAGATTCCGAAAGCGAGGACGAGGAAAAACTGTTGACCACGCCAGTAATAGATCTGGAAACAGACTCGGAATGTGGAGAAAAGGAGTTCTTATCCATTAAAGATCCCAACAGTCCTGTTTTGCAGAACGAAGATGTAAAGGAAGAGTCCCAGTCCTCAAAAGATATTTATAAATATGCTGTTGGTGAGGATGTTTCCAATGCAGAACCTGAAGGGGATAAAGCACCATCGAACCGTGCTGACGAATCTCTTCTAGACGGATCCGATACAGTGGATTCTCCTTCGTTGACTATGGATGTAGATCTTCCAAGCAGCGAAGACGGAGGTGCTCCCTCGGATGTCATTAAAATCGAGTCGGATTCGGAAGATGAAGTTCGTAGTGTCAAGTTGAAGGAACCTAATGAAGAGGTCGTTCCGATGATCAAACTGAATGGGGCTCATCAAGCTTTGAAAGAAGAGAAGCAGCAGGATGAAGAGGAGAAGGAGCAAGTGGAATCCGAGCAAACGCCAGAGGAGCCCAAGCAACTGTCTGTGATAACAAACCACATTGGCAAGAACACAAAAGTGGAGGACTCAACCGCTCCACAGGAGCCGCCGCTTTCCCTGATTCTACCCGTTCGTACAAGCCGTAGCAGGAGCACAAGTAGCAGGAGCAGCACCGTGAGCTCTGCTTCGCAGCCCCAGCTGGTCATTGATCATCCGGAGAGCGAGCACAATGCCAGGGTGCAGACGCTGAAGCTTTCCCTGAAGCGCAGGCGCAGTAAAAGTTCCTTCGTCAGCCAACCCGAGAAACAAGCAAAGGTCGAAACAGGTAGCTCTGTCTCCTCGCTGCTCCTGCAACGCCTCCAGGGGAATCCCACTGTGGGCCCACCCGTGGCCCCGCTGGAGAGCCAAGTCCTAAATTGTGCAAAGTGCAATCTACAGTTTGAGTTCGAAAGCTTCCAGCAGCTGAACGAGCACCAGGCCCAGTGCACCGGTATCACGAGCGTCAGTACGAGCAGTTCTCAGCTGCTACAGAAGAAGGAGCGCTTCTTCCGATGCGCGCAATGCAGCAGTGTGCACCAGTGCTGGCACTTTTTCCTCCACATGCGAGAAGTTCACCAGCGCTACATTTGTCTATATTGCAACCACGTGTACCCCAGTGTGGAGAAGCTCTCGCTGCATCTAGAGAACAAGCACGATATCGACCAGAGCCACTTCGCCAAGGATGCGTGGGCACTTCAGCAGAAAACGGAGGATAGGGCAAGGCATCTCGTCTGTTGCACGTGCCAAGCCACCTTCGTGCAGGGCTCTGAGTTTGAAGATCACGATTGCTCCCAGCTCATGCAGCCATGTGCTTTGTGCGGCCAAAAGGGTTGCCATGCCATGGGCTGTAAGAATAACAAACGAAAGCCGATACGAAGGAAGAGAAAGGTGCGAAGGCCGCCGGAACTGCCTCCGCCTCCGCCTCCGCAGCAGGTGGTTGAACAACCCGCACCTATAGAGGTAATACCGGAGCAACCGTCATTGCAGTTGCCGCTGCAACCGGAGCTTGAGAACCCGCCACTGCAACCAGAACTTCAGAACCCCTTCCCGGTTGAAAACAGTAAGTAATAGCGCATTATTCATTAATCACATAACTAAATCATTCTATAGTTCCAGCGCCTGAGACCGTCGAAGAACCCCCAGCGCCTCCTGTTCCCAAGTTGGTGGTGCCCAAGATTATGTTACGCGTGCCCAAAGAGTTTCAGAAGTCTGTTGATGCAGCTCTTAGCAGCACGGATACGGAGGAAGAGGAATTGGAAACGACGCAAGCAATGGAAGAAGCTGTGCCTGCACCACCCGAGGACTTACCCTTTGAGGCACCACCTCCGATTCAGCCGCCGGTGGTCAGCTTCGATGACTCGACTTCGGCTAAGCTGAATCGCGTTCTTGCGGAATTGGAGCGCACCAAGCTGGACATTGAGCGAACCAAGGCGGATATAATCACTAAAAAGCAATCCAAGGTAATCATGGCCCTTGCACAGGTGGAAAATGTTGCGCCACAGGTGGTGGATCCTCCTCAGCAGCTGCAGCCACAGCAAGAGGAGCAACGTCGCTGGTCACTCACGCCTCCTGCGTCACCACACAACAATCACGTTAATCTGCCCGAACCTCCACCAGCTGTGATTACTGAATTTCAAGACCGTCCCGATGCAGTGCGTCGCAACAGCCTCGGTAGTGATTGCATGGACATAGATGACAGCTTGAATGGACCAGAAATTGAGGATAGTAGAGATCAGGCAAAGGAACAAGAAGAATCCGAGGAAGGAGCTCAACCTTTACAGGAAAGGTTACAGGTTGCAGAACCGCTTCTCATTGAGCCTCCTCCACCTGCCGACGGCATTATGGTGGCAGGAGCTGATACGCACACGGTGGATCTGCAATTGGATCGTCCTCTTGACCGATTCTCCATGGTTGATTTCGTACGTCTGTGCTTGAAATCTGTTTATGCTATGTGTCTGTACTGTAATCATGCTCGAAGAATCGCGGTGAATGGAAAGCAGCTGGTACTCCATATTATTAGCCAGCACCGGTTTACGGCTACAGTGGACAGCATCACGGCAGAGGAGCTGCATGCGGAGACGATTGTTGCGAGGCTAAAAAGCTTTCTCCCGCACCTAGAGAACGAGTATATGAATGCAGCCAGTTGTTGCAGTGTGGAAGCTGGCAAGTATGCTGAGCCGTTCAACGAGCGAATCTATGAGTGCTTCACCTGCCGCTTTGTGACCTCTACGCACAAGGAGCTGTACACCCACAATAGGAGGATGCACATCAAGTCGAACATAATGTGCGTCATGTGTCAGACGAACTTCTACAGCTACAGTGAGATTCTGTGTCACATTTGTCCGGGCGAGGTGGCCGGCAGTATTTATGACCTCCAGTTCCGGTGCTGCCTGTGCGAGATGGCTCCATTGCCTTCCGCATTTAGGCTGATGGTGCACCTGAGGAAACAGCACCAGGCCTGCGACATCTGTTTGGAGGATTGCCAGAGCCAGGCGAAGCTCTCGTCGCACGTGTGGAAGCACAAGCTGCTGCATTTGTGCTATCGGTGCGGTATTGCCTACCGCAACAAGCAGGACATCTCAAAGCATCTGTTCTGGAAGCACGGAACGGAGAGTGCAAGCTGCAAGCAATGTCTACAGAAGCGCTGGCGGCATGTCTACCACTTTTGTGTGCCGCCGGCGCAGTTTCCATGCGAGCAGTGCGGCTTTGTCTTCAGCAAGGCCATCTACTTGGAGGTGCACCAAAGGATGCACTCAGGAGATTTCCGCTATGCGTGCACGGAGGAGGGATGCGAGGAGAAGTTTGTGTCGCGAAAGCTCCTGCTCAAGCACGCCAGCAGTCATGTGGTAAAGGAACTGACCCAAGCAGTTCCCGAAGAGCCGACGAATGGTGATATTACGGCCCAAAAGCTGGAGGAGATCAAAAAGGAACCAGAGGCCGAAGAAACGAAAGAAGGAAATGAAAAAGAAGAGAAACTCTTGTCTGCGGCGGAAACCAATAAAGAGTCTGCAAAGAAGGAGGAATCGGAGGAGTCTGTAAAAGAGCAGACAGTGAGTAAATCTGAGAATCGCAAGCGGCGCAAAAAGTCTAAGCGCAACAAGGAATCCTTGGAAGACCTCAATCTCATCGCACCCAATCTCTCGGAGTCTGATAGCAGTGAAGACAGCGATTCCAGTGCACCGAGAAGCAGCCACCAGGAGCAGCCAGTTCTGCCTATGCGATCGTCTGTGGATGACCTGGGCATGCCCAAGGTTATGCTCTCCCCATCCTCGGAAAGTGATGCCGACGAACTGGATGGCCAGCTCAAGCCGGAGGATAAGGAAACACTTATTGACGGCTCCAAAAAAGACACGGATTTGGATGCTAGCAAAGCCGACGACGAATCAGAGCCCAAAAAGGAGGAAGATCAAGTGGATGTCTCGATTTGGAAAAACTTGCTTCAAAATCAGTCGGTCATCCCGGAGGATCAGGCGGTTAAGGAGGAGGAAAGAGAGGCAGTGCTGGTCAATCAGCCGCCTGCCAAGCTTCATGTTGCCTGGTCTGATCACGATTACTGCAAGTTGCACCGGACACCACCACCATCGCCCGTAAAACAAAAATCATCCGGCAAGGCATCGACCAAAACTCCAGGGCAGAATGCCTCAAGCGATAGCGACAGTTCCAGCAGCTCCAGCTCATCGGACTCGGATTCTTCAAGCTGTTCCTGTGGCTCAAACTGTAGCTGCAGTTCCAGCAACAGCAGCAGTTCCAGCGATGACTCCGACGATTCGGACAGTTCCATCGCTCGAGGATCGCCCCAGAAGCGGTCGCGCAAGAAATCGCTAAAGCTGAAGAAAAGCACAGAGTCACTCAAAAACGGACAGCAAAATGATCGAATTCCAGAGGACGACGATAAATTGACTGCCGTGAATGAAAACCATAATTCTGGTGCTCCACCATCGCCGAAACCACCGCTGTATAATGAGTCGGATTTCGATACTGCTTTCTCGGATACAGATGAAGAGTTCTACGACTCCCATCCACAGAAACTGGCCAATGAATTGCTGGCTCAAAAACGCGAGGCTCTCCTGGCGGAGCATGCACCACTGCGTCCGAGCAACAATTACGACATTGTGGAGAACAGTCGACCTTCGACGCCATCCCTTCCTGAGGAGGCGTCTGCTTTTGCAGATAAGCGGGAAAGGGTGAGAAATAAGAAAAAGAAGCGGGAACGCAAGTCTACGTGTAGGTCTGGCAAGATGCCACAGATGGCTAGTACACCTCTCCCCATGGACAGGATGATCGGAATGCCTGGGATGATAGCGCCTTTGGAGCCACCCACTCCTATTCCGTCTCACCAAGAATCTTCTTTATTTCCCATCACCCCACTAACCCATCGCCATTTGCATTCTTCGATGACCAGAATGAGTGAGGGCAGCAGTTGCTCCGATGCCGATGGCCAATTGAAGCGCTCGAAACGTCAGCGAAGACCCAACAAGTTCTATGGCTACACGAGCGACGATGAAAACATGAGCACCATCCTTGCACCACCACTACAGGTGGGAATGCAGCTGATAAAACCACAGCCGCCACCACAGTTGACCTGGGCCAAGGAGGATCTGCCCACACCGCCCAAACAGCGTAATAGGAATAACAACAATAGTCACCACCATCACTCGCACAGCAATGGTGGAACCGGCTTGGCAGGATCGTCGCGGAAGAGGAGTAAGCAGCGATCGCTGATTGGAGCAGGAGGATCTCGCTCGGCCAAGCGCCACAAGCCAGATCGAGAAAATCACTTGCCACCCATTCCGACTCTCAAGATTCGACCCAGCCTGCTGCCTGCCACAGCTCCGCCGACAGACAGCAGTGACAGCAGTTCTGATGAGGATGATGCGGAGATTAATGTGACCAGTTTGGCAGTTCCGCAACCAGCACCTCCTCCAGTTTTGCCACCGCCTCCCCCGGTGGCTTTGCCGGTTCAACCACCTCCACCGCCTCCTGCTGCTACTGCTTTTAACCAACCCATTCCACCTGCCCTGCTGCCTAATCCCGGGTTCGCTACGCTGCAGTACTTCAAGGCCAACAACATTCGGTATCCCATTCGACCGCCGGCGGGAGCGCGTCTCGCTCGCGAGGGAGAATCCGTGTACTGCTACTGTCGCTGTCCCTATGATGAGGTCTCCGAGATGATCGCATGCGACGGGGACAACTGCCTGATTGAGTGGTTCCACTTCGAGTGTGTGGGAATCATGGTGGCGCCGCAGGGCAAGTGGTTTTGCGCCGAGTGCAGACCTAAGTACTCGGAGGGAATCTATCAGGGCGCCAAGCCGCAATGAAAGGGGGCGGCTTAACTGCATCATTGCTTCCTCCTACCACAAAAAAATCAACTATAACTACAAACCCCACTACAGAATGGATTACGCTTATTAATTGATAAAAACATGTAGTCGCTTGTTCTCGGCGATCAACTGAGAATGAGATCTATATCTTATCTAAAAACTACTAAAAAAAAACATCTAGAGTAATAAAGTAACGTATTGTAAAAATGGAGGGAATATTGTTACCCCAGGCTCAAAGAGGCTCTCCGAGGAGAGCCTAAGCTAAGCTAATGCTAATTTAAATATCTGCAAAAAGCTTATCAAGTAATACATATATATTTCTATATCCACTTAAATTGTATGTAAATATCGATGGCTGCATATTTCGTATGCAATTTGTAAAATATCTAGATTACGCGAGAGATCCCATAAACACTTAGGAAATAGGGTATACACTTATAAATAGAAGTCCCCAAGTATAGTACATAACTAATTCTACATATATATATAATGACTATGATTAGAAAACAAACAAATCGAAAGCCAGCTGCAAATCGAGATGCAATGGATTATGAGAAAATAAACATGCAACATTGTGAGACGTATACAACAAAAACTATCAAAACTAATTGTCCTAATTTGTTTGGTCACTACGGCGAAAGCGCTAATATTGGTTCATCAATTTATATGGTAATCAACGATGCATTGGGATATATAATTGGTGGGTACTGAAAAAGGATTCGGTTAAATGGATGGGGCTTATGAATAATAGATTTTAAATAATTAGAGACATGTGATGGATAATTCAATTATATTAGCATTGAAAAGAAAAGTATTTAAGTAATTCTTGTTAATCTAAAAAGTAATCTTTTCTCAAGCAGTTTGCCTTCAGGGAATTCCACAAATAAATCCAATACTTGTTAACCCACCCGTTAGGACTCTGGCTCTAATATCCTAGCAAGGAATTTCACGTTCCCGACTCTGATTATGCCAAAGTAAATGCAAATAAGCCACGACAAGGTGGCTAATGTTGTTGTAGTTGCGCACGATGAATGGGCACGAAAGGCGCCAGGGTCAGCAGTGGGGTCATCCACCATCAGCCCGGCCATCCATCCATCCACAGCCCTCCCGGATTCGGGGGAGTTTCGGTTTGTTTACCAAACAGCACGTAGATTTAATTGCCACTGTGGGAAGGAGTCGGTCGCCTTCAGCGAGTGCCTTTGGCGAGTGGAAGCAACAACCACAACGAAGTTCAATTACAGGTGGTGCCGGGGGTGTTCCTCGGCCACTGGCCACTAGTGTGCGTGCGTTGAAATTACCATAAATCTGATGGCTCGAATAAAAAAGGCTGCTCTGGTGAACTTGGGCAGCCAGTTCGTGTTGAGTTTTCGCGGCGAGCGGCGGTTAACCGGAAACGCGGACAGCCGGAGAACGGAATTTTGAATATAAGCCGACCTGCGTGTACGTAGTGCCATGTCCACGGGACAGCCAAGCGCTGAGCAAACATACGTCCCCCCGTCCTTCTTCTGGTCCTACCCGGCCAGTGGCATCTAGGTGGCCATAGCCATGGTTCGTCGGGCCTCGAGTGTTCCGCATCTGAACAGTAGTGGCGGCAGCAGTGCGGATAGCGCCGGAACGTCGGGCAGTCGACGTGGTCGGGCGCCCGTAGCCGGTTCCCGGGCGTCCCGGAAGACGCCCTCCTCGACGACTACCAGCCAGAATCAGCGCCAGAGCTCCGGGAGCAGCAGCGGCGTCCCCAGATCCCGCAGTCTGACCAACGGCATGCGTCGCCTGAGTCCCCAAAAGGGAACTGGGAGTAGTGGTGGCGGCGGAGGAGGAGGTAGCTCCCGCAACACCCCGTATTTCCTGCGTTCCCGCGAGAATGAGTAAGTGCGGGATAAGGATTGCGATGCTTCCCACCGTAATCAATAGGCGATAAGTTGTGAGCAGTAAAGTCTTTTAAGACAATTTTTCAGGATTGATTGAGTTGTACAACCACCACAGGTTCAGCAATAATCTATTTGGATAGGAAAGCTTAACATTAACCGTACATTGTCTACTGTACCTTTATATTTGGAACTTTATAGCGATAGGAATATTAGTTTTTGTGAAAAGTTTCACCATTTAGACATTGACTACTGTACCTTTATGTTTGGAACTCAATAGCGATACGAATACTAGGTGTAGTACAAAGGTTCACCATTTAGACATTGTCTACTGTACCTTTATATTTGGAATTTTAATAGCGACAAGAATATTAAAACGCCTCCTTTGTAAAACCTTGGTAAAGTCGTAATATAGACCATTATTTATTGAAAGTGTCTATATGGGGTACCGAGTAAATGTATTAATTTGCATCAGAACGCGTGGCAGGGCGAGAAGCGGACAAAGGGTAGGGGTAATGATAACACGACAGCCCAGGAGGGGCTCACCCCTAACAGGCGATCCATTAGAAACCGTCGAGGCAAAGGAAATGGATGTAAGGCACAAGCCAAACCATAATGACCACGCACAATAATCCTAGAGACTGACGGGCGGACAGGCAATCAAGCGGACAGACAAACGGACGAGCAGTTAGCCAGACTGACCGGCCTCCGCTTAAACACTTTTTGTGGAACGAAAACGGAGGAGAGTATGGCCGGAGATCCGGGGGTTGAGTCTCGAACGAGCACGGCACAAATCGATTTTGCAATTAAAGCATATTGAAGTCTATAGCCGTATATAGTATGCCTGTCTGTGTATGACCGGAGACGAGAGCGAAAGTGACATATTGATGGTAGTTTTTATTTTCGATGTGGGTTCAGGTGTAGCAGCCACAATGGAGTTAAGGTTAAGGACCCCAGTTCCTCAGCAAGTGGGTTAAGCGCCAGTTTGTGACTTGCCTCGGTCTCGGAAGGACCATTAATAATTTAGAGAATAAAAACTGATTGGTAGGTGAAAAGAAAGTTTGAACCAGAGCTGCGTTAATCCTAATTATCCACAGAATAATATGATGAACATTTTTTTTTGTTTATATTCCCCGACTGCTAAATATTAATTTCAACGAACAAGGCCACAATTGACACCTTTGTCAGTTGGTAATTTAATGAAACGGCTGGATATACGGAACCTAAGTTTATTTTATAGATACGATATGATTAATCCCACCAGGCTAACGGCATTATGGGCGTTATAATTATTTTGGAGCACGCATGTGTTTCAGTCTTTTGATTAATTAATGCGTTGATAGCCACTTGATTGACGACACACTTTGGAATCCAAAGTGCCGTAGTCCGTCATACATGAAATAGATAATGCCAGAAAATTTCCATACATTAGTTAGTCAATTTTTAGGCCAACATTCCGAAAGTGAATTCGCGTGCGTTGTTGTAAGTTTACAGTTTAAAAATCCATACGGACTACATAGCGTTCATATCCGTATAGATTTTCTGGCATGCACAACACGAGTTAGGTCATAATTACGCCCCCGCTGATAATCAAGCCTGACATTTCGTTGCCTAAACTTTGCATGGCTAATAAATATCTCCCGTAGGCGGCTCCGAAACCGAGGAACTCGCATTTGGATTCGGATTTCATGCCTGGGAAATAAAAGTGAGAGTTCCATTTTCTTACTCCCTACACTTTATTTGATTGGTAAACAAGGGTCCCAGAAAAACCCACATTTTTATTGTTCATTCGATTCAACCGGAGGTGCTTTCTTGTTGTTTTTAAATCCGTGCTGGGCAAATATTTGATATTTACTCGAACCAAGTTTCAACAATTCTTACAAGTAGGCTTTTATTTGCTCAGGCTTACAAACACGTTAAGGAGAGAACAAATAGAAATTGCTACAAAATGACTTAGGAAGTTAGGTATTCTTAAAACCATTTTCTGGACATTAAGGTGAACTAATAGAAGGATAAACTATTTTCCACATCCATAGGTTTACTGTGTTTAAAACCGCTTTTAGTTTATTCCCTTAATAAACTATTTTTTACTGTCAAAATGCAATATAATGACACGAACCATAGTATGTTTTTGTTTAAACAATTACAAAAACCAAAATTAATCGGAGTCCAATCTGAAATTCAAGAACCACTTGAAACAAAATCAAAACTTTCGCTTTTAGCTAAACCTTTGTAGGGGTTATATTGGTCAATCAATTATTTAGGATCGACTGGGGTAGAGCAAAAGTTGATTGAACTTTTCTGAGCGTTAGCTTCTCAAGTCGCCACTCTGGGCTTTCGTGTTAATTCCTTTCTATTGGCGCCTTCTGAAATATTTACCAAGAGCACACGGCAGGCCCAACTCATGTCTGATTAATAAAGGCAGAGTGAAGCTTGGCCCATTAGGGCATGAATGTTTAACAAGTCATTTACGTGAAAATGTTAAATGTCAGCTATGGGCCACACACAATCACGACAAGATGCCACATCGCACATACGCCGTGTTGTCCGGCCTATTTGCAGTTCAATAAACTGTTTGTATTGGAAACTGTTGTTTGGCTTGTGGCAAACTTAGCTGGATAATTACTGGGTAAGCGAACAACTGGAAAAAACTTTTGGAAATCTTAGCCAATAATTACGGCTTTATATTTACATATTCCTTCAAAGCGAATTTGTTAATCCAATTGAAATGTGACCTCGACCCCTCCCAACTAAACTAATAGCGGATGAGTGTAAATGAGGTGGTCAAATGAAACAGAAAAACCCCAAAAGCCACGAGCCACGCCATCCACCCCTAACCTTGGCTATTTATAGGCCGATGAACGTCAGAACGCCATCAAGTTCAAGGCAATTCCACAAATTCTGGAAATTCGCAGGGGCCACAACAAATTGAGCTCATAAAACAATGGAAGCTTTGTTTCACTTTGATTGATTAACTGCGATTTTAGGCAAGCTGAGCGACATTCGGTTTCATGTTTAAGAACTGCAACCTTAAAATCAATGTTCTAAAAGCTATCCCCTCTTTGATTGATTTTCTGGAATTTATGCGATATTGTAAGGGACATTTGGGTTCCAAGTTTATCAACTGAAATCCCTAAAATTAATGTTGTTCAAGTTAATCATACCAAGTAAAGGTTTCCCGTATTTAAAGCTATCTAAGCGATCTTATCAACTGTATTACTAAATTACAGGACCCGTAAATACCATAAAATGAAAATACATTTTTTATCAATCACAATGATACAAAAATTCTCATCGTCCTTAATCAAACTAATACCCTCCATTAATTAATAATTATTTATCGTGACTTAGCGTCGATCCTCGAGTGCAGGCTAACATTTATCGGACAGGCTAACATTTGAGGACATTAGACAGGAACTCAGACAAACATACTTTGGATAAAATATTGTGATTCATAACATGATAAATAAATAAATATTAAATGTTAAATAATAATGTCAATTGAAACCATACCAAAGTACTGGGTCATTTGAATATTTATTTTTTTTAAATAACTCATTTTTCTCAGGATTGGTAGTGCCGATACCCTGGAGATCGTGGCCTCAAAATCCACGGGCAGCGAGGAGTGCTCCACGCCCGAGGACAACATAAATGTCGTGGTTCGAGTGCGTCCCCTGAATGACAAGGAGAAACGTGATCGTCACGGATCGACGCTCCAGTTCCCGGGCAACGGACAGGTTATAGTAAGTGTGTTCCTTCTTTTTGTTAAAATGGAGTATTAACGAATCCTCTCCAGTTGGAAGGCAACGATGTGGGCCAAAAGAGGTCGCACAATCGCGACAGCGTGCGCGTCTTTACCTACAATGTGGTCTTCGAGCCAGGAGCCACGCAGGAAGATATCCTGGACTACTCGGGCATTAAGCGCATTATTGAAATGGGCATCGAGGGATTCAGTTGCACGGCATTTTGTTATGGCCAAACGGGCTCCGGCAAAACGCACACGCTCACTGGACCACCGGACTTGGTCAGTCAGGATGAATTTTGAATCTTTAAATCTAATCTGAATCTATAATTTCATTTTTAGTTCATTGGCAAACCGAATCCCAAGGATCCACGCCATGGTCTCATCTTCCGCTCGTTTTTGTATCTCTTCCAATTGATTAAGAATCGCAAGGACGTCAACTACGTGCTTAAAGCCTCCTTCATGGAAATCTACAATGAACGGGTAAGCGGCGCCCATCGAGGGACTGGGCTTTAATTCACTTTAATGACATGGCTTGACCTCTGCAAATTCAATTTAAATCCAAATTGCATTTGCCATAATACTGATTGCTCGCCCGCAAACATGCATTGCATTGACCTCTATTTAATGGATGTCAGCACGCCCCACCCACCTAAAAATTGACGGATACGAATGGATGGACGGTTTGACCACCCACCTTTCGTGGTTTGTCACAATGCGTGAAATGTTTTTGCATTTTGCGTGGCATTTCCGATGATTTGTTTTCCTTAGCCCACCTGCCATTTCGTTATTGGTTTCGCAAATTGAATTGCATTTTTTATCTAAAGGTAATCGATTTGCTCAATCCTGGAAGTGCAAGGAAACCGCTGGCAGTGCGCTGGTCCAAGAAATCGGGTGGTTTCTTCGTGGAGAACCTTTTTACGGTGGACTGCGAGGAGTTGGATGATCTTCTGGCCGTTCTGGAAGAGGGTAGGTTCTACCTTAGTAGATATTGTAAGTTAATGGTAATTTTGGTATTTTTATAGGCATGAGGAATCGTGCTGTTGGCTCGCATGCCATGAACGATCACTCCTCGCGCTCGCACACCATCCTGACGGTTCACATCCTGTCCGATCAACAGACCGATGGCGGGGTGTTCCTCTCCAAGCACGGAAAGATCAACTTTGTGGACCTTGCTGGCAGTGAGTTGACCAAGAAGACCATGAGTGAGGGAAAAACGTTGGAGGAAGCTAATAACATCAACAAGAGCCTCATGGTTTTGGGTTACTGCATCTCCTCGTTGAGCGACTCCAAGAAGAGATCGGGTCACATTCCGTACCGGGATAGCCAGCTCACCAAACTCCTGGCCGACAGCCTGGCGGGGAATGGAGTAACCCTGATGATCGCCTGCGTTTCTCCTGCGCACTACAATCATGCGGAAACCCTGAACACCCTGCGATACGCTTCGCGGGCGAAGAGGATACGCACTAAGCCGGTGATCAAGATGGATCCCAGGGAGGCACTGATCCTCAGTCTGAAGCGTGATATCCATGCGCTCCAAATGGAGAACGACCACCTCAAGGCGGCCCTGAATCTTCATCATCAAGCGGCTCCGAATGGCGGGGCCGCTGAGAATCTCCTAGAACTTCAACTGGATAGAGTGAGCAGCAGCGGTGGTGGAGTGCCAGTGCCCAAAGTGGATCTGCAGCGACTACCAGAGCTAGATGGTTCCGAGCTGGCTGAGCTCGTCAAGCTATATATGGTGGAGAACGAGTCCTTGAGGCAGGAGAACAACCATCTTTTCACCGTGCGGGAGACCATCCTCAGGGATCAGGAGATCGTCTGCCGGGAGAACGAGCGGCTTCTAAAGAAACTGGAGGATGTTAACAAGTGAGTGGGGTAAATGATGTGTTTATCTAAATTAGGATAGTTTTGGGGTCTCCGATTGGTACTTAGTTCCTTCTCCAGGCCTGGCTCATTGTTCTCTCCCATTTCTGACTCGTTCTAGGTCGATACCGAACGGGAACAATGAGGACAATGAGCCAAGCAAGGAGGCCCAGACGAAGGAGTGAACCAATTACCTATACATTTGACGTTTTCTACTTTTTAACATGTTTTTATGAAATATGTATTTGTAAATGTTTTTTGAAAACAAGCCTAGAGTGTGACTAGTGTGTAAGGATTTGTAATAAAAGTTTGTTTCTGTTCCTATGAATCCGAAAAGAGTTATTGAAGTGGGAAATGGGAAAGCCCACGATATCATTTTAACGGCAGAACGTTTTTTCTTGGATCAGTTGTGTGATATTCTTTTTGTGATCTCTTACAGAGTGTGCGTCCGTTCACCTTTGATACCAGCACGCCCGGCAATATCTCCAACCACAGGAAAGGAAACGCCTGGTACTGAGATCTGGACCAATCCTGAGCCACTTCAGTCGCCACCAAGAGCGGATCTACCAATCGAGCAGCGAATGTCTGAGAATGCCGATAGAAGAACAGATACGGCCCAGAAAAGAATCGACCAGCAACGCATAGCTAAGAACATCCTGATAATGGCCAATGCATTCCGGAAACCGGACTCTGACTTGGCCAAGGAATTGAACCTTAATCAGGAAAAGGCACACGCAAAGCAGTCAAACGAATTTATGCCTGAGTAAGTCTAAAATATTTCCTAAACTATTTTATTTCTAACTTAATTTTAAATTTTAGCATGCTTACGTAATTAACTTTGAATGGATGTTCTTGAAAACTCAGAGATCAATATATATTTTTGCAATTAATGGAATTAAAAATCATATAAAATAAAACATATAAAACGCAAATGAAATGAACTCGTAGTTTTCTAAATGAAAGGGCTACAAATAATGATCCTGAAAGTCTGCTCCAAGTTATAAGCTGACTCTTAAATATATTGTATTTTTACAAACGCCTTTAAATGGTAATATTCCTGTTATATTATTTTATTTGTAGGTATGTAACAAAGTATATAATCCTGTAAGCTGAATATCACGCTTTCTGATCCAAAAATGGTTTAAACTTTTTTGCACACCCCCAAGAACTTTAAAGCTTTTAAAAACGGCCTGGAAAAGCCGGAAAATCGAAGCATCATCTCCAACGCGGTCACACTTTGGTAAATATTGATTTTTCAGCGCTCCCATAAGATACATCTGTTGAAGGTGAAGCGGTTACATATTTCCCCGATTACAAAAGCACAAACCCAACGAAAATCATCGAAAAGAAATCGAGGAAACATATTGCAGCTCCCAGTATCCGGCGGCAGTATTAGCATCCCAGCATCCACCATAGGTCTCGCGGAGACAGCTGTCCTGGACATAATGGCTGCGAATCTGCAACAGCAGCGCTCCATCAACCTGCAGCTGCGCCGGGAGGTGGAGATGGAGCGGATGCCCGTCTCGGAGGCCTGCTCCCTGATGATGAAATACATGCTGGAGCACGAGGAGGAGGACTGCCTGCTCAGCGGCTTCACCCAGAAGGTGAATCCGTTCCGGGAGAAGAGCTCCTGCAGCATCCTGTAGGTTCGGCAAACGACCGGATCCGTTCCTAACAGTATTATCCTATAAAGTATACTCAATTACGGCGGAGATCCCAATGCCGATCCCGTATATGTCGTGTAACCTATTTGCTGTATTCGATGTAAGTGTGCTGACCTCAAATGATGTCTATAAACTGAATATATACAATGGAATCGGGCGAACCGAGAATATTTATGAACGTGTAAACAAAACTCAAACTATAACGCCTGCATATGTGTGTATACATAAATATCGTGTATTTTGCTAGTCCTGTAGCTCTTTATTGGAGAATTCAGCAAACACCCTCTCTATATAGATGTTTCCTATTGAGATATTCCAGAAATAAAGCTATGTAGCCAGAGATTTTCATGTGAACGGAGGTTGTTTTGATTTCGTTGCGGTGGAATATTCAAAATTTTAGAGGCATTAAATTAACAAAATGTCGGCTGCAAAGTTTCGTGTGAGCTGCTCGACTTTGGGCTGGGCAATGCGAATGATCAAATCCTTCTCGGTGAATCCCTACTTTGTGTTCCTCGCTCAGTTCCGGAGTAATCTTCAAAAGCGCGGCATTCACCAACTGAAACCGACTTCCATAGCCAAAATAGCTGGGAGAAAGTGGAGAGAAATGACGCCTAAGCAGAAGTCGGTTTTTATTGAAATAGCAAAAATAAATGGCGCCAGGATTAAAAAGCGTGCTCGTCCCAGTGTTCCAGTTGGAGGAGTTACGCGATGCCGACTCAAAAGGGTTTCCAAGAATAGTTAATTAAATATCTGGCGAATATTCAAAAACACTTTCAATCTTATATTTTATTGTTTTTTAAGTCAAATCTATCTGATAACTTCCCGCCATCGTTTCAAATATTCCAAGATCGTTTAGCAACACATTCACTACAATGTACAGCTGTTAGCTTAGCGTTAACCAGCACTGGCAAAATCGTGGTTTACTTTTTACGGAACGCAAATAAATTTTACGGAAATCAAGGATGAGTTCGGGCTTTGTGACTGAAGCTGAAGCCGCAGAACAGCGGCAGAGACGCCAGGAGGAGTGGGAGCGGGTGCGTCAGCCTGAGGATCCACTGGAACGACCCGAGGAGCCTTACGACGGCCGCTCCCTGTACGAACGCCTCAAACAGAACAAGGACAAGAAAGATATGGAGTACGAGGAAGCCCACAAGCTGAGTAGGTCTTCAAAATTGACAATCCAATAGCTCTGCCCTAAAATACACCTTTCTGACGCATAGAAAACCTCATACGCGGCCTGGACGACGACGAGGTGCAGTTCTTGGAACTGGTCGATGCCCACAAAATGCACGCCGAGCGCCAGCAAATGCGGGATGAGGAGCTGGAGCTAAAAGACTTCCGCAATCGCGTTGAGAAGCTGCAGGAGGAGAGTGTGGACAAGGTAGGCTTATTACAAATTAATAGATTGGTCACATTCCTCTGAATTCCGTAAAATCCCCCAGAAACTGCAAGCAGAGCTCAAGACCACCGCCAAGTCCGCTGGAGCTTCGGGTGGACGCAGCACTCAGAAATCGCTGCTTGGCCAGGGCATCAAGCGAAAAAACGGAGAATTGCCCACCACCAGCAAGGTGGCAAAAATTGCCGAGGATGAGGTGGTCCAGCATACAGCCACGGATGAAGCGTCCAAGGAGCCGGCGGAGAAGACAACGAACACCACGCTAACCACAAACAAATACAATCAGGGAGCCCTAAAGTGCATCGCTGTACTGCCGGGCATCGGTTCCTACACAGAGTCCAGTGACTCGGAGGCCAGCACAGATGAGGAGGAGCCCGACCTGTGCAGCCGAACCGACTTGTGTGGCCGCAAAATTCCCAAGAAGAAGCAGTGCACCGAATAGGATCATCATTTTATTTGGATTCTTAATATGTAGTTTCTTTCCTTGCAAGAGAATATAGCCTAGAGTGTAAACGTAACGTATTACGTGTCCTTCTTCTTGTTCCGGTTGCGGTTCTTTACGTTCGTCGTCTCATAGAAGTTGCTACCGATCTTCTTGCGTTTCTGGCTGCGCTCAAGGGAGCGTTTCTGCTTGGCTGTCAACCGAGGGGCCTTGGAAGTGCTGGGTCCATCGTCGTCAGAGCTGCCGACCTCATCCGAATCTCCTGGCTGTATTTTGGCCACGCGGAATTTACCGGACGATGTGATGGCCAGTTGCTGGGTCTTCTTAGCCTTGGCCTTCTTGTGCACCACACGCTGCAAGTCCTCGTTGTACTCATCCTCCGAGTAGAACTCATCCGCTCCATCGCTGGACTCCTCCTCCTCTTCCCCAAGGTTGTGAAGACGAGCCTTCTTCTTTGCCGCCCTTTCGGCCTTCTGCTGTTCCAGCAGCTCCAGATCAATGTGGTCCAGCTCCTTTACATCCTGTTGCTCGTACTCAAGACCCACGCGAATCTTTCGGAAGTCCTGAATCTGCTTAAACTCACGCGCCTTCTTCACCGATTCGCTGACAAAGGTCGGAGCCTCGGACTTGGCATCTTCGTTGGCAACCTCGACCACTTCTTCCTCTTCCTTACCCTCCTGGGACTTGGGGACAGCGAATCCCTCGGGGGGAACGTAGAAGGGCAGCTTTCCGCGTTGCCAATCATTGAGCACCATACGGGCGGTTACCGTGACGTCCGGTTCGCCGCCTTTAAGCAACTTGCCTGTCTTTTGGGCCAGCTGCTCCAGGAAGTGGGTGGATGTGTTCCAGTGGTCGATTTTGTAGTTCTTGGAAATGTATTCCCGGCGCACGCGTTGCAGCAAAGAGTCTACGTAATCCTCAGGATTCGTGACCAACTCCACTCGCACAACGCCCTTCAGGACCTTCTCGGTGTCCGTTTCAGCCGTGGGATACACCACGCCAGGACAATCGATCAGGAAGATGCGCTTCATAAGGGTAATGTACTGCCACACCTTCGTCTCTCCCGCAATTGGAGCTACTTTACACACCTTCTTGGAGCGCAGGGCGTTAATAACAGAGGATTTACCTACATTAGGGTAGCCAATAAACCCCACGCTGATCTGCTTTTTGTCCAGATGCAGTTTACCCAATTGACGGAAGAGGTTGATAAGAGCACCTATAACAGAGGACATGAAATATCCCTTTCTTATATATATCCATATTTATTACTTACCCTTGCCGAAGGGATGTTGGAGGGATGCATGGAAGGCAATGGTTGGATATTCGGCACTGAGGATGGCCACCCACCGTTGGGTGACCCACACCGGCACCAGATCCACCTTGTTCAGAATGAAGAACAGATGCTTGTGTGGCTTCTCCTTGCGTAGGAACTCTTCGATGTACTTGGAGCGCGTGCCCATGGGATCGCGTGCATCCAGAACCTGGAGTAGCACATCGGAAGCATCTACAACCTTGTGCAGCTCGTTCCAGATGCGCTTGCTCTGTCCCGCACCGAAGACCCAATCCCGCACGGCCTTTTTCTCGCCGGTGTCCTCACGGATCAAATCCAAGTCCTTAGTGGAATCGTACTTATCAGCCTGATCATCGGCCGCCTTGCTCAGATCCTCCAGATCGCGCACTTTTAAGCTGACCCTCTTGCGCTGCTTCTTGGGTCCAAAGGTACTGTCGAAGCTCTCGGTGTCCAGCAGGTGAACCCTTTTGTACTTGGCCGCCTCGTTGAGCAGCGTCACCGGCAGCTGGGATGGCTTCATAATCACCTGGTAGGGATCCTTGACAGCCTTGCCGATCTCATCCTGGAACTTTTGCAGAGCCGATTGCGAGATGACACGGGAATTGCTGAACCACTTGGGCGTGGGCTCCACGCGTGCCATTGTTCCAGCCGGCAGGCGCCCCTAAAATCAAACACAAATTTAAATAAGTCATAATCATAAGCCATTCCCCTGTAAATGAGCATGAAAGTTCAGACGGTTCTAGTTATAAGTTCCTGACTTTATAAGTAAGTCTCTTGTTATTTCTTTTATATATGGAACCTTCTAATCATGTTGGGAATATTTATGTTTTCTAATTTTGTGATTCTATTTAAGAAAGATCAGGATACAACGCAAAATAAAAAAACGGCTACATTTTAAATTGAACAAGGGAAAATACCTAAATACCTACCTACACTCTACACAGTCCTTTTAGGCGGCATCTTTATCTATCGAAAGCTTTTTAGAACCCGGCTGTGATCGATTACTGCAGGTATCGTACTGCCATCTCAGCCCTTTTGCATTATCGAAGTGCAACAAATAAAATGGATTAGTGTGATTTACACGTGTTTTTCAAGAAAAACAAAGAATATTCGAGAAAATTTTAACTAGCTGTCACAAGTTCAAGCTAAACCCTATCAACATGAATCCGGGATCGTCGAGGCCAGGATCCTCCGGCTCTGATGCTTCGCTGTCGGAGCAGATGAAGCAGAACATTCGCAAGATGAACGACCTGGTTGGGGAGTTGCAGGAGGAGAAGCAGAAGGTTGCCAGTCTGCAGCAGGAGAGTTCCGGGCGGAAGCGGCAGTTAGAGGAGAACAACGCCACTCTGGAGAAGCGGGTGCGCCAGCTGGAGCATCTTAATGCGCAGTTGGAGCAGTTCAACAGCGAGCGCGAAGGCATATTGCGGCAACTACAGGAGGAGATGTCCAACTACGCGACGATCCAGGATAAGTTCCACGAGCAGGAACAGTCCATGCAGATGATTGTGCGCGAGTTGGAAGATGACCGCCAGGAGCTACTCGATGAACTGGCCGTTAAGGACGTCATGAGCTCGGACAGCATCAATGACCTTAGCGAGGAGGTGAACGAACTCAATGAGCAGCTGGACGTAATGTCCAGTGACATCACCTGCTGTATCTGTCAGATGCCCGTGGAGTCAGAGGGCGGGCATCGCGTGGTTTCGTTGCGATGCGGCCACCTCTTCGGTCAAAAGTGCATCCGCACTGCCCTCCGCCACTCGCGCCATTGCCCAACCTGCAGGAAGCGAGCCCATCCCGCCGATGTCCGCAAAATCTACGGTCACGGCATTTTGCCATCCTAACGGCTTCGACAAATCTCGTTTTCAAAACCAATCCGCTTTTTTGATTATGCCAAAAAATGAATATTCTATCTATATTCTATATATACATATTAGCTTATAAATGTATACAAAAAAAATGTGTATGAATACAAAGATGTTTAAATTTAAGATTTCTCTTTGAAGGTCCTGACATTGCCAAACAGTTTCGAATATAAGATTTATTTGGGTTATGTTAAAAAATTACAAATATGAACTTTGTAGGAACGGGATTCCTGTACAATCAAATATTAATTGAATCGTTTTTAGAACTCAATATTATCCTGATAATAACAGAGCTACTATTTAAAAGATAACATGTTCAAAATATAAACATAATAAATACTATTGAAACCAAAGATATTCGGTTTGCAAATAAATAATGGATTACCTTTTGTTTAGTGGAATAGCTTACTTAGAAATTCCATACTCAAACAGGAATTACATCTCGGTACTGATTTTTATGTACGCCTTGTCATATAAAGGGCTAAATGTGATCCTAGTAATCAACTCACTGGGTTCTTGTAACCCGCCGTTCGAACTCACCTGGAAGGGGGCGGGCGTGAGAATCTTTCCAGTGCGATCCCGCTTGGCCTTGAAGTTGCGGTACATCTGGAGCCGCTTGATGGTGCCCTTCGTGCGGGGGTGGGCGACTCCCTTGAGGCCGCTTTTGGGGCGCTCCGGATTCATCGAGTGGTTGGAGTGGTTGAATCCCTGCGTCCGGGGCTTTCCCGGTGTGCTGCGTACCTTCGGCATGGTGTTGTGGATACGCCGTTCCTCTTAAATAAGTTAAAATATCTTTTTTCGACACGTTCAAACCAAAACACACGTGTTTGGTTGAAATAAAAAAACAAAGGGATCGGACGTTTAACAGCACTGTGTGGATGTGCCTTGCAACACTACTTCGTTGCAGAAAATCTCTACCACGAGGACTGGTCATACTTAAATAACAACAGCACTGCAAATAAGCTTAGGTACACCTTTTAAAATGGTTTTAATTAATTAATGATCCTAGAAGTAAGGTAAAATTTGGTTGACTATTAAAAACATATATCTGAAATTTAATAGAATTTTATATTTAAGAACACTAGCCATTCGCAAGCCTTGCAAGGCCTAACAACTGCTTTTATTGCCTGTAGTTTTGTGACCGCCACTGTGTTCAAGAAGCAAGCTGGTTTTATATCCGTGTGCATACACATATCCGCTTGGCCACGAGCTTCGGCTGCACTTAGCAAACTTAAATATTTGAACGTTAAAATTCTGCCTATCCCAACAAAGTGATAATGTAACTCACAGCATTTGAAAGAAAACGTAGTGATTAGCCTAGTAGAGTTTAGCGTTCGAGCGATATTTATTTCCCAAGCGCGACTTGGAATTTCTTATGCGTGTGTGCCAGCTTCTGCATGTGTGTGTGCGCTTTGGAATGTGGCCCTGCACGAAATTCAAATCCAAATAGTGACCATCCTTGAGACTCGCCGCACACTTGCAAGATGGACGAGCACACACTCAACGACCTGTTGGAGTGCTCTGTGTGCCTGGAGCGACTGGACACCACATCGAAGGTGCTGCCCTGCCAGCACACCTTCTGTCGCAAATGCTTGCTGGTGAGTAATGGCCTCTGGGTTTATCCCCTGTGTTATATGGTAATAATGATTTCATCATCCCAGGACATTGTGGCCAGTCAGCACAAGCTGCGCTGCCCGGAGTGCCGCATCCTGGTCTCTTGCAATATCGATGAGCTGCCTCCCAACGTCTTGCTGATGCGAATCTTGGAAGGTAACAGCTACGCCCACGCCAATCTCAACTGGCACAGCAGCCTACGCTAGAATGCTTGACTTCATGAGTGCGGCTGAGTGGCTTTGGCAATTGAATTGCTTTTAGCGTGCTGTATCTAACTAGAAACCCCTTCTCCCTGCTTCCCTCAGGCATGAAACAAAATGCAGCAGCTGGTAAAGGCGACAGCAAAGGCGAGGAAACTGAGTCGCAGCCGGAAAGGCCCAAAACTCAACCTTCAGCGGAACCAGTGGCCCCGCCTGGCAACCAACTCCTCCTGCAGCAGACACACCAGCCATCTCAGCAGCCGGCCCGCCACAAGCAGCGCCGGTTTCTACTCCCCCACGCCTATGCCCTCTTCGACTTCGCCTCCAGCGAAGCCACCGATCTGAAGTTCAAAAAGGGTGATCTGATATTGCTCAAGCATCGCATAGACAACAACTGGTTTGTGGGTCAGGCCAATGGCCAGGAGGGCACCTTCCCCATAAACTACGTGAAGGTTTCGGTGCCGCTGCCCATGCCGCAGTGCATCGCCATGTATGACTTCAAGATGGGGCCGAACGACGAGGAGGGATGCCTGGAGTTCAAGAAGAGCACAGTGATCCATGTCATGCGCCGCGTGGATCACAATTGGGCGGAAGGACGTATTGGCCAGTCCATTGGAATCTTTCCCATAGCATTCGTTGAGCTAAACGCAGCTGCTAAGAAGCTGCTAGACAGCGGAGTCATCAACGTAAAGCATCCAACGTGCCATCCGCCGCAGCAACAGGGACAGCGAGCGCTACCCCCGGTTCCAGTAATTGATCCAACCGTGGTCACGGAATCCAGTTCGGGATCATCTAACTCCACGCCGGCTAGCAGTAATTCCAGCTCAACATCTAGCTCGAACAATTGCAGTCCGAATCACCAGTCGTCGCTGCCAAATACCCCTCAACATGTTGTGGCTTCTGGATCGGCTTCGGTTCGTTTCCGGGACAAGGGAGCCAAGGAAAAGAGGCATTCACTAAATGCACTGCTGGGAGGAGGAGCTCCTCTTAGCTTGCTGCAGACCAACCGCCATTCGGCCGAGATTCTCAGTCTTCCCCACGAACTGAGCCGCCTAGAGACAGCCAACAACTCCCCAGCTCCAAAACCCACATCCGCTACGCAATCCTCGCGCGTGCTAAAGACAAATGTGCAGCAGCAAATGCCGCCCAATTTGCCATGGGGATACTTGGCCCTCTTCCCGTACAAGCCACGTCAAGCAGATGAGCTGGAGCTAAAGAAGGGTTGTGTTTACATTGTGACCGAACGATGTGTGGACGGTTGGTTTAAGGGCAAGAACTGGTTGGACATAACCGGGGTATTTCCGGGCAACTACCTGACGCCCTTACGTACCCGCGACCAGCAGCAGTTAATGCACCAGTGGAAATATGTTCCCCAAAGCTCAGATGTCCAGCAGTCACATCCACAGCAACAACCAGTTGCACCCGATGTGCGGCTGAACAATATGCTGCCCATGCAGCCACCAGATTTGCCACCCCGTCAGCAGCAGGCCAACGCCACTACCACCAGTTGTTCCGTTTGGACAAAGCCAGTGGAGGCACTGTTTAGCAGAAAATCGGAGCCTAAGCCCGAAACTGTCGCAGTCTCCGCTACGAGCAGCAGTTCCTCATCGGGGGCAGTGGGCCTTATGAGGCGATTAACTCATATGAAAACACGCTCCAAATCCCCGGGCGCATCACTGCAGCAGGCACCCAAGGAAGTGACCAGCCCCAATGTGGAAACTACAACTAAACCAACAGCTAAATTGCATCCAGTGCATGTGAGGTAAGAGCTTTAACCATAAATGATGTTGATAGATTAGAATCAAAGTTAATTTCTTTTTATTTATTTAGATCCGGCTCGTGCCCCAGTCAACTGCAGCACAGTCAACCGCTCAACGAAACTCCCACAGCGAAGCCAGCAGCGCAACAGCAGCAGTTTCTTTACAAGCAACTGCCTGCTCACACTAACAGCAGCGTTCTCTACGGCTCACAACGCCTTAAAGGCAGCAAGGATCGTCCTCCCTTGATTTGGTTCGTTTAGCGTACTTTTAAGACTTGATCAATTTAACTAAATGGAATTTTACACAGTGCTAGGCAATCCTTGGACGCAGCCACGTTTCGCAGCATGTACAGCAATGCTGCGTCGCCTCCACCGCCTACGTCCTCTGTGACTCCAGCTATCTATGCAGGCGGACAGCAGCAGGCGCTTCCTGGAGGAGGACCACAGTCCCAGTTGCATGCCAACATGATCATTGCACCCAGCCACCGGAAGTCGCACAGCCTGGATGCAGGACATGTGCTAAGCGCCCCCAGCAGCAATGTTATTACCGAGGCGGCCATTAAGGCCAGTGCCACCACGAAGTCAGCTTACTGCACGAGGGAAAGGTGGGTTTTGAACTACATAAAAAAGGGTAAAGGGAGTAATTGATGTAATCTGTTGTTGCAGCCGCTTCCGATGCATTGTGCCGTATCCTCCGAACAGCGATATCGAACTGGAGCTTCATTTGGGCGACATCATCTATGTCCAGCGCAAGCAGAAGAACGGCTGGTACAAGGGCACCCATGCCCGCACCCACAAAACCGGATTGTTTCCCGCCTCCTTTGTCGAACCTGATTGTTAGGTCGCCCAGGCCAGGGCCCAGGACAAACTAGAACTTACTAAGCAAAATTCCAAATTAATTGTCTAAACTGTTTCGATCGCCGGTCGGTTCGGGCTTCCAGTTCTCGCAATCTCCTACTACTCTTTTTAAAAAAGAAACTGTTTTGTACTCTTCCACTCGAATGCGCAGCTCGCAGGTGTACTTTTTATACGATCCTTAATCAAAATAGGCTAGCCATGTAAGTCTTAAGGAACAGTTACTTAAGCACTAGAGATAAGTTAGCTAGATAAACAATCTAACCCATTCTTGTGCCCTCTACGAAGTTATTTGTAATATACGATTTTCAGTAATACCCGTGGGTGGTTTTAACTTATTTTATTCTCCAAGCTAAATATCGAGGCTATAGTGGATTGCACTAAGGATGTGGAGTTATTCGCTCTTGTCGAACTTGGACCCGTAGATGGGCACGTACTGCAGGACCAGTTTCCAGTCGGTGTAGTAGAGCACGGCCAGACCCGCAGCTCCTCCAAATCCAGCTCCAGATCGGATGCTACAAATACAAATCGAAGGAATGGTGTGTTATGCAATGTAAGGTGTTTGCAACAAAGGATTCGAGATCCCCGCTAATCCTTGATGTAGGACCAATCATAACATCCTGTACTCACAAGGAAGTCGCGATCTCAGCGTGCTTCTTGCCAAAGGGTATGCGGAAAGCCATTTTTGTCGATATTATTACTTTTCTCTCGCTCCAAAAGATTCGCAATAGATGAACACTAATCGAATGCGCTAAATATTACCACAGCAGTATGACCCTTAGAGTGCCCAAAACTCCACTGCGAGAGGTGACAACCCTGGTGGGTCTACGTGAGGAGAAATACTTGTCAACAACAAAACATTTTTCGGCTAAAAATTAATTAAAATCAAGCACTCACCATGAAAGTATCCATTTTCGGCGACCTAAACACTTTCGAGCTGTTTGTCCTGTGCACTCTGATACCGGCGGTTTTCGTTTACCTATGGAGTCTAATAACTGGTGATATGAAGGTAGGGCGGTCTGTTCTTATCAAAAGTACCGATTTCAGTAATTTTCCCTTCTAATCTGATTTTGTAGAACTTCAAGGCCAGCAAATTGAGCTATACAGTTTACACGGCCAGGGACCCCGTCAATTGCTATCAGGACTACGTGCCGGAAAAACAAAAGGACTCTTAGGATACCTATATTTTATTAGCAATACTAAAACTTGTACATAAATGCCAAAAAAGCTGAGGATCAAAGAAATCTATACAGAGCAATAAACATTTTTGTGTTGTAGTTTGCAATACCATCTTTTCTATAATCCACAATTTCCGAACATTTTAAAAGTAAACAAATGTTCAATTGCACTATGAATCACTTTTGCCCCACCTGGTCACACCCACGTGTTCTTGGTATTTTCGCGTTTGCTCACAGCTGCCTCCCTAACCTGAACAGAGACACAAATTTTAAGACACATTTCGGTTTGCTAATTGTTTACGGGCCTTGCTAACGTTAGATATAGCGGATTTCGATCGCGTCCTAAGCACTTTCTGGTGCTTATCCGCACCAGCCGTCCGATAACCCCGGAAACGGGACAAAGTATATAAACAACAAGAGACAACTACGCAGAAGAGAAACAAAAACAATGTCGGAAACATACGGTTTGTCATCACACAACTAACTAATTAACGACTATTACTAATTAATTCCGGTGGTGTGCACTCACCTAGATTACCTGTTCAAGTTCCTGATAATCGGTAGCGCTGGCAGTGGCAAAAGTTGCCTGTTGCATCACTTCATCGAGAGCAAGTGTAAGTTGGTAGCCCACCAGTTCTAGATCCTAGCCCTTGTAAATCGATTTATTATATACATATATGTATGCAATTTGTCCTAGTCAAAGACGACAGTTCGCACACCATTGGCGTGGAGTTTGGTTCAAGGATTGTGAACGTGGGCGGCAAGTCGGTGAAGCTGCAGATATGGGACACCGCTGGGCAGGAGAGATTCCGCTCGGTGACGAGATCCTACTATCGGGGAGCTGCCGGAGCCCTCCTGGTCTACGACGCCACGTCGCGGGACTCCTTCAATGCCCTGACAAATTGGCTGAACGATGCCCGTACCCTGGCCAGTCCAAACATTGTGATTCTCTTGGTGGGCAACAAAAAGGACTTGGAGGAGGCTCGGGATGTGACCTTCCTGGAGGCCAGCACCTTTGCCCAGGAGAATGGTACGTTTTCTGGGTTTTGTTTAAGTGGTCCTTTGTTTATCTCACTATTCGTTTGCCCATGTAGAGCTTATCTTCTTGGAGACGAGCGCCAAGACGGGTGAGAATGTGGAGGAGGCCTTCCTTAAGTGCTCTAAGACCATCCTGGCCAAGATTGAAACCGGAGAGCTAGATCCTGAGCGCATTGGCAGTGGCATCCAGTACGGCGGAGCTGCCCTGCGCAACTTGCAGACGCGACAGCGCAGCATCAACAAACCGGATTGCACCTGTCGCGTTTAAACAGCACGATTTGTGCTATCCATAGATAAGCGAGCAAATTAATCTCTACTTTATCTCAACCCGGAATGCCCATTCGCATTCCCTCTTAGTTGTATTGTATACCTGTGTGTGTCCCACTTCGTTTTAGTTCGTATTTTGTCTTGCTAGATTTATCATTCCAAATGTAGGCATACGCTATTCGGTTTGTTTTAACATAATAACCATGATTTCGGGTCTCCCGCCCCAACGTTACTTACTATAATTTGTAATTCGTGAAGCACTAGAGCCCTCGAACAACGAAAAATTAATGGCTGTTGGGCACTTGGATCGGATCCGGAGGGTGAGGAGAATGCACTCGGCATTTTTAATGTAAATATGTGGCGTTCCGTCGTTGACGACGTCGCCAATTGTAAATCTAACTCAAGCATGCACGCGGTAAATAAAAACGCAAAAACATAGATATTCAATTGCTTGGTAACATTTATTTATAGGATCTAAGGTATAAAAATATTTTATTTTGATTTTTATAGTTCGGAATAGCTAGTAATATATTATTTTAATTTTTAAAACAAGTTTACATTACATCTTAAAAGGGATGCAATGCAAAAATTTTTAAAAAAATTGGCTTAAGTAGTTATTGTTCATAAAAGCTTCCCCACAGCATGCTTTCCACTCCACTTGGAACGGATTTTTTCAAAGCGGGATAACTATGTGCAATGCAGTTTCGAAAAAATCAGTTGAAAGTGGAAGGTAATCTGGACTGCGTTGCATGCCCCCACCATCTTATGCGTCACATTTACTCAACTTCTGGAGGGCATGCTTGGCAGCCGCCAACTTGGCCTGGTTCTTATTGCTGCCAAATCCGTACACCTTGACGGACTTCTCCATGCAGGTGAACTGACAGCTGATCATCACCTTGTCCTGGTCGACGATGGGTGAACTGAAGACGGGATTGGCAAGCTTGTGCTCGCTGAGCTGGCGGATGGGATTGATGGGTACGTTGCGCGTAAACTCTTGCAGCTCCGGCTCGAATAAATTGAAAATCACCTCCCAAGTGCGTTGCAGATCCCGGCAGTCCAGGTAGATGGCTGCAATAAGAGCCTCCAGGATATCGCCCAAGGCTTTGGGGACATCAACGTTCGTCGACATGTTAAAGTCGCCCATTGGGGGGGCACTTTCTTTCTCATCATGAGAGATAGCATTCAAAGCCTCCTTCAATTCCACTATATCCAGTTCGTCATCCAAGTCCAAGAAAGTGGGCTGAGTGTCGGCTTCCTCGAGCAGGATGCGCACATGGTTGGTGACCCTGTGTCCCTGGCTCTCCTGAAACTGCACGAACTTGGATATAGACTCGGAAAGCATCGAGTTCTCCGCCAGGATGAAGAAGTGCAGTCTGTGTCGCACACAAATACAGGCCAGCGTCGTATTGTTAACCAGAGCGGATCGCAGATCCGTGAGGGCGCCTGGATTCATTTTGGTATTGTTTTCGTAAATATAGGCAGAGATCAGGAAGTCCAAGATGGCATCGCCTATGAACTCCAGCTCCTGGTAGCAGCCAGTGATGCGATTGGTGGGATAAGAGGGATGTGTAAGCGCCTGCAGCAGATATCCCCGATCCTTGAACGTGTACCCCAGATTCTGCTCCAGATGTTGGTGGTTGATTAGAAAGCCGTCGATCTCCGCGGTGTTTGTCCGCATCTTGTTGCCGCCCAATTTGAGATCGAGCAACTGGGTGAGGGGCTTCCCAATGTCCGCTTGGCAAATGTTAAAGTACTCCAGCATGCGGAAGGCATGCTGCAGACCGTAATTTTTCACGATCACGCCCAGGAGCGCCTCCAAAGTATCGGCCACCACCTTGTCGGCAATCTTCACGAGACCCACACAGAAGTTCACCTCGGCGGAGAAATCTGCGCCAGCATAATGGGTATGCTTATTCGATTGACAACCCTCCACAAAGCTGCGGTAATTGAGGTCGCTACAGTTGCTCTTTACCAGCGACTCCTCCTCACCTAGAGCCAAATCCCGCAGATTGTGGGGACCCACCAGCTCTGCCAATTCCGGCTTCTCATGCCACAAGGCCAGCACATTTTGGGGTAAACTAATACTGGGCGGAACCCATGTGTACCTGGGTGTAAATATCATCGTGCTGATCTTTTTGGGTATGTCCGTGTCACTCAGGCAGTAGAGCAGATTCCGGTTGGACACCAACTTGGACTTGACTTGCGTGAGTGTGCCCTCGTTCCATTCCGGATACTTGTTGGCCAGGTAGAGCGTGGCACTCAGTTTGAGGAAGGAGTCGCCCAGCATCTCCAGGCGCTCCATGTCGAACACATCCGCGCTGCTCGAGGATGTGATGGCAGCCAAGAATTCTCCCTGTTCCGCGGGTGTAATATATTCTTTTGATACGGTTTTCTGCAGGATGGGCAGCGGGTTAACTGCTCCCGGAAAAGCCTTACCCGCGGGCATGAGAGCTTGGAGATTTACACTCGCCTTGGTCGGAGTTCTGCACCCATAGATATTACCCTTGGGGATTTTGAATTGGTTTTCTGCCCAGTACTCCTTATCCTCGAACTCCATCTTATCCAACCGGGCCACCTGTCCCATGGCGAACTTGTAATAGTAGTCCACCTCCACGGTATAGGCACCCATGATTTTCCGCGACAGATCCACGGGCTCCATGTACTGCTGCCAGGGATTCTCGAAGTCATCGATATGCAGGTTGGCTACGGCCGTCTCCAGAGTTTTTGTGGGCATCGGTTCCAGTAATGCTCGTGGCTCCTCGACATCCTCAGTGGGTATCGCATTGCCCAGAGGGTCGACATTCCTCTTAAGAGACCAATCGATTTCCAGTGGCTTGGGCCTGTAGTCCGCTCCATTCAAGGGAAGCTGCTGGAGTCCCAAATAGGCATTAAATCGCTTTCGCAGTGCCTCCGCATGAAGAAGAAAGTGCAGGCGACGCAAGATGCTGGGGAGGTAGATGAGCTTAACCCAGAGATCTCCAGGAAATCCAAAAGGAAAGCAAAGCTCCGGAATTAAAACCACCTTGGCTCTGGCCTTGCTCTGAGCGGAGGATTTGCCACGTTGTTTGACATAAAAATTGAGCTGCTCCGTGAGTTCCCTGACCTCGATGAGAAACTGATCTTTGTGCACGACATCGCCGATGTGGTTGCTGTACTTGGACATTGTAAATTCGTAGTAGGACTTATCCTGGTGGTTCTTCTCCATCATGCTAAACGGAGTAAGATCCCGATGCACCTTGGTGACCAGCATGCGCTTCTCCTCATAGTTGGCATACCACTGGGTCACGATTTTGCCCTCAAAGTCCTCGGGACGGGGAGCAGGTTGCTGCTTGCGCTGAGGTACACTTGACTTTTGTACTTTGGGCAATCTCTGGAAATTTTTCACCAGTGGCCAGTCAATGCATTTTCGCCGATCCTCGCCCACGGTGAGGGGAACTATCAGGTACGAGTTCTCCTTGCTGCGACGATCCAATACAAAGAACGGCTGCCAGATTTTTAATACATCGCGAAAGACCATGCCGTGGAATTGATGAAGCAGCTCCAGCTGCTCGGCGCTCTGCATGACTAATTCTAGCGGTTGCTCGGCCACACGGACATGCAGTTTACCCTGGTTACTAAACAGCGGCATCTCTGCCAGACGGGGAAGCTTGTGCCGCAATAGTAGACCAACATTCCTAGACGTTTGCAGGTTTGTGTACATGTGTTCCGTGTAGTCGCAGCACTCAAACTGCGGCTCCAAGAATATCTCGTATGCAAAACAGACCTCACCCACTCGGGGACGTGCGTCGAAGAACTCCGCCGGACAGTCGGTCTTGTAGGTGCGAATCTTGTTCTCCGGGTCCTTGCGCACTGCTGCAGTCACTGAAGAAAGAACATAAGAGTAAGTAAACAGATCTGAAGCGTCTTTTTTAAGCAAAACCGACCGTCATCGCCATACTTCTTCCAGTGATCAAAGTGAACGTCGGCGATGGCAGCCACCCGTTCCTTCAGCGTTACAGGTAGGAATCTCTCGTTTAGCTCTCCCATTAGGTAGAGTTGCTTACATGCCTTAAATGCAGCCGATATCTTGGCGGATCTAACGCAGACCATGGGATCGCTCTGCAATAATTTGGAATTTGGAAGGGAAATTTAGATATTTCGAGTTCTCCACATCCCATCTAATACTGCAGCTTACGTAAATCGTGTTCTTTAGCCTAGAATTCAGCGGAAGATTGACGGAGATTACTTGCTTTCCCTTCGCAGAGTCACCGAAAAGTTGTTTGCGGCCATCTTCGTCCAATAGATTGAGCCAGGGAATCACAAATCCAAAGGCATCCGAGGGCATGCTCTGGCAATAACGATGGAGCAAAATCAGGCCACTGCTTGGCAACAATACGGCTCCGTGCTCATTAATGAAGGGCGGTATGATGTCCTGGAAGTGCTGTTTGATCTCGTACATTTCCGGCTCAGTACGCTCCAAAACGCGATCCTTCAGATAAGCAGCAATATCAGCATGGGCCTCGCGATACTGACAGATCTGCTGGGATATCTTGGCCTTGTCCAGCTCCGAGGAAAACAACACGAAACTGGCATCCTTGGACCGAGCCCGACCTTTTGTCTGCACATACATGTTGAAGGTCTTGAGCGGATCCAGAATCAAGACATAATTACAAGCCTGCACATCGATGCCCTCTTCCAGGACGCTTGAGCAGACCATCAGATTGGCGTCGCCCTCCCTGAATTGCTGAATAGCCTGCAGGAAAAGCAAATACCGAAAAAGTCACATTTGCATGTTATCCCCTTTACCTACCGATTTCAGCCACTTTCGTTCCAGGACGCTTTCAAAATCCGGGGAGATGGAGTTGCGACCCACCATGAACTGGGGCGTCAGCACATTCCGCAGCTCCGGCGTGGATTCGATAAAGTTCAACAGCAGGCCGTAGATGCACTTGCAGGTGTAGCGCCGTTCGACGAAGACCAGGCAACAGATATCCTTGGGATCCTTGTTGGCAAAGGTGATCTTCAGGTACTGCAGGAATCTCTGCACCTTCGGGGTGGAAAAGTTCATGATGGTTTCCTCGGTGTTGGTCTTATCATCGAGATCTTCGTCGTCGTCCACCAAGTCACGCAGCTTATGGACCAGCGTATGTCGGATGCTTTCGCACAAGGAAATGGCCGTCCGGTGCATTAGTTTCAGACTAAGCGTCTCCGCCTGACGTTTCTTCACCTCGAACTCGACAATCAGCGACACGATGGCTATTGATGCCGCGTATATGCCGTACTGGTCCAGCTGAAACAGGAAGTCGTTGAACAACTGCTTCACCATGCTCTTTTTCTGCGGGTCCCGCTGGCTTTGCATGGACTTCGACCTCCGAACCGGTTGAGTGCCAATGTCCATGAGGTCCAAGGACGCGAAGAATTTCTGAATCTGTGACTGTATAGACTGGGTGATTAGAAACACCTGGGTCTGATTTGGATACGTGAGCAGGTACTCCTTCGGCTTGGTTGAGTAGCTAGAAAAAAGAGTAGTTTGAGAGTTTCTGGAAGGAAGAGCACTAAGCATCTCTTACAGCATCACGTTTTCCAGCTCCTTGGTGTCCGACACGGTAATTATGTTTCCCCGATACGTGGTCTCCAGCTCCTTGAGCTTCTTGGCCACCTGTTTAATCTCATTACCCTTGATCAGGACTCCGGTGAGGCCCACTACGCGAGGCAAAGCCAAATTGCGGTCAACGCAGAGGAACAGCCGCATGAATTCATGGTATGGATGATGACCTGTGCCGTGGTGGCACTCGTCTATAATTACAATGCTAATGGAGCTCAGATCCATGTGCCGCTGGGTGAACAAGTCCAGGATGACCTGAGCCGTGCCCACCAAAACCTAAAGAATTACATTGATTAAGGTTATGAGGTAAGATCATTCAAGTTGGGTCACCGCAGAATAAAATCTTTTAAAGTTGTTCCTAGGGATATTTTTTTAAAATATTTTAAATCATCGAGGCTACGAATATATTTCACGATTAGTATTTTAAAAGTTGTACAATGCAATTCCCATTACCGACATCTATTCCTGACGAGTAGTGTGAACCCAATGAAAGGGTCAACTTAAAAAAAGGCTAGGAAGTGAAAAATATTGGTTAACATCTAAAAAACAAGTACGAATGGTTCAATTGTATGTATATACATAATATGTAATTAATCTATATGTGGAAACGACTCAATGACACCGGATGCCAGGGCCCTTAAAAATGCTGATCCTAAATTTTAGGTACTAAAAACTCAAGTGTCGCATATGATCGTTTCAAATGTGTATGTATACATAAGTATTTCGTACGTGATCATAAGTGGAACTGCTCCCAGAGGGACACGTCATTCCCCCCACCCTGCACCCCATTGATGTATGATATACTCACTTGGTGATCTCGAATTTCACCAGTCCATTGGTCGCGCGTCCAGTCGTCCACGCCCTGTTCGCCCACATAGAAACCGACCTTAAAGTTTGTGTACTTCTTGACGGCCACCGCCTGTTGACGGGCCAGTTCCACGGTGTTGCAGATAAACACCGCCCGCTTTCCTCCATTTTCAAGGGGCCTTGAAATCGCAATTTAATCGAATGCAATTAAATGTGATTTCTGTTGGGAACTCACTTGTCCATGTCCTTGGAAAATCGCTTGAGGGCCAGGATAGCCACGTAGGTTTTCCCGGAGCCTGTGGGCAAGTAGATAACGCCATTGTGCTTGGTAATATAATCCACGAGCCGCAGTTGATAATCGCGAGCCTGGTTAGGAATTGTAGGTATGGTTGAGAAAATAAATAGGTATGTTTGCAAATGCATATCAGGACTAAAGACCTCACCTTTATTTCGGTGGCCTCCAAATTATTACTATCTGTCATGACGAAGCACTAAATATCTTAGATCCTGCCTGCTAGCTTGCAAAAAATAATCTGATGCGTTGGTCTAGAAGTCTTTTCTCAGACTAACGTCTTGGCTGATATTGCTGACGTGGCGAGATCGAATTGGATTCCTTATCACCAGGGTGTGTGTGCCCCGGCTCGCAATTCTTGGGATTCACCGGTTTTTGTTTATCGGATGCAAGGGTTTACGTTTCTGCTTCAATATCTGCGCTCCAAATTGGCTGACCAAAAATAGGTATCTTCCTTTCCCCGACACTTGCTCAAGAACTCGGTTCCCCGGAGTCTCTATTCCCGAAGTTACACTTCTTAAATGAAAAACTGCGGAAAATTGCGAAAAATAAAGTCCGATTTGACACAAAGAAAAAGAGGCCGGCAGTAGCGTGGCCAGCGATTCTTACTGGATCATCTTGATGTTTACGTCTTGAGAATTATGTTTTTGCAACGCACTGGTCACACTATGCTGGGCGGGAATACATCAAGTTATTTGATTATGCATTCTTATCACTTGAATCCTTATTGTAAAAAAATATAACTATTGCTATTAACTATTGTTCGCTAATACTAAAAATGATTTTGTTTTATTGCAAGGTAATACAGAAACCCAAAACTGATTAGGATTACGTATTGCAGAGTAAAGAAAAATAGAACTGATAAGTATCTTCTAGGTCACCAGCAGTTATTTATCTCAGCACTATTTCTTTAGTTGCATACTTTTGGGTTAAGGATACCAATTATCACAATGATATGTATCTATAAATTAAAATTCCATGTTACTCAAGGGCTACCTATTTCGTATATAAGTTACAATCTGTACTACCGAATTTGTACGACGCAATACTAATAAAATTGTATCTTATCAAAATAAAAGTTTGATTTTCTGGTTGGCTAGAGTACTCAATTATCAAGAAATGGAAAATTACGAAAAACCAGCTTATGAACCAAAACACAACCATATAATTTTTTGAAAACAATTTTCACTTTATTGGTTATAATAGTCACATCTTACACATAACTTTTCCTTATTTTGCTTAAAGAGAACATGAAAAGGGTATCCTTATGGCTAAGACTTCCTCGCTAATACTTCCTCACGTCTCGCTCTTGTCCTGGCTCTTGTCCACCTTTCCGCCGGCCAACATGTGCTGGATCTCGATTATCGTCTTGCCCTTGGTCTCCGGCACGAAGAAGAGCGAGTAGAGGAAGGCAAGGACCGCGATCACGGTGAAGATCCAGAACGTGGGTCCCGGCCCAATGGAGGTCTTGAGGATCGGGAAGAGCAGCGTGACCATGAAGGCCGACAGCCAGTTGCTGGTGCCGGCAATAGATCCCGCCACACTCTTCACGTCCTCCGCGAAGAGCTCCGCCATCACCAGCCAGGGCACCGGTCCAAATCCGATCGAGAAGAAGACGATAAAGATGCAGATGCTGCTGATCGGCAGCCAACCATAGTTGTCCATCGAGCCCGGATCGCTCTCGCTCAGCTGGAAGTATACGCCCATCAGGGCAGTGGTCACGGCCATCAGTATGCCGGAGATCAGGAGTAGGACCCGGCGACCAGCCTTATCGATGATAGCCACGCCCACTAGAGTGCTGGTCACCTGGGTGACGCCAATGATGAGTGTGGCATCGCTGCCACTCAGACCGGAGCCCGTGTCCTCGAAAATGGAGGTAGAGTAGAAGAGGATGGCGTTGATTCCCGTCCACTGTTGGAACACCTGCAGGAGCACTGCGATCAGAAGACCCTTCAAAACGATGGGGCGGCGGAGGGCGACTAAAATGTTGACCTGCAATTGAAAAAAAAACCAGGTTAGTTATAACCGACTTCTTTTGTATTATCTTTTCGGAATCTCATTCATAAGATTACGTAAACCCAACCAAATCAAAGTGTTTACTAGCAATGATAAGTAGTATCTTTTAAATACATACAATACGTATACGAATCGATTATGGTAACCGGCAACGTATTTTTATTAACCGTAATCAAACTGTCAAAACAACGAAAACCTGTAATCAAACAATCCACTCGCCTTTTAATCTAGGTCGTTTTGAGCTCTGAACATCAGAGGGAAATATATTATTATATAATATAATAATATCATATAATTATGATAAATATTCTTTAGAAAATGTATTTGGTGCCTGCACACTTAGCAATTGGATTCCGTTGTTTTTTAATCATTTATAAACTATCGAAAATGTTTTCTGAACATTTGAAACACTTTTCTGAAAATAAAACATAAAACATTTCTGAATCTTATTAGAAAAATATACAAAATAAACGTTTGAACCAAGTCGAGCCGAAAGCCTTAGTTGATAACGCTCTATTCATAAGTAAGCTCATAGTTAGCTTAAATAAATAAATATATATATTTTGGGAAAGTTTTGCCTGCTTTGTGATTTTAAAAACCTAAGTCAAAGGCGATTGGCTTGGAATTTTCAAGGGTTTTAGGTCTTGATCGGTTTACTAACCTTGGGCTGATCACTCTGCTTCTGGGACTCCTCCAGGATCTCCTTAAGCTCGTCATCGATGTCTGCATCCTTGCCACGCAGCCACTGCAGAGCCTTGGCGGCATCTTCGTTGCGCCCCTTCATGGCCAGGTAGACGGGGGACTCGGGCATGAAGAAGTGGATAGTGGCGAAGACCAGGGGCAGGATGGCGCACAGGATATTGATGGTGAGCAGGGGCAGGAAGGCTCCCACCAAGTACCCGTACAACACGCCCGACACAATCAGCAGCTGGAAGAAGGCGCCTATCGTTCCTCTCAAAGCCGTCGTACAGATTTCCGTACAATACATGGGCGCAGTCACACAAAAGGCTCCTCCACACATGCCCAGGATGAATCGGCCGAAGTACAGCATGGTCACGTTGTTGGCGAACAACATCAGCACCCAGCCAACCATATAGGGTGGAATCAGAGCCAACATAGTGGGTCTGCGGCCGATCCAATCAATGGCGAAGCCAATTGGAATGCAGATCACCGTGGCGCCCAGGGTCAAAAGCGAGGATACCCAGCCGAATTGACTGGAGGTGATCGGAAATCCATAGTCCGATTCCACCGAAATCATATTCTCCACCGGCGAGGACCAACCGATGGAGGCTCCCATGCAGAGGGCTCCAAAGCTGGCCGACAAGCCGGCAATATATTGCGGCAATACCGATCCCTTGGACATAATGATGGCTAGTTTGGGAACTTTTGGGCTACTATTACTACTAGGTGCTCTCTTCTCGATCGCCGGGATTGAACTGAATTCGCCACGCACCCGTTATTCCGCTGGAAAAATCGCCTTCCATGCGATAACTAAAGCAGCGACGTCGACCGAGAAGTCAAGCACTGCAAGTCATAGTCGTAAATCAGATCCCAATAGTTTCGCTTCCCCACACCAGGTGATGGATGATGATAGGAGGCACAGCACAGCGTCACTGAAAGCGCCCAAAATCAGTTGAAAGCCGAAGCAGCTAATTAAAAACCCGCCTCCGCCAACAACACATGTCGTTATAAGAGCAATCGAGTGTTTCCGTAACAATACCCATTCGCCGATTATGCCCTGCGGGGAAGTATGTCCACTAGCCCTTCGGATTGGGATTGGTATGGAATTTGGGTGGGTCCAAGGGGTCCAGGGAGTCCCCCCGAAACGGAAGAATTCCACAATAACTGCTCCATCATCTTTAATTTGTGGGAATGTGAATTGATTTGGAGAATTACAAAAACTTCCAAATACCTCTTTTAATTACCTACTCTAGTAGTAGTATGCATTGTTATTTCTTTTACTTAATGGAAAAATATAGTTAGTAATACGCACTCAAAAGCAGATAAACGGGATGGTACTCATGACAGTACTGGAAATAAATCTGGATAGAAAAGTGTAAACACTTTTATGAATAAGTTAATCATGTTAACATGTTGTTTATAATACGTTGTACATATGCAAAAATATATAAGCTTGTTGATAGTGCATATTAATTTATTTAAATTGGCTTTAGCATTCTCTATTAATTTTCTATGAGGTGTAAGAAACAGAGTTTATGTGTCATATTCACTTAACAATTTAATCTTCTTAACTTTACAAAGGGCATTATGGTCATGAGCAACACCAAGTTTAGAAAACTATGTATGTATGATAACATTACGCATTGAAATCAACAACCAATAAAAGCCATTTATAGCTTTTACATTTAATACATAATATATTTTATAGGAATTAACAAGGAATAAATAAACCTATCAAAGATATTTAATCTCAAAGTAATCTACTCTTAATACAGCATGAGCAAATCGCATCCAATTGAGAGTAGCCTATCTTCGACTTGACCGAAAGATAGACCGAAAGTTTTTGGTATTTTGTTATTTACGGAACAATCTTTTTTTTAAAAACCCAAACTCATTTATAGCTTATGTTAATCGAACTAAGTAATACAAAACAAAGCTAACACAAGATAATAAGATGTTTAATCTAACATATTTTTAATAATCTGAAAGTATCCTGGTTTATAATATTAAAATATTCCGTTCCTGATACAACATGACAAATCTCATCTCATTGAGAGTAGCCTATCTTCGGCTTGATTAAGTCCAATTGTTTCCGGTAGTTTGTTATTTACGACACAATTGGTTCGGCGCTGCCGTGTGAAAAGCAGATAATAACGGAGACAGAACCCTAGGAAATAATTGAATGAGCGTAAATCGGCGGGAGTGCATCTAATCTTTGTCGCAACTCAACTAACATCGCATCACGCCGAAAACACATGTAGAGAAATCCCCCAATAGATCGATTCGGATTGGACCCCAAAGTGTGACAAAACGCCGAATACCTGTTCTGTCGCAACGGTCATCTGGCGGTCAAGCGGCGCTATCGGTTATCAGCGAATATGCCCATTGATGGCCCATCGGAATGGAATCGAGGAGTCCTCGGTTCAGATAGGACGGATGGGGGATGGCGAGTGGGAGTGGAGCGCGGGCTCGGCTGCAGATAAGCGATTACCGCCGAATGATAGGTGATAATAATCGACAGAATAACTCGTTTTCAAGTAGCCCTCTCTCCTTGCGGGCTTGGGTCTCTGTCCAACTTGCAACCATGTCAATGCTCATGTAATGGCCTTATCAAGCCATAGCCACCCCACACCAAGTGCTCTTGGCCTGCAATCGAATTGTTTTCGCCAGATAATGGATAAGGGACTCCAAATGCATTTCAAGTATCCCCTGGAGCCGCATCATAGTTATTTCCTGATGATTTACAGTGGTAAACACTTATGGGGATTCGAGTGTGTTTTTCGGTTGAATACAAGTCTTTATTACGTCGTTACAGGGCGGTTAGTCACATCCATCCGGAGCATCGGTTGTTTTGTTTGCTTGCCCCCAGTTATATAACGAGGGATTAGTGCCTGGATTGGTGGTATACTGAGTCATCTACTTCTTCTTGCCCTCGGCCTCCTCCATGGCCCTCATCATTTTGGCGTCGTGCTGGGCGTGGTGCTCCCGTATCGCTCGCTGCAGCTCCTCGTGGTGGCTCTTGCTCTCCGGCGGATAGAGCTCCCGCTTCTTCTTGGTCACCCACTCCTCGAAATATTCCGGCTGGTTGAACAGGTGGAACAGCGTCACGGGGAAGGCCATGTACATGCCCATCTTGGCCACCTCCAGCACCCAGGTTCCCATTTCGTTGGTTTTGGTCACTTTTTGCGCTTGAATGTCGAAAAAAGGGTGATTTTCGAGGGAAAATGTTTTCCTCAAAAGTATCAACAAAAATCAGCTGTTACGGTAAATGACAGTGTTGCGTAGCGTTTGGCCGGATGCTTGATTTGTGTTGGAAAACGTCACCCGCATTTTGGGACAGTTGTCCCAAAATGTTTTGTGGGAAAATTCCAATTTCAACAAATTGGAAATCATTTGTACCTGCTGCTAAAAATTTGCACCTTCCACCTTGAAATTGCACAATATTATACCCACTTACCTACTTTTCAATAATTCCACTATACTATCACAAGTACTTCAAGTACTTTATAAGTTTAATCACTTACCAACCCCCCACAAAGCTTGCAATTCTTTTACACCTCTAATCTTTACAATAAAAAACAACTTAGTTTCCGATTATATATAATTATATATGTATCTTTATAATGGGTAAAGGCATGCATTTAAAATGTAAGATCTTAAGCTAAACTTTTAGAACGCGGCCAAGTTAAAACGATAGAACGTGTCATTACGAAAACATTTTTTCGCGGAAGCAATCTTGTTTCTTTTAGCATTTTAAAGAGAGATGATTTTTTAAAACCGTACAACGGTTTTAACGTTATAATATGAAAATAGCTAGGGGCGACAGACATGACTTAAAGCTAGAGGGCCGTTTCGCCCGGATACTCCTCGGGAGAAGTAATAAGAAGCTTTTTGGTGCGCGAGTGCTCCTCCTGGAGGTTCTCCATGTTCTCCTTGTTATCCGCATCAAGGTTGGTAATCAATGTAGATTTCAAGGGCGTGCCCGCCGATCGCTTTCTACCGTTGCTGTTGCCAAAGGGTGAGGCCAAAGTGGGCTCATTCCCGTCCAGGCAGTAGAGGAGGCTGGGACTCAGATCAGACTCGTCCAAGTCGTCGATGTCCTGCGTTGTGCTGGCTCCACCAAAGTCATCCGAGCGACTGGCAAACGACAAGTCCGTCGGACTGGCGGTTAGCACACTGCGTGTTAGCAAGTATTCCCTGGGGAAAAAAAAAATTAAGTGTAAGGACCTTTGCCATACCAGACCTCCCATCCACACTCACTTAAAATCACTCGACAAGGCATTCGAGGGCTTTGAGTCTTCGTTGCTGGTGCTGCTGCTTGTGGTGCGCTGTCTGGAGTTAAAGAGGGCAAAACTCTGCTGCTGCCCAATGATATCAGCATATCCTCCAAGAGAAGTCGCATCCTCACTGTGCAGCGAAGGCGGTTCCAGCTGCTTCGTGGGTGTGCCTCCAATCGAATCCTGCTCCTCTTGCTCGGCAAAGCTCAGGTTCAGCTGCTTGTCGCCATTGCCAGCCAAGGCGGTCATCAGCATCACGGGTTTTCGGGAGCGGGGAGTCATAATAGATTCCTAAAAAAAAGGTCAACAAAATGTTATAATTACACCAAGAAGGGAGCACTTAATTTAGATAGTGATGTTTTCTACGATTTGATTACGATTTGTCTTATCATGTTGACAGTAAACTAAAGCAGTTCATGGGCTTTTCTCGTACCTGCATCGCCTTGGGCATGCGTTGGGTGGACTTGGTGATGGGCGACATGGAACGCCGGCCCATGTGGAGAGCAGGTGTGCTCGTGATGAGATCCATGTTGCGGTAGACGCTGCTCTGAAGGATCTGCTGATAGCCCAGATTCATAGGGGGCAGTTCATTGGAGCTGCCATTATTCTCCGACAGCGTATCGTCGTCCTCCTCGTCCACCTCACCATGATGGACGTCCTCTTCATCGCTGTCATCCACATCCTCTAGCAGTGGTGCATCCGCTGCAGATGGGCAGTGCTTGCCCTCTTCGCCACTGGGACGCCTTCTCAACGTGGCCGAGACACTGCGCACCAGCCGTTTAGTCGTCTCCGGCGTGCTGAACGGGAATCTGAGATTACCCATGCTGACGCCCTTCATCAACTTGCGTGTTATCGATCTGCCCATGTGGTGGCTGCTCGCTGCCATGGTGCTGCGGCCCTCTACAATGGGCGTTAGTGCACCGTCGTCCTCCTCCTCGGCGTCCACCTGCGGCAGGATACTGGAGAGATTAGGCTCCGACTTGTAACGCGAAGATTGCTGGACCGGGGTGGAGGGATTCGAGTACTCCTCAACCTCTAGCAGTCGGTGCTCGTCCCAGGCCACACTCTTCTTGTCAATTAGCTGCTTGGCAACCGCTGACATAATCTTCAATGGTGTGACACAGCAATCGGCATTGATCTCATCCAGATCCTGGCCGGGAACAACAGCAATTCTGCACGAAGGCGATTCCTTGGATTGCTGACGACTAACTGGAGCAGAGATGCTACCGCTGGCCGGACAGCTGGAACTGCTGTCCGAGGACGAGGACTCGATCTTGAGGGACGCTGATGAGATGGATTTCTGAAGCTGATGCCGGGGGTTAGTGGCCAGGGTGACGCTGGTGATGGTCGATGAGGTGGGAGTGGGTGGCGTGGGGCTCTGGAAAAGCACCCGCATCTTGGGCGGTTTCACATGCGACATGTTTGGCGTCTGGGGCGATGACCATGCGATGGATGAGAAGACATGCGGTTAGTCAAGAATCACAAAAGGTATGCATAGCCCGAATACAGGACTTACCTCGGGTCCTCCAGCCATATGGAAGCTAGGAGGCACTCTCTTCGGAGTGCGTGACATGAGACTCTTGTGGAAAATGTGCTTCTTAATGGAATCGCCCAAAGACTTGGCACTCCGAGTGGCCTCGTTGTTCTTCAGTCGATTCATTACCACCAGCTGCAACGGTGTGCCTAATCAAATAAAATTGAAGAAAATGTAATATTCATTCTTTATTACTTAGTTTTAAGTATATTCAGATTATTTAGTTATTAAAAGACTTCTGCCAGCTATGTCCAATCACTTTTGCAATAATCAGCAGAAGTATTCAAATCATACGACCCAGTATTTAGGGCCTTAAAAGCTCTCTTGTAAATATAAATTAATTTACCCTGCCCGTTTTGTTTGTTGAACTGCTTGATCAGTCGTCGCTTCTTGGAGGACTCCGGCATGCTCTGGATGTGGGCATAGAGCTGCGCCAGCTCCGTATCCGTATTATTCGTATTGGTGGCCGCTGCAGTGGCGGCGCGGTCTACGAAAGTGTACACCGTGTTGACCGTCGAGACGTCCGAGATGGACTCGTCGAGCGTTTGTTCCGGCGACATGGTTTTCTTTCGTTTGCGCTCGAGAAAGTACGCCCGGATGTCAGTAGACAGCTTGCCGGGCACCTCGAAGATGTCAAGTCCGCGGACGATCATGTAGGTCACGATGCTGGCCATCTTCTTGGCCTGGTAGTGCAGCACCTCCGGCGGCAGTTGCCTGGGGCAGATCAGATGAGGCGTAAACAAAGTGGCCAAGTTCTCGGCGCTCATTTTGTTGCTCTTCTCGTGCTGGGCCACGGCATGCAGCATTTCGATGATGTGCTGCAGGAGTTCGCGATGTTCTTCGGGCAAAAGCAGGAGCAGCAGCTGCACCGAGTTGAGCAGGTGACGCTGTCGCTCGGCGGTGGCTGCCACTTGACCATTGAGCGCCTGGCAGAGCGGGGCTATCTGGAGGTGGGCTGGATAGTGGGCGTCTGTAAGTAGGGGTTCTGGCAGCTCCGAAAGGAAACCCTTGAAAACGGTGGCGCAGTCGTGGGCCGAGAAGCCAGCCTGTTCCAAGTTCAGTGGTTTGTCGTGCTGGATGTGCATCCGAAGTTCGTTTTGCCGGGACACGGCTCCGCCCTTGCGGAACAGTCCCTCCTGGGTGAGATCTAGATTATATAAGAATATTATTTGAAAAACCTTCATTATGGGATGTCTTTATGTACATACTCTTCTCCAGCATGAGGAACTCCTTGAGCTCTTGCAGATGCATCAGGAATCCAGGATCAATTTGCTGCTGCAGTGTCTCTGTGGGACTATTGCCCACGGATTTGCTGCCAGAGCCGGCGGCACAGGATGTGGCAGCTGCTGCTCCGTGGCCCAGGCGATGTTTTTTGGACAGGCGGTTCCACTTCTTCAGCTTGCCCTTGTCCTCGTAGACGATCTCGTGGCAGGGGAGATCGAACCTGTGAAGGGGAGTTTTTTAATAATGGTGACATGCAGGTACCCATATGATCCTCTTACTCATCCGTATTCAGCTCCAGTTCAAAGGACAAGTGCATGCGCACCAGGGATTTGTACTTTTCGTAATTGCAGCGGCGCATGCGCGTGGCCAGATCGCGATCCCTGAAGTCATTTAGGTTCGCATGGTCCGTGTCCATGGTGCTTGCCTTGTAAGCCGTCGTCACTACCGAGTGAACACTGTATTTACCCACGAGCAACCACAACAACGACTCACAGCGAATATAGGAAAACAACAACAACAATGCTGGGAAGGACAATGACAAGTTCGATTGGGAAACCCGAAGGCTACTCCTTTCACTTCCGCCTGTGGTGATTTTGTTGCTAGAAATGTATAATCCTCGAAGGTTTGTTGCCCGAGCACGTAACTCAGCATTTATCACATTTATCGCGTATTTTAACTGCTGAAATTGAAAATTAAACGAGACGCCACCGAACTAGTGATGTTCATAAAACATCGATGCGGACATCGATGTTTTATCCGATATCTACAAGCTGATCTGGTAGCACACTAGATTGTTAATTTATACCTTTTTTAACCGCCTTCGGTCGCCCTCCAATACTCTTAGACAGATTACAACATTTATAATTAAGATTTTCACTTAATACACCTGTGGCGGAGATTCTGTTTTCAAAGGTGAAAAATTGAGTAGAGCGCTGCCAGACCGAAGGGTTTTTAACTGTTAAAGAATTTGACATGCTTTCTTATTTACTTTTTACATATATATGAACTTTCTTTTATTTACAACATATTAATTAAGGCACAAATTAAGTAAAACATGAACCTTTAAACTTAATATTAGCGTTGCCAGACTTTCAAGGGCAGACATAAAAACAGTGCTGGAAAGGACTGGAGCTTTTGGCAAAACTGTTGTTTGATCGCGCTTTTTACAATTACATTACTCTATAAAATTGTATTAAAATGGTGCTTATTATGCGTGTTTCGCCGCCCGAACACGGCCTTCTGTATACGGCCAACAACATCAAGCTCAAACTGGGAGACAAGGTGGTGGGGGAGGGCACGATTTACATAGCCCAAAAGTGAGTACTGCAGACCTTTGCCGGCGTCTGCAATTGTTGTTTCCTGATAGCTAGACCTAAGCAACCGATATTTTTCGCTTTTAGTACGCTATCCTGGCAGCCAACTGACCAGCCGGAGGGCATATCCATCGAGTGGAAGCAGGTGAGCCTGCACGGCATCTCCTCGAACCCGAGAAAGTGCATATACTTCATGTTGGATCACAAAGTGGAGTGGAACGGCGTCTACGGAGATCCTCCGCAGCCGGCGGTTAATGGCCAGAATGGCGGGGGTCCAGACGCCGACGTGGACGAAGGAAATGGGAGCGATGAGCACGAAGACGACGATAATTTCGAGGACGCCGTGGACGAGCAGTTCGAGGAGGTCACAGAGTGCTGGCTGCTGCCGGACGACATCCACACCGTGGACACCATGTACAGCGCCATGACCACTTGCCAGGCACTGCATCCGGATTCGGCGGACAGCGACTCGGAGGACAGCGATCCCATGCAGGACGCCGGTGGCTTGAACGACGAGGCCATGGAGGAGGATGACGCCCTGACGCTGGGACGGAACGGCGTGCAGAATCTCAGCCTGGACGACGATGATGAGAGATTTGAGGACGCCGACGAGTGAATAAGCATCACCTATTTATATACCGACATCCCTTTTTTACCAGACTAAGTGTACGAATTGTAAAGATACATATGTATTGGATTAGATTTTGAAGAACTAAATAAAACGCTGTAAGCGCGACTAAAAACTAAGGGCTTTCCTTGGCGTTTTCCTTGTTCCGAGCGATTTCCGCCTCCAAATCATGTTCGGTGATAGGCTGCGACAACTGTGGAATGAAAATAGGTCATTATGTATATTCTAGGCGGCTAGAGTAACGTACAGCTTGGGCCACATCGGCCAGGAGGAGCGCCTGTCGGTAGGCATCGCCATTGGAGGGCACTTTGTCGTAGTTCCAGTAGGTAAAGTCCCCGAAAACACCTGTAAGACGCAGCTGCCTGTCGGAGGACTCGCTAATGGGCTTCTCCGTTTCCTGGAGAACCAGTCCGCGGTATCCTTCGGGCACTTTCAGCTGTTCCCCTACCAAAGGGTATCCGCGTAGAGCGTTTGTCAGGATTCCACTACCAAATTCGGTTGCTTCCCTTGTGTAGTTGTTGAAGTATTGCTCCACATTCGCCTCGCCATCGCCGTCTATTTTAGCCGGCAAGTAGTGTAGGTCCAATTGCTTGCTCTTGGCCAGGTTCTTGCCATTAAAATCCAGCGTTATAGACATTATTTGTTTGATTTAGCGCAAAAATAAAAAATAAAAATAAAAGGTAAACAGAAAGGCCGCCAAAATGCTTTTGTTTGTATGGAACAGTGTTGGTTCGAGTCACGGCTATCAAAATGTGTGTTTGGAATAAATTGGTGTGTTTCGTAAAATGTTTGGTATATTTCAATAAGGCCCCATAATATTTATATTATCTTTTTTATCTTTTTATCTTTTAACAGTCCAAGCATCCTCAATTATTGAAAAGTCAATAAAAGGTGGTTTCTGTATTATTTTTAAGCAGCTTTAATTTGTTGTCATATTATCGGAACTAAAAACATGTGCTACAAATTTAGGTAATACTCTATATTAGGGGACTCACTGAAATTCGCGAAAAAATTATCCTCGATGGACCGCGATTTTTTAAGAATTTACGTGCAAAAAGAAAAGACATGGTTCTCTTGTAATTGAATTTCAAAGTTCCCGGTTTTTCTATAAAAAGCCCGGGTTTTCATATTTTCAATCAAAGTAATTATTCTTTAATAAGTAGTTATAAAATTAATTAAATTTTGGGGTGAGGGGGTGAGTCCCCTAATCTAGAGTGTTACCCAAATGTATATTATTATTATTATTATAAATAAAAAAAATTAATTTATTCCTCAATAATAAAATAATAATATTTATTTATTTATTTATATTCTGGTTTTGAGTCAATTGCAAATTGCCACCGACCACTTACTCTAGCTATAGCTACTGGGCCTTAAGCTAGGGGGAAGATATTTACATATTTTCAGCAAAATTGTATTTATTTAAAGTTATTTACAAAATTTATATATTATTATATAAGCGTATGGCCTTGGTAAAATCATTGGCACGGACGATATTGATGGATAATAACTATAATAAAAATCATTGCGGCTGCATAAAATACATTGTCTTATAATGTCAGTGGTGTAGTTTGATTTTTTCTAGCACATTTTTTGTCAATGATTTATTTGGCCTAAAAGGACAGACAATAGTTGTTTTCGACTTAGGTTTTTTAAATGGCAGCTATTGACAGTTTCGTCATGTCTTTTTAATGAAATTAGGTAAAAACTCTGGTTTTCAGCGAATCAGTATGGAGCAGGTGATAAACCGATGACCGTCGGGTCTGTTTTTCAGCGCGGTACTCAGATGAGCTAAGGAAATACCAGAAAAAATACCAGATTTCTCAAGTGAATTTTCGATGAACGCCGTTAGCCGCGGCCTAAAGAATAAGAAATTTAATCTTTGGCGGTGTTCGTGCAAAGGCGATGTGGAAACTAAAAATTAAAAATGGAAGGAAAACCCCAAAATCGGATACAGGAGGTCAGTGCAGATGAAAAAGGACGCCAAATCTAAACTGTTGCCATTTTTTGTCGGATTTCACCGACAGGCAGCAATACCACAAAAGGGGACCATTCGCAGAATAGTTGAGGTGCTGGAGGAGATCCGCTAGGGAATCCCCGTGTGAAGAAACATGTCGAGTGGGACTTCGCTCCCTACATGGACATCGTGCCGGGCGCGTCCTCGCAAAGAAAGTAAGATCTGGCCAAAAGGATTTGGTTACGTTGTACTAATAGAAGTATATTTTTAGCAGTACCACCAATTAGCTACTTGGCAGCTTATGCGGAGCTGGAGGACGCGCTGGCTTCTATAGGGAGGAGGAAAATAGGGCGCCCGCTAAGGATCAGTTGGGGAAGCCATAGCCAGCCATTGGCAGGATGCTGGGCGACTTTCTGCAGCATCAGCGGATCAACCCCGCTCCCAATTCCTTAAGGTCCACTATGCCCATTGGGTCTCGGAGCTGGACTGCGGTGGCGCGGGAAAGATGGCGAAGCATCCGTGGGACGAGAAAGAAGCTTTAAACTACTAATTTACATAAATAAAAACATTTGTGGAACACTCCATTAACTTTTATTTAAATTTCTTTGTGTACCAGCAGACTCCTCCTTCTTAAATTTCTCCAATTGATTTCTTTTCCGTTTGGCAACAAGCCCAGCCGCTTAACAGTAAGACCATGCTACATGCATTGCGGGTGAACTTTGAAAACTTCGGTCACACTACAAATAATAAGATTTTTCGACTAGTGAAACTTAGCCGATCTGAGTACTAGGCTTAAAGCAATACCCTAGTTGATTTTTCAGTGTGTACAGTGAGTACTTTATTCGCGTATTCTAAAAATATAAAATCAGTATATTTTTAGAGCTATGGTTTTATTTTACGTTATCTCTGCGGTCATACTATTTTCGCTATTATTTGTAGATAACGGTCACACTTTCCAACTGTTTTTTGTCCCGTTCGTTTGCGCACTTGTTCTTGTGTAAGTTTTTTTGGTTTTAAGTCGAGGTAGTAAATCGCCGTGGCTGTGTATTATGTAAAGTGGAGTGGGCCTGGTATAGCTGCGCGTGAGCCTTTGCAGGCATATAAAAACTTTGTGGAACACAGCTCTCCTGCCTTCAGTGTGGGTGTATGGGAATGTGCGGTGGTCAGTGACTCTTTGTGTGTGTGTGTGAGAGTGGGGCTTCCGTGTCGCAAGCGGAAAACAAATGGGAATTGAGTTCTCTGTTTGAGTCATTCCAGTAACAAACAATGCGCGTCATGCGTTGTCCATCGAATTACTGTTTAATTTGATTACCGGGCATCGTCGGTGTACAATCACATCTGTGTGGGGGCCTCAAATATAGACATGGCGTAATGGAACGGAGATGCTTCTCCGGCCGCGCTGCGCTGTGTGCTAATTAATTAATTGCTCATACTTGACCTGGACACTAAACAGACGCTGTTGAAATCGACAATATGTGCTCGTCCAGATGAAATGGGCGAAAATAGTGCGTGTTTGGTTTACGTTACGTGAGCCCCTCGCTGTGATTGTGTTGGTGGGGAGCATTTCCGTGTGCGAGAGTATGCGACCAGCAGTGTTGTTGGAAAGTACCTAGATGGGTGTACCTAGGCGAAACAGTTGGGTACTTTTCCCAGTCACTCCTACTGGGCCATCAAGTATTTCTTGTTATGTATAAGTTTGTACAAATGGTAGCCCAATAACATGCAGCTTTCCAAGAATATCAAAATATCTAATTTCTTATCTATCTCATGGATATTTTTCGGCAGCATGACTCAGGTTTATTCTTCTTGAAAACCAACAAATCTTTAATCTAAACGTAGGTACTCAGAACTAGTACCCTCCACAGCACTGTTCGGGCAGAGTTTCTCTCGGTAGCGCAGTTCATTTGGCTTAATTTCTCTTTATTTACTCTCGGTTCACACAGATCAGGTTTTGTTCGCTGCTCGTTGGTGCAGCTGCATTCTTTCTCGCTCCCACCCCTGCCCCTAAAGGCCCCTGGAAACCCCAGCGAACCCCTGCACCTGTGCGTTCTCGAGGTGCGAGCGAGAGGCACTTGCCACGCTTGACTTGCAGCAGGTCTGCAAGCGACGCGGAAATGCCACGGGAAGGCACAGCCATAGCCGCCGATAGCCACCAGTTCCAGTCCCGATAAGGCGACGATAGGCAGAGCAGACAGCTAGCTGGAAAGCCAGATAGCGACGGGGGAGCGGAATTATTTATTATTCAAATTCTGAATGGAATGACGATGTGATGGGCTCGTGCTCGTGTACGCGGCGACACTTTTTGCTGTCAATATGCTTCCTGCAAGTGGTGAGTACTCCGAATGGGCTCATTACGATTCCCAATCTGTAATCTCCATCTCCCTATCGACCCGCAGATAACGATTATCGAGCGCCAGGTATTCGACTTCCTCGGGTACATGTGGGCGCCCATCCTGGTGAACTTTTTCCACATTCTGTTCATCATATTCGGGTTCTACGGCGCCTACCACTTCCGCGTTAAATACATCATCACCGTAAGTGGCCTGATTACCATATCTCTGCGATAACCCCAATTTATTTTGTGTGCCCGCCTGCAGTATCTAATATGGAACTTCCTGTGGATCGGCTGGAACGCCTTCCTCATTTGCTTCTACTTGAATGTGGGGCAGTTGAACAGGGTAAGTCAATGCACGTCGAAATCGACTTGGACAGCTACTTGATCACGCGAAATGCTCCTCCACAGGACAGTAACCTGCTCAACCTGGGTACTGGCAGCGTCTCCTGGTTCGAGGCGAACGGATACGGCTGCAAGCCCACCTACAACATGACCGCGGACGATCCGATCCGGCCGGAGCGCGTGGAGGGCTGCCTGCTGGACTACGAGCTGGTGGAGATCACCCACTCGGGGGTGCAGTGCGCCCTGGCGGTGAGTGCCCGTCTGGCTCAAGTGCCTGAATTGTGTTAATTGTCTCGCCCACCCTACAGCTGCTCGGCATATTCGGTGCGATTCTTATCAGTTGCATATTTCTTGACGAGGACGACAGATGTAAGTGGCGCTTTCTGAATTCGAACCATGCTCGTTTGTCACAAACCCCACTAACCGGGATCGGTCATTGCTAACCCCTTCTCATTTCTCATAATCTCTCACTTTCGGGTCTCACTGTGCACTGTGTCTATGGTAAATGTTTCCCATCCCCTCTTAACCTGCATTATTTCCCCTATGTGTAATGAATGTTTATGTGAAGTTACGAAGCGACATCGAGAAGTCGAAGACGATTGTTATTGTTAGTGTCGAATACATCAGGTTGTCGATATGTAAGCTCAAGGCTCCCCACCCAAAACCCGCACCCTGGAATGCGATTGTACCCACATAAATTTACTGTTTTTTGATTTAAACGTATATGGTATCCCATATTAACAATTGTGCCGTGTCCATGTGAACTGTGAGCAACTTTACATATGCCTTTAAAAACATTATACTTACATGCCATATACTCGTATTGTAATCCATGTTATGTCTAAGTCATTCATTCTTAATCAAGAAAACAACAACATTGTATTTGCCTTTCGTCAGCGACACTGTGCAGCTTAAAACAAAGTAGAACGCCATCTGGGTGCTCCGAAAAACATTGAATTTTAGTATAAATAGTGATGGGAATCGGAATCAGTAATGGGAAAGTTCGTGAAAGTCAAACAATCTCAAGTTTATTTGACCGATAGCTAAGTGATAGCTAAACAATCAAAATACACACACATTTATTTACACTTTACACAAATAGCACCGAAGTAAATCACTTGCCAGAGACTTGACCTTTATTTAGTTCAAAACTTGTGGCTGCTGCACAGTGTCCTGCGATACCCGATGTATTCTTCTGGTTATTGTTAAAGCATCTTAATCAATTTCTGGTTTGCAGTCGATTTCATGAACGGCGACGCGAAGAGTCCACAGCACACCGTGGTGCACCCAATGTACGTGAGCTATACAAGTATACCCACAACATCCGCAAGCGCCACCATGCAATCAAACAAGCATCTGCAACTGCAGCAGCAGCAGCCGCAGCAGAACTCACTGAAACTCTATCATCATCAGCAACAACAGCAACCCAAACTACACCACTTCAACAAGAACTACCAGTTGAGCGGCAGCAACAATAATACACTCAACAATAATCTCCACCAGCGCGCGCCTTCGCTGCTGCCGCCAGACACAACAAATAACCACAGCGCATCATTCCAACCCCACAGTCACCCCTCGACCAACCATCTAACCCAGCGCACGGGCGGCGAGGGGAGCAACTGCAGCAGCTTGCGCCGCCACCGGCACAACCATTCCAAGGCCCCGGTCAGCCCCAGTCCCATGTCCCCCCAGACCACGCCCTCGCTCTCGTACGCCTCGCTACAGAACTCCAATCCCTATCTGGCCGGCAACTCGCTGAGCAACAGCAACTACAGCATCTTCCAGAGCCCCGACTCGCTCCAGGGCAGCTCCCATTTCGCCCGCATCCACCACAAGCCCAAGCCGCCCAAGTCCGGCCTTCCTGTCTCGGGTGGACTAGATCCGAGTCCTGGCATGGGATTATCCTCGCCCATCCGTCCGCTCGAACGCCTGTCGCGCAACCTCGAGGAGGACGAGGACAACTTCTCGCTGCAGCAGTTCGCTCCGGGCGACAACGGTGTGACCTACGTCCCCTTCCAGAGTCCCACTCCGAACAGCCTCTTCCTGGGCGAGAACAACAACGCCCAGCCTCACCTCGTTTTCAACTCCAACTCTCGCTCAAGTCCCAACAACAACGCCTATCCCTACGACCAGAACGGGCTGCCCTCTCCCCTTCGCCTGGGGTCAAACCCAAAGGCACGGCGGCCCGCGCATATTCCGCTGCCGACGGTGCCCATGCACAGCTGCTTGGAGATGCAGGATGACGAGGATGCAGACGGCGAGTCCGAGCTAGATCACGATCATATGCTGACGCCGCCACCTCCGCCAATAGTGCGGCATCACATCCATCAGCGCTTGGGCCAGGCGCCCTATCTCGATCTCTCGCCGGAAGTGGCCGAGCGGTATGCGATTCCCAGCAAGCTAGGATCCGGGCCAGCCGTTCAGGTGCCCCTGCCCCTCCCCGTCCCACATGGATCGCCCATGGTGCGTCGAAGCAATCGCCGGCCCAGGCCCCCGATTCCCGTGAACTTCTGCGACCAGATTCGCGCTCCACCCGGATACGTGGTGCGCGCCCAGAGCGACGATCGCCTGGTGGAGCAGGGGGAAGCTGAGGCTGCTCCGCACGTGAATCGTCGGAGTGGTCGAAGTGCTAACGGCCAAAAGTCCCGTCCCCGCTCCTTCTGCAACTCGATAGTGGGCGTGCAGGCCTAGATTTAAGTACGTCCCGCTGCACTTGCTCCCCCTCTCTCTCTTAATCAAGCTCTCTGCCTTGGCAAGAGGCCTGTTACTAACTCTACCAGGATCACTCGATCCCCATACACAACCCTTCATACATATACATAGGTGTTGCTGTTTCTTTGTTGTGCCTAACCAGCCGGCTACCCTGGCTAAGATCAGGGCCTAACATTAGCTTCCCATGCGTGCGTTTAACGATTCGGATGATGCCTTGCAGAGCTGACTTCTATTATGTAAAACTAAGTAATCATTCACATACGTGCATACAGTAGAAACTTTCCCCGAATTGTGATAGAAGCGTGGAAAGTCGCGACAGAGTGCAAGCCTAACAATTTTATGTTGATCTGTGATAGCTGAAAACAAACATGAACGACAAACGATTATTTAAAAAACGAAAATGTCACAAAAATCATTATCAAGAAAAGGATATGAAAATTTGTTGAGAATGCAAGCGAGATAAATGAAATTTAGCGCCAATTGCAACCAGATGCCTTGGATGAATGACGGAATAGAGATTAGAGTATACAAGATATATATACTGATGTTATGTGCGGGGGAGCGCAGCCTCCCCAAGAGTTGCCTTTTGTTGTTTAACTAAAATAACTGAAATACGATATACACATATTACCATTAATTACGAAATGTACTACGATGCAAACGTTAGTTGTCAAACACAAACAAGAAGTTGCCTATTGATTTAAGTGCGAGATTCGTTATACAAACGCAAACAAAAGTAACCATACAAATTTATAGATCTGTTAAGTCTAGTTTTAAGCTTGAGGCCACACAAATGCATTAGCAGAGCAGATCCAAATCCATGTAGCGTAGTCAATATTTACTGTTTAGATAGATCCCCGATCTTGATCTTTAGCCATGCGAATTGCGCTGACTAGTGCCAATTCCCGACGAGATTCGAGGCGTTTTCAATAAAATGTTCATTTACACCAAACTACGGGTACTCTCTGTCTGTCTCGGAAGCCTTCGTAGCCGATCCATCTATCCTCCTAAGTTGTTCTCTCACTGGTAGCTGGCTTTCTGTAGCATTTGTGGCTCTAACCAACCGCTAACTCTCGACTCTCTCTGAACGTAGCTAATCCAACTTGTTTAACAGCTCCAATCACAAAAGCACACTCAAAGCTAACACGAGGTAACTTTGAACATTTTATCCGTGGCCTAACGGTCTTGCCGATCTCGTACTGATCCAATCTTGTTCTCCCCGGCGTAGTGAAGCATATTAGCAAGCAGTCCAAGCACCGCCAGTCGCTCTACTCGATCGAATTCGGCAGCAGCAGCGACACTATCCGGCATGGCGGCCACTCTATGGGACTGGGGCTGGGCGATTCCCGAGGCGACCAGGATGGCGGCGAGCTGAGTCCCAAGCCGATGACACCGCGGCGCGTCAAGAGACGGTCGGTCATGGCGCGCGGCACGCAAGGGAGGCAGTCGAGTGGAGGCGGAAGCAGCACCAGACGTTCGCATCACGGCTCCAGCGGCACCTTAAGATCAAAGCACGGACACGGCGGACATGGTGGCGGAGCAGACAGCAGTAGCGGAAGCTATGTGCGGAGCAGCACTCGGAGCTCCCGCCGAAAGTATCACCAGAACCCGGTGACCAAGATCATCGACCAGCAGCTGCAGCAACAACAGCAGCAGCAGCCTCACCTGGGTTCCTTTCACCGCCAAGACAAACTATCGCTGACCGCCTCCAACCTGCACTCACTCAACAATGACATAGTGAACAACACCAACGCGCCCGGCAGCCAGCTGGGCAGTCTGGGTAAGAGCAACCGGCACTACTACCACAGCTATCGCAAGAACATTCCGCTGGACCCAATTTACTACAACACGAACGGGCAGGGAGTGCTGGAGGAGCCGAGTTCGCCAACTCTTCCGCCGCCACCACCTCTGCCATCTGTTGCAGCCGCATCCAGCCTGCAGGTGGGCGGAGGAGGCCACTACAATCCCAGTTACCAACACTCCACCACCCACCTGAACGACGTGGGCCACGTGCCCGATGAGCTTTACAACAATCGGCCGCCCTCGGTGCGCTCCAGTTACTCGAATTTCCACGGCTCGCGGCCACTCTCCACCACCTACGGAAATGCCGCAGGCGAGAACGTGTTCGCCGGACTGAACGGGGCCAGTTCCACTCCGCCGCAGGCTCCATGTACGCCGCCCCTCTACCAGCAGCATCCAATGCACCTGCAGCAGCAACACCAGCAGCAGCAATATCTTCCGCCGCCGCCAATGGACCCGGCGCCTGCCTACGTCAGCGCCATGTCCTTCTCCAAACGGACTGCCTCGAGGGAAAGCATCCGCTCGATGGCCTTTCTGAACAACGGTCCGCCCGCCTACAATCTCAACTACCACACGCCGCCCGACTCGGAGACGACGATGTGAAACGGCTCTGTGTCGTGGAATTTGCCGAGTCCGTCCTTCGCCTTCATCCTCGCCCATCGATCTTCACCCGCATGGATCTCGGAATCTTACAAAATCTTCATCATGGCCATCTTCACCTGTCCAATCATATTTATTCTTGTGCAACAAGCCACGCCCATAGCCCTGCAGGGGAGCCCACTTCGCGCTTTAACCACTTGGATAGTTTAACGATATGTGTAGTGCTTAATGTATACCTAAGTTTCTGTCGTATTACCAAAGTGCCTTTGTAAATAAACATTTAAAGTATTTGAAGAGTTGGTTTACATAAAAATAGTTCACTCTAAAAATCGCGTAAAAATAATAATGTTGGGGGATAAATACAATGTGCTTTAAAGGCATTTGATAACGGATACCACAGTAAATACTCAGTTAATATTATTTATGTTCATATATGTTTGTTTATTGTAAGGTTAATGCGTGCTTAATAGTGACACGGTTAGATAACTGGGGTGTAGGCACTGTGCTTGGGATTTCAGTCCCTTCGACACACTGAAAAAAAAACGAAACCTTGTGGTAACTCGAATCATGGGTCTTCCTTGCCATACTCACATTCATCTGCATCCCAGCCGGGCTCGATGTCCAGCTGCTTATTGCGCTCCTTCAGCCAGGTGAAGAGTGGGGCAAAGTACTCCAGGATGCCACGACCGCTCAATTTCCGCTCCCCCGTGGCGATCTCCATGACATCCCGCCAGTGCCGACTGGCTCCCAGCTCCATCATGTCGTGCATCTTCTTGCCCGCCTCCGGGGAGCCGTAGAAATCGCAGTTGTGCAGCGGATGAGTTGGGTCTCCGGGCCGGTACTGGCCACTTGCCAGGCAAAAGGAGCGGTAGAACTGAAATCCCAGAATCTCCGCCAGGAATTTTCTGTAAAACATCGGCGATAAAAAGCTCCCAACTATAAATGATAACTATTAGTACCTACTTCGTGTTGGATGTTTCCGGGTTCAAGCCGCGATAGAACTTAAAGTCCAAATCGAAGTCCTTGTTAAGACGTGGCCTTGGCGGCTGAACTCCCGCGAACTTATCCTGCAGATCCCAGTAGGCACAGTTGTACTCCTTCACTCCGATCCGTCCGTCCATTACGTCCACCAGAAACTTGTCATTGATGAAGTACTGCGGCACGGCGATCAAGGTGTGCACGCCCATGCGGAAAAGCCGGTTCAGGGACTGCTCCTCCGTTAGGCTGTTGTTCAAGAGGATTTTGAGGCGGTTCAGGTGGCGTGGGGTTCCTGAGGCCAGGATAACCGTTTCTGCTATGGCAGCGCCGAATCCAGGACATGGCTCTGTGTCAAGACCAAACGGCAGACGCATCTTGTAGAGGTGGTACTGAATCTCCGCCATTGTTCCGTGGATCTGCATCATCTTCTTGTAGTCCAGTTTGGGACAGTAGCGCAGTGCCACTTCCGGCGGAAAGTAATACACCTGCGACTTGCAGTCGACTCCAGCTTCCTCTTCACTCATCCGGCGGGAGTAGCGATCGTAAAAGGTACTGGAGAAGGAAAGAATTTTGTTTTAAGCCCAACACACCCTACTTTCATGATTTTTAAAGCCAAAAATAAACTAATCTTAAGGAAAAAATACGTAGGTTTCCACTGGTGAATAAAAAACGTAAAATAAGTACTGTAAAAAATGGATACACTACATTTCCTACCTTAATAAATATTAAATCACGCATTCACAATTTAATTTTTTTAAAAACTTATTTACGATTTGTAATACTGCGGGTACGACGATAGGAATTGCAAAAATATATGTAGGCAAATTACAAACTTTGCTTATGCCTTTTACGAGTATCCATACACCAAACTGATAAACCCGACTTTTAAATATTCCTAAAATATTCTGGAACCTGCGCAGAGTTCACTCACTTTGGCAGAACGAAAAGACCCAGCGATTCGAAGAACTCGGCGGCCATGCGGTTGATCTTCACGGGTGTCACCAGTACCTCCTCAAGTCGTCTGTGTACAGAGGGCAGCTGGTGCTGCTTGCCTTGATGCGGAGTGCGGAAGAACTGGTGCGGAAACCAGTCCTGCGACAGGATCTGGTCCATGATGGGTGCGGAGATGGCGCCATCGCTCTTGGTGTCCGCCTTGGGGTAGGCGGCCTGCACCTCGTGGCGTAGGTACGCGTGCAGCTCCCGGTAAAGTGGCATGATCTCCCACACGACCGCCTCGAGCTCGGCCTGGAAGTTCTCAGTGTCGTAGTTGAGGTACCAGGTGCGCGAGGGCGTCACGTGGCCGTTGTAGGTGGCCGCTTTCCTGAGCAGGCGCACGTAATCCTTGAACGTGCTCTTGGCCACGTCATTCTCGTTTATGGCCGTGCGCCACCTCTTCCAGTTGTCCAGCAGCTCCTCGTATTGCTTGGCGTACATGTTCCGCTTCACAATCTGTGGAACCATGGCCAACTGCCCAGTGGCCGAGCAGTCATCATGGGGACAGACCATCGGCCCGCTGACAAAACTGTGTATCTGCCGCAGAAGGTCCTTGGCCTGCTCGTAGTCCTTTGGCCGCAGCCCCTGCAGCTGCAGCTTGGCCATTCGCTGAACGAGCCTGCGCAGCAGTGGATCGTTCAATTCGGACACCGGCACCACGCTCAAGTTGGCCGCCAGCTCGTAGTAGAGTCGATATGTCTCCGCCTCCACTTCCTGCTTCGAGCTGAGAACCGTTCCGCCCAGCTGCGACTTTCCCTTGGCCGTGAGCTGCACGAAGATCTTGCGGGTGATCTCCCAGACGTGTCGAATGCGGTCGGTGGCCCTTTGGAGGATCTGCTTGGTGGCCCCTTCATAGCCGGCGGTGTGATTGGAATGGGTCGGGATCACTAGGACTAGCAGGAGGCCGAGAAGGGCTACTCCTAGAAATGGTAGCCGCATTTCGGCCTAGACTTGCTTCCGCTTCGCGTCGATAAGGTTATCTGGGTGCTCAATAGTCCGACTTGGGCCCTGCTTCCGACTCTGGCAGAATCTCGCGGAGAACTGAACTGCCAGTCAAAATGCGAGCTAATCACTTGGGGGCCGGGGCATTGGGCTTATCTGCGGTTGCGAAAGAAGCCCGCCAGCGATCTCCCCAAGCCAACGTTTCGTATACTTTACGAGCTGCTTCTGACATTACGTATACGCGGCGTGTGCCAGAGGCGGATATCGCAGGGGTAAAGGGGGGGGCAATGGCAATCCTTACACCATTTTAGACTGATGAACAGCGTCCGCATGCTGGCTTTGTTAGCCAGTGGCCCATATTCAAGCTTAATCATTTTGACATTTTCTTTCGGGGAGAAACGAGGGGCGGAGGTCCTTTGGCCCGCGGTGCAGCAGCGAGGAATTCGGAACGGCAATAGGAATTTGAATCGGAGAAATAGGGGGAAGTTCGCCGGAGCGTGTCGTCGCTCGTGTGGCAAGTGGCTAGTAGCTACTGGCATGTGGCATGTGGCACGGCATTTGTTTATGCCGGCTGACCTGCAAGGAAACGCGAAGGGTCGGGGACAGTGCCCCAACGAGAGAGAATATCCCCGAGGACGCGTCGTCCTTTTTCGGCAGAATCGGAATACGGGGAATTACGGTGTGCGTTTTTTCATCGCTCTGCATCGCGGTGCCCTGCAGATTACGTCAAACGGAAAGGAAACCCGTTAGCCGAGCTCAGTCGCCGACGAACCTTAGAACCGAGCAGTCGCCATGCGAGCGCACGTACGTACAGTAGTGGCCCAGTGTCTCTGTCTCAGTGTCCCTTAGTGTGGAGTGAAAAGCCCAAGGAATATGGTGAAAAGCAGTGGCAGGCAGTGAAAAGCAGTGAAAAGCCTGAAAGGCCTGAAAAATAACGCAGAAAGGACGCACTCACACATACACAGGGCCGTTCGCGTTACCAGCACAAGTGCATTCAGTGCGAGGAAAATTCTTCAGCGCCCAAAAATAGAGTGAAATGTGTGCTGCATGTTGTTGTTGCTGCTGCCGAGGGAGGGGGAGGGTCCTCGGCGGAAACTAACCTACATTTTCGCGCTCTTTCGCACGCTTTCGCTGGCACACACACACGCGCTGGCAGGGAGGCCACCTCGCTGTCTCGCTCGCACCCACTCGCTGGGCCGCGAAAGAAATCAACAGTAAATTGTAATAACACTTCTCAGCCCGCCTATGTGTGTGTGTCAAACAATGTGCGTGCCCGAAGTTTTTTGCTTTGTGCCGTTTCTGTTTTTGTTGCTGGTTCCGTTCCAACATCCCCGTCCCCCTCCACTCAAATTGTTGCACAGTTGCGACTAAATAAAAATGTAATTAATGTAAAATAAAATCAAATAAAACACAGCAGCGGGAGCAACAACAACAACTTCTGAATCGGGCATAGTGAGTGGGCCAGTGTTGGGAAGTGGAAGTGTAAGTGTTAGTGTGGAAGTGGGAGTGGGAGTACGGGGCAACTTCAGTGGGTTCGTGTGCGTGTGTTGCAGGCCCAAGAAAGTGTAGTACGAAAATAGAAATAGAAATAGCCGTAGTGCAAGCACACAAGCGATTACATAAAGCCAGCTATCATCCCGAACATCCAACGACTGCAGCTAACGGAGAATAAACAACTGATGGCCAATGTTTAAAGGTAAAATCGAACATTCCAACGATTGTGTGTATAGTGTGTGAGCGTGGTTTCGGCTTGGGATGTAGATGTAGGTCCAACACAACCACAATGTCGTGGCCATAAATTAGCTCTTGATGTGCACTTAACTAGGCGGCCACACTTTCGCTTCGTTTCGTATCGCCTCGTCCTGTTCGCCTTTCTTTCGCACGAAAGAGAGAGCAAAAATTGGCGGAAGGGGACCGAAGAGCCAAATTTGTAGCACAACTTTAGGGGCCAACTGGCAAAGCTCAGCCGCACTTTTATGGGCCAACTTTAAAACCAACCGCTGGTCACGCCCAGAAAGCAGAAACAGAAACGGAGTTTCCACTCCCCCCACCCCCCTCCCAAGGGGAAGACCCCGCCGTAAAATTGTAAGCCAACAACACATTGTTTAATGCCTCCAGCGCCGCTCTTATTGTTGTAATAAAAGTATTTTTGCCGATTTGTGTGTGCCCGGTCCACTCCAAGCCAGCAGACCGGCAGGTGCAGATGGATCTCCTATGGCAGGAGCTTAGGCAGCCATGGCCCAGCCTCCGGGCCTAATGGCACGGGCGTATCCCCACCAGTCCCACCTTCGCTGCCAGCGAATTTCCGCCAGCAAACATCAACTGCCATAACGGGGAGGTGGAAACTTGATATTGAATATTTTATGGGCGCCTTCATCTAACGCTTTTCCATTTTCGCTGCCAGTTGCCAGTTGCCAGTTGCTTGCAGACGTGTCAAGAAGTTTGTGAGAAGCACAACAGGAAGCACGGGCCTACACAAACGTTTACCCATACATATTGCCGTACACTGTATGCCCAACAATGCCGGGAGCAGCGGCAACAAAGCGCTGAGCAATGAGCAGCATCATCCTGTCCTCTACCCTGGCACGCCCCCTCGCCTACGCCACTGCCCACGCAACCTCATTGCTTTTGGTTGGGCGCCATTTATCAATTCTTGTATCTCACTTTGTGCCGTGTGAGTGTGCGGCTCTGTGCGGGGAGATGCTAGATTGTGTGTGTGCCCATAATGTTAATTAACTTTATCTTGCCCAAGCTTTAAGACTTAAAGCAGCGCTCATTTCCCGGCTCTCGTCTCAGTCCGCCTCCCCCTCGCAGGTGTTTATCTCTTCCGTTACGCACATTACACACACGTAAGTCGAGTGAGTCGTTACGTTGCGTATACGTACTGCACTTGGGGAAATGTGCTTCGAGTTCTAAGGGAAAGCTGTTATGTGATGATAGCCCTAGGGGAGAGGAAATGTTTTATTTCAAGACATTAAAGATACAAATAATTGGCTACATTTGAGTCCATTCTTGTTTCAATAAAACCCAGATACTACAGTTTGGAAACGAGAAAACAGTTTTATTTCAAAAAAACAAAGTAGTTTCTTTAGCTAAACTTAAATCCATTCTTACTTTATTAAAGTAGATGTATTTTATATTATTATTTTTAACGATACCTGTTAATATAGCCAGGGAGGCCCCCATTTGCAGCCCAGTTAAGGAAAGGTCTCCTTGCTTTAATTCTAAAAATATTATTTTTTCTGAGTGTGGCCTGTGTGTGTTGGTGGGGGCGTCTTGAGCTGCCGGGGATTAGCGCGCTGCCAATTACCGCTACACGACACGACGCAGAGCAATTGCGAGCAGAGGCGATTTAATTTACTCGCAATCCCCACCCTCTTACATAAGCTTAAATCTCTCCACTCAACCGTTTCTTCCCATTTATCCCGTTTACAAAACAGACGAGCATCGCAAAATGTAAAGCAATAATCAACACAACAAAGCCAAAGCTCACAATAGAAGTAGACGAAGACGGAGCTGAGAAGACGAGCTCGGGCGATGCCAAATGCCATTATTGGAAACTGTCGTAGTCATAAGATTTGCATAGCATAGCAATAGCAATAGGCAGCATGAAAGCCCCCAGCGTGATAAGCACTCCAGCAACAACAACAACAACAGCAATAGCAATAGTAGATAATACCACGCACAAAATGGTTAACAAAGGGAACGGTGACAATATTAACGTTAACGGTAAACTGAGCGATCCGCTCGCCTGAAAAGTGAGACAGACATATGACCAGTGTTCGAAAATCGAGTGAGAAGCCAGATAAGAGAGAGCGAGACATGCAGCTGCCCTAAGGACCTCGGCAAGGACGAAGGACAAGAGACCAAGGAGCAACCAGAGGCAGCAGCAGCAACCAACCAAACGACGACAATCAGTCAAGATGAGTGATGATCAAACGGCGTCCTACGATGAGAAAGGTGAGTCCCCGAACCACTAAGCCCTACTGATACCGCTATTGATAGTTTTTCAAGCCACCCGGCCTCATAAATATTATTCTGGAGGTGTCCCCGGGGGAGTGGGGCGTTGGGAGTCGTGTAATGGGGAGGCCATCAAATCTGTATCCGAGGGCATATGCATTGAAAGGCCAGGAGGGCAGGTGTCAAGGGGCAGGACTCCTGCCTCTCCTCCTTCTCCACAAAGCTTCTCCGACATCCTGACAGCGACACCTGCACGCCAACTAAGCGAAAGTCGTGCACAGTGGTCGTGACCACACAGATGTCGTTGGATGTCGGCTGACTGGAGTCACAAGAACTCTTTTGAAACTGGTATTCGTATTGTAAAAGCATTGCTGTTTTACGTTTCAAATTGCATTAGAGACCACTTTTTCAATAAGTTCTTGCCTGACAATTCCTTATCTTGCACAAAGTAAAATATTTTCAAAACTTTTTTGGTTTTTTATACAATTAAGTTGGCATATGTTTTATTTTGACCTATTATGACCTTAAAAGAATTATTTAATAGTGAACGTAAACGCCTTTCATTCCCCAAATTATAATCGTTTCCTTGTTCAACGTTATAGTATCCCGAAAACTCGTGTTCTAAGAATCTGCATAACTTGAAAATTTATTAGTTGGCCAAGTTATGAGCTCAAAGACGAACATTCATCATCGGGTTATTGCACACTCTCTGGAAGTTCACTTTGTCCGGAGCCGCCCACGGTGCGAGAATCGGAATGCCAGTGGAGGAGTGGCGTGTTTTGGGGGTGGGAAGGCCGAAGGCATTTGCCTTTGCTTTTTGTGCGTGCTGTGCGTTTTCATGCCACTTCCCGGACTCCTGTCCTGTCCTCCAGTCCGCTCCTGCTCATCAACATAATTAAATAGCATTGCTCATTGTGTGCTGGGCGATTGCTTGGCCGGCTCCTGCCCTGTGCCTTTCGGGTTTGGGTTTGGGTCGATTCTGGGTCTGGGTCTTGGCCAATAAAACGAGAATGGAATCGAAGCAGCTTAATGGCGGGACGGGCCGACCCTAAGGCCGTTTAAATAAATGATAAACAAATCGAAAATGGGAAGCGCTTTTGCTGGACGCAAAAGTTTCGGCTGATGACTGGCCATAAGTTACGCAACCGTTTTGCAGGCGCCGATAGAGAGCGCAATTTGTCCTTTCGGTGGGGGAACGGGCGGATGAGTGGGCGGTGGGCGGCGGGCGCCATTGTCAGCGGAGGATATTCATTGGGGAGGTGAACAATGCACAAAGGCCAGCAGGCGCTGCCAGCTGCGGATTACGAATATGAACGGAAACGGAAACTAATTAAATATGTAGAGCAATTGCTGCTGCATCTCGCTTTATCCTCCCGATTCACTTTTTCACTTTTGTTTGTCCCGCCTCGCTGGAGCTTCTGTTTCGGTCTGGGCTCCTCCGTCTCCGCCTCCTTCTTCTGGCCCGGGCCACCTTCCTTTTAGCCTCGCCAGCCCCGAATTGGATTTGGTTTTCGGCCAGGGCCAGGAAGCGCTGCATAGAAAGTGCCCCGTCTGCGAGGGGCGTAATTGGCCCAGCCCCGGTCCCCAACCCGAGTCCCTCTGCCAGTCCCAATCCCATTTCAATTTCCATTCCCATTCCCGTCACCATTGAACTTGTGCAAAGGTCTGCGCAGCTGCAACTGCAGCCGAAGCAGCAACGCCACGCCAGTTGCAACTGCAACAATGGCTGCACTAAAAGAAAATTATGAAAATTAACCCATAAAGTGGCAAACAATACAGCCAGAAGTTCGTAAAGAGCGGCGAGTTATAAGGGCTCTTAAAACTTTGAACACTCTACTTTTACTTTGTTTTAAAGAACTGTTTTGGAATTTATATTGAGCTTAGGAGAAGGGGTTTACTTTTTTCCAGAGTTGCTAGTTTTTTATTAACCGTTCTGTGGATTGAGTTGTTTTTTGTGATTGAAAAAGCCATGCAATAATTAAATTATCATTTGTTATATTACAGTTCGAACTTTCTTTTACTAGTGTTTTCGCCACTTCAAAGACCACTAAGTACCGATTTTATCTCAGTTTAAACTTAAAGATGAAGTGCACGTTGGGTCTTTACTTTGTCATTGTGAGCTAGCTTAAGTTTTGCGATTACCTTGAATTACTTTGAAAGATATGCATGCATCATTTGAATGGCAACGTTTCTCGCCGTGTGTGGATGCAACTGGTTTTGGGGAAAACCACGACATTGCCCGTTGCTAGTGGCTTTTAAGTTTCTGTGTCTGTGTGCAATTTCCTTTTTGTTTTTGGGAGCTTTGAGAATGACTTTGCTTCCGCGTGAAGATGCGGCGGTGGGTCTGGAGTAGCGAGTCGCGAGCCCGGGACGATTATGCAATACGGGGAAGATGTGCGTCTTTGTTGCATCTGATGTTAATGTGCGACCGCCAACCGGTTGCCACCGTCACTGCCGTCATCATCGCAGCAGCAGCTTCAAGAAGCACCTTCATCATCGTGAGCAGGGCCGAAAGATGTAATCCCCATCGAGAGATGCAGCCCGAGTGCTCCAGCTCCATCTCCACATCTTCCAGTTCGAACTTCATTCGCCACAGCATCGTGATTATGATCGTCATTATGGTTTGATTGGCAACCGATGTTGCGTTGGTGTCCCGCTCTCCGCCAGCTAGTTCCTTATGTAAGCCCGCTTTTGTTTACAATTCGAAACAGTTTAAATGTGTATTAATTATTCGGCAACGGTGGAATCTGCCGAGCTGCCAAGCAGTCAGCTGCCACGCTGCCCAGATGAGAAATGATAATCAGCGACGTAATCGAAATGGCCGGATGGCCCCGATTCCGATGGATCGGATTCGGATGAAAACTGCGACCCACTCACTCAATGCTAATGAAAACTGTAGCTAATCAACGCCGAATGCACAACGGAAGGAGAGGGTGGGTGGTGGGTGAGCTGGTGGTGCTGGGTGGCCAATGGCCATGACCTCTCTCCGCTGGCAGTCCGTCAGTCAGTCGGACGTCTTGCTGATGTAAGAGCGAAACAAAACCCACGGCATGGCACTTTTTATTTTGTACCTTTTTGCCAATGCTGCAGCGCCGGAGCATGACAAGATATTTTTGATGCTGCTGCAGGCGAGGCTTAACCCAATAACGCTCGAGAGCCACTTTCCCAGCTGGCTCTCAAAAAAAGGGGACCTGACCTGGCCCAATCCGGAGAACAGGTTCTGTTCCCCACTCTTCCGCGCTGGCAAACATCATTATCGGGCTAATTTCCGGCCCGGGAACGGCCATCAATGGGTTAATGACTAACGACCTGACCAGCGGGCAATCCAGCCATCCAACCCTTGGCCAATCGTTATGCAAGTGTCCCGACCAACAATAAGGAATTGCCAATAGGAAGTTCGTATCTGCATAAACATCCATAAACATGAACGTCAACAAAATACCTAACGGTTACATGCCAGCATCGTCGATGTGATAAAGTGGCAATAACAACGAGCTCTGGGCCAAAACTGGAACTGGTCAAGTTGCATATTACCACAGTTTGGATTTCGATTTTAACCATTTTCGGCAGTCAGCCCACAAAGCTTAGGGCCACTCAGATTTTCTCTCAAACGAAAGTGGAGCACAGTAGACAGTGCTCCTCGGGAGAGAGTTAGCTAGTACACAGAGAGAAACAGCTGCCGACAAGTCGAACCTTCTGTTATCATTATTGTTGTACTAACAGCGTCTCTTAAGTCTCGATTTACAAAACTAGTACCTCGGCAAAAAAAAATTAAGACATAAAGGTAAGCTAGGATATGTGGGTTCTTACGATTTTTCCTTTTAATAGATGACATGGGGAATTATTTTTGAGTGACTGTGTAGTGATTTTATATAGGTTTAATGAACCTGTTTTGTTATTCGCATGAAAAAACAAAGATTATTAACAAATTTGGTAACAATCTTAAATCTTATTTTATGCATTGCCTATAGAAACTTTTACTATGAAGTTCAGCTTCAGAATGTGGGTTCTTAAGAGTTGTTCCATTAAATGATGATGATGTAAATGTATCAAAAGAAATTCCTGGTGAGGAGTAGTAGTAGTAGTAGTAAATTTAAGTTGGTTTATGAAACCTGTTTTGGTAGTCGCTCCGAATATTGCAAATGGAAATTCAAAGATGCTATTACATTTACGTTGGTAACACACCATTTTATATCAAAAATGTTGCACACAGAAAATATAAAAGGGTTCAGCTGTTCGCGGCGTGTAAGAGTGAGGGAGAGCCGCGCTTGCAAAGGGCACATGCTGGGGATGATGTGAAAGGTCAACACTCTCGCGATCTGCAGAAAGGGAGAGTGGAGAGTGGAGACCCGACGAGCAGGCGGAGAAGAAAGCAAGACGAAGACGCGGCCATGTGGCCTTCAATGGGTCGCGCCCGTGGAACGCCAGCAGGTCTGGCTCCACTTCATTCGGCGCGTCGTCGCCGAAAGAGATTATCTCTGCACTTGCTCGGCGGCGTCGCGATCGCTTATGTAACCCCGTGGCTCCCGAGTGCAGAAGAGGGCTATAAAACGGCGAGCGGCCACGATTGCCGAATCATTTCCAGTCAGTCGGTCCAGAGGCGAGCTATCATCCGAGAGTCCTTGGCAACGAATCCAGAGAAATGGCAGCCCGTTTCATAGTGAGTTCACCGCGCCACCGCGTCAGCCTATTTGGGTCCTAACCAAGCTTCCCTCCTCCCAATCCCAGATCAGTGCGCTTCTGCTGGCCAGCCCGGCAGTTTGGGGCAAACCCACCTTCGGACGCGAGCACGTCCACATCCGCATTCACCTGCCGGAGAGCGGTGGCGACCACGGCGGTCACGGAGGCGGTGACTTTGGAGGTCACGGTGGCGGTGACTTCGGAGGCCATGGAGGCGGTGGTTACGAGATTCACTCCCATGATGGGGGATACAGCGGCGGCGGTGGAGGTGGTGGTCATGTGAACACCTATGCCATCATCACCGAGAACCACTCTTCGGGAGGAGGTGGAGGCCACGGCGGATACAGCTCCGGCGGATACAGTTCCGGCGGATATAGTTCTGGTCACGATGATGCCAAGATTGCCGCCATCGCAGCTGCTGCTGGTTCGTCCTCCGATCACGGACATGGTCACGGAGGCGGCGGCGGACATGGAGGAGACTTGGGTGGACATGCCATCGCCAACATTGCAGCTATCGCCGCCAGCTCGGACTCCTCTGCCCACGGAGGCAGCTACGGAGGATACAGCGGTGGCGGTCATGGAGGCTACAGCGGTGGTGGACACAGCGGCGGAGGCCATGATACCCAGGTGATTGTCGCTGCCGCCGCTGCTGGTGATTCCTCCTCCGGCGGATATGGCGGAGGCTCCTCGGGTGGATATGATGCAGGCTACTCCGGGGGCTCCTCCTACAGCGGTGGCTCCTCCTACAGCAGTGGCTCCTCCTACAGCTCCGGAGGATACAGCGGAGGACAAGGCGGTGGCTACAGTAGCGGTGGACATGGCGGCGGATCCAGCTACGATACCCAGGTGGTGGCGGCTGCCGCTGCCTCCGGAAGCGGTGGCTCCTACGGCGGATCTTCCGGCGGCGGTGGCGACGGATACAGCTACTCCGCGCCAGCTTCCGGCGGCTGGGCGGGATCCAGCTCCAACTGGAAATAGGCGGCAACGCCCGGCCTTGGCCATTTGGTCGTCTAGTCTACTGTTCACGCCTCCAGCTCACTCCATCAAAGGAACTTTTAACTTATATTCGACTCGTTCGCTCATCCATATTCCACACGTCCTCACGCGATGCTGCTGTACAAAATAAACCATGTTAGTGTAATAATTTAAACCAGTCTCTAGACACTTGGTGGGATTCGGCCGAAACTTACCTGCTCAAAATTAACAAAGATGTGATACGTCTACTTCCCAAGCTTTTGCCGACTTTTGTCGGCTTCCTTCACGGGGCCAATCAGGTGGCGCTTGAACATGTCGTAGATGGAGAAGTAAACGGCGCTGGTCAGTCCGGCCTTGAAGAGGGTGGGCGACATTCCCTTGTAGAAGCCTCCAATGCCCTCCACCCGGAACGTGGCGGCGATGCAGCCCAGGACCGTTGGGCATTCGGGGTTGCGGCCGAAGGTCTTGCGCTCCTGTTTGAAGGCCATCAGCTGGATGCGCTTCTTGAGCAGGTCCGCCGGGTAGACGATCATCTTGGCAATCACCCCGGACAGCGCTCCGTTGAGGAAAAGGAAGCCGCCGTGGATCTCCTGGCGGTGGTCGGGCGGCGCCGGCGGCATGGCCATGAGCACCAGGGCATTCAGGTACTTGTAGAGGAGGAAGTTGGCCCCCACCAGCGGGAAGACCTGCACCAACTGGAAGGGCAATCCTCTCGAAAGCCCCGCCCAGCCCTCCAGCCTGAAGACCCTTCGCAGTCCACTCAGGGTGCTCATCTGGCTGCGGTTCGAGGAGGGATCGGCAGCCACCATCTGGGTCCGCACCACGTCGAGTGGCTGGGCGGCCACGGCTCCCAGGCATCCCGCCAGGCCGCCGCAGACGAAGAACATGAGGAAGGGACGCTGGTTCCAGTAGTCCGACTGGTGGGCCAGTGCGCGGAGCTGTTCGTAGGACCAGAACTGCACCAAGGCGTACGTGACACTGAGGACCTGGCCAGAGTTGTGACCCCGGAACATGCCTCGCATTCCCTCCTCAGCGTATATCGACTTAAAGGCGTGGATGACCCCGCGGTACTTGGACCCCTTGTCGTTGGTGACCGGCTCCACCTGCATCTGGAAGCGGATCTTCAGCACGTCCAGCGGCTGGGTGATGCTGCGGGTGATAGCTCCGGCGACTCCGCCACCAAGGGCCTGCATTACCTGGACTACCACCGAGTTTTCGGGCATCGGATGTGGGATCGGGGAGTGGGCGACTTGGGCTTCGGTCCGGGGACGGGCTCCCCAGAAGAGCAGGAGCTATTTTGGGTGCAGATGATAGCGAGCTGGTGTGTTGTCATTCCGCAAGATAGATATCTGTTGCTGTAAAAATATTTTAGTGGTCACCGGCTAAACTCTGATTAAGCTTGCGTCCATAACTCAAGTTCTATAAATTTTAGCAATAGGTCCAAATTTTAAAGTACAAAATAATTTATCTGACAATAATATGAAAGTATACCTAAAAATGATTATACCAGTAATTCACATGTATTCCTTAGCAGGCTTAATAGTGAATTGATTAAAATATAGATTTATATATATCTATGGGATTAAATAATTTCGACATAAATGATTGTATGTGGGATGCAAGTTTAAGATTTGCACCCTACGGGTTATATTATTTAATTTTACTTTTTATGACACAGTTGTCAAAATAAGACTCTAGGAAGAAGCTGGGGCTTAAGGCCAGATATACATAATTTACAAATTTGTTGGCCGTTTTCACAAAGCTTAATAAAATAATCGACAATAATATTAAAGTAAACCTTTATTCTGAGCTGCTCGAGATTGAGAGTAATGGTATTAAAAAAGAGTTCGCGGGGAATATTTAATTATATTTAGCAAATGGTTTTGTAAGTTCGTTTAAACTATAAACATTCTTAAAAACCTTAGCCTGTAATGAACAACAATTTTATAGATCGTTACAGGACTAATGAACAACAAGAACTTCTCAATAATGTCTGCTTATATTGATATCCATTCCATCCATCCCAAGTACTAATCACCCCGATCTCTTCCAGCTGTCGCCAAGCACCAGGTCGTCGCGTATACGCAGAGGTCGCAGGTCAAACACGAAAACCGGCACATCCAGCTGGTGCGGGAGTACGGCTTCCATCCGCGGACCAAGGCCTCCGTGGAGGACGGCGACGTGTTGCCCCGCAAGTTCGAGCCCTTTCCGGAGCACATGTACGGCAAGCCGCTGGAGGAGATTGACACCTTCATCTATGAGGAGGTGAGTACCGACCCGGCCCGCTCATTATCCGCGACCTCACCCCAGTTGGCCGCCCATTGGCTCTAATTAAAAAGTCACACGGCCGCCGAGCCAGTCCACCGGAATCCGGATTCCTGGGGCCGGAGGGGAGGCGGAAAAGTGGCGGAAATGGAACGCGGCGCGGGCTGTTGCTGCTTTTGTTTTGATGGCTTCGTTGCGCTGCACTTGCGCCATTGTGGGCACAAGTGGAAGTGCACTTTGGCGGCAGGGAAACCGGGGTTAATGGAAACGCCTAGAACGGCCCTCGTGGGCCCTCGAGAGCCGAAAAGGAAATCAGCGTAAATGCCGCGCGCTCGTTAAATTTCAAAGGCGGGAATAAATTTTGGAACTGTGTACATCAAACAAAGGACACACACAATTGCGCACACGTTTGGCCACCGAGTACCCAGTACCCAGCACCCGGTGCCGAGTGTGGATGTGTGCTGGAAATATGGGTCATGTCATGCACAGGGCTCCGGGCAGCAAAGTTGACAACCGTATTTACGTGACTCAAACAAACTGGCCGGAGTCGCTGCCGCAGCAGCCGCAGAGGACAAATTATAGGCGAACATGCAAGTGTACTCAAGACTTGGCGGCTTTCGGGCCACGTGTCGTGGCAAAATAATTCCGGATAGCGGCCCGGACTGGCTGGACTGGGCTGAATAAACATGCAAGTGGCCAGCGCACAAGGCACAGGGGCTGCAATATAATGGGAGTTACCGTCATGGGGAGAGATGAGATGAGCGTACCTGTGACGCCGAATGATGTGTTTATCGATCGACTGGATATCCCACTAAGTCCAAGACAAACACAGCCGGGCAATCTATAATTAAATCTTATTGGCTTGCAGTCCTGAAAAATCTTGCTGTATCGTAGCACTTTCTGGGTCACAGTGACTCCTGCGATGAGTGCTGCACTGGTGTGCCACATTCTATAATTAAAGCCTGAGAGGGGTTGGCTATTGGGAAACAAATGAGCCTTTTCCGGGTCACAGTCACTGGTGGCTAAGCTGTTAACCACACGGCTTTGGTAAATCCTTTTGACAGAGTCCAGCTAATTCCCAAAGCAACCCAAGTCACAATATATCACTAAGGTCTCTTTGTGTCATCTGCGAAAAGCCATACATAATACAATTAATTTCAGTTCTCGTTTTCATCTTTAATAAAATGTGCGCTGATAGCTTTCTAAGCATGGATTAAGTCTTCTGGCTTTGAGTTAAGTAACTTTCCAGCAAAGTTATAAGGTAGTACTGCGATTTGCGATACAAAGAGGGGTATAAACTGGTTAAAAACTTATACATATTTCATTTTAGTAGTAGTCAAGCAAGAGCTTCAGTCTCAGTGACTTGGTCGCTCATCTCTGATAGTGTGCCGAAACTGACCAAACATTCCATTTGTTTTGAGTAATTTTCCTAACCAAATAACGCAGCAGTTTCTGGGTAGTTCCATAGTTACTTTCCTTTGAATATTAGATTTTAGTTGGGCAAGCCTAGGCACAGCCTCCCCCATCACTTGCCGCTCAGCTCCCATGGAAATAGGGCTGCCGAGCTCTCAAACAGCCACTGCAGGTGGAGAATCAAAGTGCTTAATTGCATTTAATGGTCCTCTGCTGGCAAACAAGGTCCGTCTGCTCCTCCCCGGCGTCGTGATAGGACACAGACGCCGCCGCATGTTTGTCCGGAATCCCGAACAAGGTCCTACACAACTTTTCATTTCGGGCACTTAAAAGTACACACGCTTATCCTTAAGCTCTCTGCTCCGCCGCTTGCCGTGCCGCAATCTACAACCACACTTCGGGGAACGGGAAAACAGGGGAACCATGCAAATTTACAGCCCAGCGAGGCCCACAGCCCACAAAATGGTAAATGGCAAACTGCCACCCAATCGTAATTTTTGCTTGTTACATTAAAATTTCTGCTTACTCGGCTGAGCGACGTTTATGTGTGTATTACAGTGACAAACGACCTTCAGACAAGTGGGCTGGAGGGAGGGCGGACGGGGACGGCCGAAACATCATCCTCGGCAGGCACATCTGCATATATAATTGAAGAAATCAGGGCGCTAATGAACAACTCAGTTTGGCCCGGGCAGCTGCTTCAGGATTAGTTTCGGTGTGGTTGGCTCCCCTCCGGCGGCAAACAAATCGATATTCCGAACGTGGCCAAGGAGCAGGGAGCAGAGCAGCGGCGGAACGGCATGACGAGCGCAGGACACGCGCTCCCTGGGGGCTGGGGCCAGTGGTTCCTCCTCCGTCCGACTGCGCCCTGAATAATCGTGTTAGCCGATTTGGTGGGAATTTACTGCCCAGCCTCGGGTGATCAATGTTTAATGGGATTTCGGTCTCCCGGGCCTCTTGCCAATCCGTAGATCCAATCTGCCGGCTGGCCGATAAGCATTCATCTCCACGGAACGAAGACCCGGAATCCAGAATCTGGAATCCCACTAGCAAAAACACTTTCGGCAAAACGTGCTCTCACGCTCACGCACATATAGACACACGATTCGCGAGTGTGGTTATGTCGAAAGAGCACGCTCGCCCCTTTCTCGCTCTTACTTTCTCACTCTCATTCTCATTAACAAACACATACTTTTTCTCGTGGAACCTTGGCGAAAATCCAGTAATTTATTAGAATCAATTTTTACGGGAAATGAAACGTGAATTTGAAATGCACATGTACGTTTGTGTGAAAACTGGTTTTGCAAAATTACATGTGGGCCCCATTTTCAGGGCGACCCAGGCGGCGTTTTCGTTTCGGCGTGTTAGCATCAATCAAGAGTTCCTGGAAAACAGAGGAAAACGCGAATTAGAACCTCGCGTGCGGCGGATGGTTGGGGAAAGGGTGCTCCCGGGGGCAAGCGCCGGGGAAACTCACCAGTTAGTGGGCGATGGCGCTGCGATTACTTGGACCTTGCACGCATCTTCCTGCGCTTACGCTTCAACCTACGCATACGCTTCTTACGCCACTGCAAACGAGAGAAAACACGGTTAATTGTTGTTCGCCAGGGCGGATGCAGATATTTCACTATGATTCGGAGACTATTTCACTTGTGAGAACCCATTTTTACCTTAGCTCTCATTTTCCTTCTGGTTCGGAGTGGAGCTCACTGAACTGCACTGTTCGAATTTTTGAGAACGAAAGACCGAGTATCTAGCGGAAGTCGGCCTGGTAGCCTCGCGTGGCGGTTGACAGCTCGCCGTAGGGTTGATTCGGCGCGATAGCGTGCCTATCGATAGTGGCCCCACTTGGGGCTGCCACCCAACAGTGCTGCCATTTTGATGTCCGTCAAATTAGCGTCGGTCTTTTAGCAACGAAAGTGGAACGGTGGCAGTTGGAACATGGGGGCTCCTTTTATTTTTAAATTTTCTCGCTATTTGGGGACCAAATCAAAAAATCTAAAATGCTAAATTGTTAAGAAATAAAAGATCTATAGATCTAGGTAGTTTTGGGACACATCCGAGGCCTTTTAATGTTTCAAAAATGCATTTGAAAAATCGAGTCCCCACAATTTTGTTAACTGCTCCCCTCACAGAGGTTGTGCCAATATGCACGATAAGCCAAGCTATTGAGGGTTAATTCAAGCTCCTTGTCTAAAAGTTTCATCAAAATCAAACCCACAGTTTTTGAGAAAATAGCCTAACAGTGACGCAACCTCGGATTTTCCCCATACAAAACAGGGGGGCAAAAATGAAATTACCTACGGCTCCACTCCTAGAGGTTGTGCCAACATGCACGGTATATGGGTACATAGGGATAATCTAAGGAGTGTTCTGTGAAAGTTTTATCAAAATCAAACCCACAGATTTTGAGAAAATTGCTTTACAGTTGGGGGTGTTAAGAAGGTTAATAAAAGGCCGTTTAATCCAGAAACTGAACCATGGGTACTAAGACATGAGCCACAATGTAAATAGCTTAGCCGTGACACGCAAAACGTAAGTGTCGGCAAACGTTAGTGTCAGTAAAAAAGGGAGATAGCCTCAGCGTAAGTGTCAGTAAAAAAGCGAGATGCAAGATGCGTCGTAAGTGTCAGCAAAACGTAAGCCAACGTAAGTGTCAGTAAAAAAGGGAGATAGCCTCAGCGTAAGTGTCAGTAAAAAAGCGAGATGCAAGATGAGAATGGGAGATGGAGAACGAAAGAACGAGTACCTAGCGGAAGTCGGCCTGGTGGCGGTTGCCGCGATAGCATGCCTATCGATAGTGGCGATGCCACTTGGGGCTGCCACCCCACAGTGCTGCCATTTTACCTCGATACTGGTGCTACCACATCCAATTCCTATAATTAAGCCTAGTATAAGCCCAAAGAATAAGAAATTTAATCTTTGGCGGTGTTCATGCAAATGCGAAGTGGAAACTAAATATTAAAAATGAAAGGAAAACCCCAAAATAGGATGCAGGAGGTCAGTGCAGATGAAATAGAACGCCTAATCCAAGCAGTTGCCCTTTATTGTGGGATTTCACCGACAGGAAGCAAAACAACAGGGGCAAATCCGCAGAATAGTTGAAGTGCTGGAGGAGATCCACTAGAGAATCCCAGTGGGAAGGAATATGCCGAGTGGGACTTGGCTCTCTACATGGACATCCTGCCGGGCGTCTCCTCGCAAAGAAAGTGATCTCCGACGACCTCTCCATTAGTACTCCGTACACCACCACCACCAGCTACTTGGCAGCTTAAGCGGAGCTGAAAGACCCGCTGGCTTCTATAGGGAGGAGGAAAATGGAGCACCCGCTAAGGAACAGTTGGAGAAGCCTTAGCCAGCCACTGCCAGGATGCTGGGCGACTTCCTGCAGCATCAGCGGATCAACCGCGTTCCCAATCCGGCTCCCACTTCCTCAAGGTCCAATATGCCTATTGGGACTCGGAGCTGAACTGCGGTGGAGCGGGAAAGACGGCGCAGCATCCGTGGGACGAGAAGGAAGCTTTAAACTACTAATTTAGATAAATAAAAACATTAGTTGAACATTCCATTTATTTTTATTTTAATTTAATTGTGCACCAGCAGACTCCTCCTTTTTAAATTTCAATTTCAAACCCAACTGCTTGACAGTAAGACCATGCTACATGCATTGCGGGTGAACTTTGAAAACTTCGGTCACACTACAAAGAATAAGATTTTTCGACTAGTGAAACTCTTAGCCGATCTGAGTACTAGGCTTTAGCGTCGAATGAATGTCATATACATTGTGGTTCATGTCTTAGTTCAGTTTCTGGATTAAACGGCCTTTTATTAACCTTTTTAACACCCCCAACTGTAAACGATTTTTCAAATGCATTTTTGAAACATTAATAGACCTCTGATGAGTCCCAAACCTACCTAGATCGACAGATATTTTCTTTCTTAACAATCTAGCATTTTAGATTTTTCGATTTGGTCCCCAAATAGCGAGAAAATTTAAAAATAAAAAGAGCCCCCATGTTCCAAATTCCACCGTTCCACTTCCGTTGCTAACAGGCCGACGCTAATTTGACGGACATCATTTTACCTCGATGCAATCTCCAATTCCTATAATTACCAAGAAATTGCCGCCAAAACGGCATAAAGTGAAGGAAAATACGTGGGAGATGCAGTGGGGACCGCATCAGGCTGCCTCCTCGCTCGACCAACAGGAGTGCAGAGAATCCTCCGAACAGCACCCTGTAATCTGCCCGCTCTTTTTGAATTGCAGACCTTCTGCGTGGTGTCCAAGAGGTTCCGGAAGAACTACATCCACCGCTTCACGGGCACCAAAAGCCTCTTCCTCTTCTACCCATGGAGCCCGGCGCGGCGGGTGTGCGTCTACATCGCCACCAACCAGTTTTTCGATTATTGCGTCATGGCCACCATCCTGTTTAACTGCATCTTCCTGGCCATGACGGAGACCGTGGAGGAGGCGGAGTACATCTTCCTGGCCATCTACTCCATCGAAATGGTCATAAAGATCATCGCCAAGGGCTTTCTGCTCAACAAGTACACGTATCTGCGCAACCCGTGGAACTGGCTGGACTTCGTGGTCATCACCAGCGGCTACGCCACCATCGGCATGGAGGTGGGCAACCTGGCGGGGCTGCGCACGTTCCGCGTGCTGCGCGCCCTCAAGACGGTGTCCATCATGCCCGGATTGAAGACGATCATCAACGCGTTGTTGCACTCCTTCCGCCAGCTGGCGGAGGTCATGACCCTGACCATCTTCTGCCTGATGGTCTTTGCGCTCTTCGCCCTCCAGGTATACATGGGCGAACTGCGCAACAAGTGCGTGCGCCAGGTGCCCACCGACTGGACGAACGTGTCGCACGCGGACTGGCATATGTGAGTGGTGACATGGGATTTCTTCGGGGCCTCGGCCGCGAATTAACGGAGACTATTTCGTTCCAGCTGGGTCAACGACACCGACAACTGGCTGTATGACGAGGATGAACTGCCCGTGCTGTGCGGCAACCTGACTGGAGCCCGCCACTGCCCCTTCGAGTACGTGTGCCTCTGTGTGGGCGAGAATCCCAATCACGGCTACACCAACTTTGACAACTTTATGTGGTCCATGCTGACGACTTTTCAGCTGATCACGTTGGACTACTGGGAAAACGTATACAACATGGTGGGTGCTATTAAATTCCTCCCGGATGAGCAATGGACCAATTTCGTTTTCCTTTTAGGTGCTGGCCACCTGTGGTCCTATGAGCGTCTCATTCTTCACGGTGGTGGTCTTCTTTGGCTCGTTCTACCTGATCAACCTGATGCTGGCCGTAGTGGCGCTGAGTTACGAGGAGGAGGCGGAGATCACGAATGAGGTGAGTACTCCGCACATTTTTCTATTGCATTACCAACCTTTTGATGACCGTGCAGGAGCGCAAGAAGGACCTGCTGGACCATCGGGATGACTCTACGTTCAGCTTTGATCCCTCGGTGCTAAACGTGAAGAAATTGAACAAGAACAACAAGAAGAAGATTGATTCTCGGAAGGGCGTGCTGCTGGCTTCCTATAGCAAGAAAAAGACTCGGCGAAAAAAAGGCAAAGGCGGCAAGGAAGGCGGCACCAATGGCAATGGAAACGGCAGCAACGGCAACGACCCCAAATCTCACTCGGCCACGCCCAGTCCGGGACCAAGTCCCCGCCACAGCGCCACGGAACGCCCCTCGGCGCTCACCCTGCAGGCCCAGAAGCAGTACCAGCAGATGGAGCAGCAGCACCAGCTGGCCAAAGCGTCCGGTGGCGAAACCAACACTGCCACTGCTCCCACGCCAAAGGGTCGCATCAGCTTTCAGGACAGCGGCGTGGGCGTGAAGAACCCCAACATGCTATACCCCTCGGACTACAAGGGCCAGCTCATCGCCAGCAGCCGGCAGGCGAGCTCCAACTCCAGCGGCGTGAATCGCGAGTCCTCACAGGACGACTCCGGTGTGGTGGACGATCACGAGGAGCAAGACACGACCAACGATTTGGGCCACGTGTCCACCGTGGAGCTGGCCCTCTCCCCACGCGAGGTGCGTCTGATCAAGTGCAATGGAAACATAGCCCGCATCAAAAATCACAATGTATATGCTTTACACCAGGAATTTTCCTCGGAGGTGGTTGTGATCGGTGAGTAAAGATGTCTTCTTGTTGTATGCACAGTTAATGTGGCGTCTCAACCCATTCTAGATGATCTGCCCGATCGGAACTGCGATCGATGTGTACACTGGTGCACAGACTACGAGAGCTGGCTACAGTTTCAAAATTGCCTATACAAAGTGGTGCGGGATCCTCTTTTTGAGCTGGCCATCACCCTCTGCATCGTGTTGAACACCGCCTTCCTAGCCATGGAACACCACGGAATGAGTGAGAGCTTTCGCAATGCCCTGGATGTGGGAAACAAGGTGAATTTAATATTTTCGGCCACCAGAATGAGTCTACATACCGTTATACTTCACAGGTCTTCACGTCCATTTTCACGTTCGAGTGCATTGTGAAATTAATGGCGCTTTCCAAGGACTTTTTTCTGTGCGGCTGGAACATCTTCGACTTGCTTATCGTCACTGCGAGTTTGCTGGACATCATATTCGAGCTTGTCGACGGTTTGAGTGTCTTACGTGGCTTGCGACTGGTAACAAGAAATCGCTATTTTAAAGATCGTTAATTTACCTTGTTATATTCCAGCTGAGAGTATTAAAACTAGCCCAATCTTGGACTACAATGAAGGTATTGCTAAGCATTATAATATCAACGATCGGCGCCCTCGGCAACCTGACGCTGATCCTGGTCATAGTCATCTACATATTCGCTGTCATCGGCATGCAATTGTTCTCCAAAGACTATACGCCTGAGAAGTTCGACCCAGACCCAGTGCCAAGGCAAGACCTGATCAAAATCTATCTAAGATTTAAAATTAATTAATTCCTTATCTTTGATTAGATGGAACTTCAATGACTTTTTTCACTCGTTTATGATGATCTTTCGCATTTTGTGTGGCGAATGGATTGAACCTCTCTGGGACTGCATGCGTGCCGAGGAGGAGGTATTACTTTCGATCCCATTAATAATTAAGTGTTCTAAAATAAAATGTATTCTGCAGCAAGGAGCCTCCACCTGCTTTGCCATATTTCTGCCGACACTCGTGATGGGAAACTTCATGGTGCTCAACTTGTTCTTGGCCTTGTTGCTCAACAGTTTCAACTCCGAGGAACTCAAATCGAAAAAAGAGGCAAGTCAGATGCTCCGGTTGATCATATTTCGATCTTAGTTTCTTAACGTTCGTGAATGTATATGTCTATATGTCTATGTGTGTACCAGCAAAGGTACTTAAACAACCGAACAACTAAAACCTACTAGCTCCAAAAACGGCGTGTGAAAGATACTCTCTCTCAGCGCCATAAAACGATCCCCTAAAGTGGTTAAGACGATCGATTAGATCGATTTATAAATGTTTGAATTGAATTTGTCTTGCACCTTGATGTGGTTTTCGGTATATGTGTGTCTCTGAGTGTAAGATCTTAGCTTCATCATGATCGCGCGGTGGCACCCCCAATTGAAGTACCAGTTGAATTATACACCATACGATCTGTGGCACTCTTCTGTTATCACGAGCAAAATCAATTATCATTTTCATGTTTCTAAAATCCCCACTAAATTCCATCGCTCTCTGCATTGTGTTACTAACTGGCTAAATGTTATACTCTACTACTTAACTAAAACTATAATAACCCCACCCGGCACAGGAGTTAAAAGGGTGCTTTTCCCCGCCATTTGCTGGGTTCCTCAGTTCGGCTCTGTCCGAAATCTGTATCTTTGGGGTTTGTTCTGAGGGCGCCTATATCTATTCAAACTGCATCCAACTCAGACTCAGAACAAACCTTAATAAGTTTTTCGTTTAAGTCTTTATGTACGTCTACATGTAAAAACAATCTCTAAAATGCACTTAAGCGTAATCCAATTAACCAAATTTCTGTCGTCAACTCTGCACAATGCGTTTTAACCTTAACTTGCCACACGAAAAACACCCAACACTAAACACTATATTAAACAAATAACCCAAACAAACCGAAACTAAAACAATTTAAATACACTGAAAACGTTAAACAGATTTTCAAGAAGAAGGTAATTTTTTCAACTAAACCGTTCTTACTTGCTTTAAACTTGCTTGCCTCGTTTGCGTTAACCAATCCATATCTAAATCCAGACATACTGTATGTGTAAATACTTATATATAGAGTAGTCAAAAGTTGATCAGGCTATATATGTATGTACGTTGTAATCTTTTGTGTTGCCTGCCCTTAGCGTAAATCGTTTTCTGTTCTGTATGCATTGGATCCCTAATCGTATAATGTCAATATCGATGTCTATTCAAAAAGAATCTTGTAGCGAACTCTTCAGTTGAGTTTCCACCCTGATCTTCACTGTTTTCTAATGTTCTGCAATCTCTGTCCCAAATAGGAAGTTGGCGAGGAGTCCAAGTTGGCGCGGAGTATTGAACGCGTTCGTGACCTGATTCGCAAAAAGCGGCAGGAGCGCAAGGATCGCAAGGAGCGAAAGTTCGCGGAGAAGTTCCAGCAGATTGTATTGGATGCTCAGCAGGCGCATGCTCAGGCTCACTCCCAACAGGCTGTAGTCGGTCTGGAGAGGGGCGACAAACCGGGTGTGCTGGCCGAGACCAAGTTCCACAGACTGAGCTATCAGGTAAGTTGACCCCCATATAATTGCCACACAACTTAACTCATCTATATGTTTTCCAGGAGTCTATGAATCGGCCCGTCTCCGGCTCCGATTTTGGTTTCCAGATACCGCTGCACGACGGCTTGCACACGATAGTCGACGGTCTCGAGTATGATGACACGGGAGACTTGCCAGAGCAGATCCAACTGCAGGCGCATCCACTGCCACCCAAGTCAGACTCGCTGCCACCAACCTACGAAAGCGCTATGATGGCCGCCGCTGCCGCTGCCTTTCCGACCGTCAATGGGAATGGCAACAATAACGGGAACGGGATCGGTCAAAACCTGACTCCGTTCGCCCAAGCGGAGCGTCGGCTGCAGCACCAAATATCCTCGGGAGTGAGCACTCAGCAGAACGATTCACGCGAAGAGGCCACTTACACAGAATCCATCGAGCTGCGCCTGCTGGGTCAATACAACTCCACAGACACGGACCCGTACGCTAATGATCAGCGGAGCGGCTGCGGCTCCTTCAACCGCGGCGACTCACTGCAGGACAACTCCTCGCGGCGCTACGGGAGCGAAGAGCACGACGAGGCGTACCTTAAGTACCAAAAGTCCCTGCTGACGCGATCACCAAGCTACCGAAAGTCACTTGATCGCCTGTCCCAATCTAGCGGGCAGTCACAGCGATCGTTGCTCAAGTCGGAGGAAGCTGAGATGCGGCGGCACTCAAGCGGCCACTCCCTGAACTCCATTTCGATCGAACAGGACGAACTGCTGTCCCAGCAGGGCAACCTGCGCGAGGAACTGCTCAACTGCGACCAAAAAGAACTATTTCAGTTTCTACAGGAGGAGGACGAGATGCAAAAGGGGACCAACCTGAGCCGCATCTCAAACGCCATAAGATCTCGGCGGCCCTCCAGTCAGATGGGTCAACCGGAGAGCGAGGCACTGGTAGAGCACTCGGAGTTTGACAACATTATTCAGAGCTTCGAAAAGGAACTGGAGGAGATCAAGCGCTCTACCACGTCATTGGAGCGCAAGCTTTCCAACCTTTCAGAACCCTCGCCGGCCGCCGACGAAGCCACAAAAGCCATTATGGAGCACATTGCCATCATTACGGGCGCTTCAGAGCGCTCGGCCGCCGACGAGGTGGTGCACCCGTTAAATCCCTATGACAGTTACGATTTGTCGAGCGTGCCACGGCGCTCGCAGTCCGTCAGCGCAGCCGCTCAGCGTCAGTCCGTAAAGCTGAAGCGACGCAGCCTGGAAAAGCAGCGCAAGATCGACGAAGACTTCAGCATTTCAAACGAGATACGCAAAATCTGTGATCAAATCCATGCCCCCTTCGTAGCCATGGAAGCCATGGCTGTAGCAGCTACCAGCGCTAGCCAGGCGACCCAGCCCAGTCAATCACCATTTCTTAGGCGCAAGATCGATCCCTTCACGGTGCAGTTCGACCGCTTCAAGCGCCTATCCCTAATAGAGCGCGTGGAGGAGCTGCCCGAGGAGGAGAAACCCATCTCGACATTGCGCATCGAGTCCGAAAAGATGCCGCGCAAGTTTCTCCACGGCCACGATCAGTTGGCCCTAGACAGCCTCTCGCTGAAGAGCACTAACTCGTATGAAAATCTCCTAATCCAGAAGCAGAAGCTGGGCATGGCCACACCTCCCGCCGTTCCCGCCACTCCGCCGACATCCTTGAAATCAAGCATCGAGCCACCGACACTGGCGCAAATTTCATCGCTAAAGACCACCCCGCCGCTGGCTGCTCTCACCGAGCACCAGCAGCACTTTCATGCCACGAGCATTCAGGCAGCACCCACTCACGGCCACGCCCACGCCCATGCCCATGCCCACTCGCAGGCACATGCTCATCCGATGGCTGGGCCGCGGCGACGCCCGGAGCATCCACAATCGACGCTAGACAAAGCCGCATCCTTCCAGTCCGCGCGCACCGAGTCGCACAGCTCGGGAGCGGCTGACACGAGCTCGGCTTTGGCTCTGGCCTTGGGCCATAAGACTGAGCAGTCCCAGTCAGCGGCGCCAGAAGCCACCCAGAAGCCGTCGGCATTCACGAGACTGACCGAAAAACCATGGCATTGTTTGGTTTCCTACGTAGACGATCTCACTGTCGGTGGGAGACGTAACTCGCAGGGAGCTTACAATGATCCCATGACTTTTCCGAGCTACGGGGCCACTAAGCCGCCAAAGGTGCCCGACGACTGTTTCCCCCAGAAGTGCTACGATCAGTAAGTATGACCAGGGATCTCCTCAAGAACTGTTTTAATGTGACTCCCTTTCAGCTTCTACTTCCGCTGCCCCTGGTTCATGAGCTGCATGGACACGCAGAGCGCCAAGCACTGGACGCGCGTAAGGACGGCTGTCTTGGCGGTTGTCGATACTCCGGCCTTTGAGTGGTTTGTGTTGGTGCTGATCTTTGCGTCAAGTATCACGCTCTGCTTCGAGGACATCAACCTGGACAAGAACAAAACGCTGAAGCGCGTACTGTACTGGATCAACTTCTCCTTCTGCCTGATATTCGTCGTAGAGATGATCCTGAAGTGGCTGGCCCTGGGATTCTCAAAGTACTTTACCAGCTTCTGGACCATTCTCGACTTCATCATTGTGTTTGTAAGTGATTTTCAGGAATATTTTTTGCAAGAATGTCTTGTAACATTGTTTGTCTCCTACAGGTGTCGGTTTTCTCGCTGCTCATTGAGGAGAATGAGAATTTGAAGGTCCTCCGCTCGCTGCGCACATTACGAGCTTTGCGTCCGCTGAGAGCCATCTCTCGGTAAGTTGACCAGTCGCTGGTCTTTCGATACGCTGCACCACAACCTTCTCATCCGTGCATCCGGTGAAGAAAGCTCTCTGCGTAGGAACTTCAGCCTCTGCTTCTCGATCTTCCTCTATCAGTACTGATCTATGTGTCTTTTTCCGGGGAGGAGTTGGTCAGACCGAGCGATGCGATCCAAGCCGTGTGCAGTGTTTAATACAATCTCGTCTTCTTTATGGATTTCGAATAGAAATACGTACTCGTAGAACACGCATTGCATCGTCCTCGCCTCCGTCCTTGTCCTCGTCCTAGAATCTGTGTAGTCTGTAGCTGAAGTCTAGACTTACCTCTGCTTCTGTTGTGTTTGTATATTGTAGATAAGTTCATATGTACATATAACTTAAGATAGCTAAATAGTTGACTAAGCAGAGATCCACTCCGCCATCCATCCACCCATCTGTATACGTATCCATCTGACCACAACCGCGACCACTTAGCACGGCCCCGGCACAGTTGAGACGACCTGCGTCCATCCCGTAATGATTAGCATTTCATCGTCCATTTCTATTCCAGGTGGCAAGGAATGCGGATTGTAGTAAACGCTCTCATGTATGCAATACCATCAATTTTCAATGTACTTTTGGTTTGTTTAGTTTTTTGGTTGATCTTCTCAATAATGGGTGTTCAGTTCTTTGGTGGTAAATTTTTCAAGTGCGTTAATGAGATGGGCGAGTTACTGCCGATTACTGTGAGTATTTTTTGGCGGAGATTAATATGCAGCGCCACCCCCAGACTTGGCACTTGGCATATTACTAATCAATGCGAATTCCAGGAGGTGAACGACAAGTGGGACTGCATCGAACAGAACTACACATGGATCAACTCGAAGATCACCTTCGACCACGTGGGTATGGGTTACCTGGCCCTGCTGCAAGTGGCCACCTTCGAGGGCTGGATGGAGGTAATGGCCGACGCCGTCGATGCTCGCGGAGTGGACCTACAACCGCAGCGAGAGGCCAACCTATATGCATATATTTATTTTGTTATATTTATTGTGTGCGGATCGTTCTTCACACTCAATCTGTTCATTGGAGTTATCATTGATAACTTCAACATGCTCAAGAAGAAGGTAAGTCCTTTGGCCTATGCTCCTGCCCAGGTCAGCTTTTCTGCATCCACACGTGAATCACCTGTACATACGCTAACCACTCCCATCGATCCATCTCTGATTTGTATTGCCGTATTTCGATCCAAACGCCGTCATTATGTGTATCTCTAACCGTGTTATTGTGTTGCTATGTTGTGACCAGTTGTTCATAGAATACGTTCAGCATACCGCTTAGTGTGTTACATAACTGTGGATTGTATATATAATTAAATGTTCATTCTATTCTCATCACTTTTATAGTATGAAGGAGGAGTGTTGGAAATGTTTCTCACCGAATCTCAAAAACACTATTACACGGCTATGAAAAAATTGGGACGAAAGAAACCACAGAAAGTTATTAAGCGACCTATAAATCATTTTTTAGCTATGTTTTATGATTTATCCAATTCGAGAAGGTAAACAAACCCGTCAATCAACCATTGAACCAACCAATCTCAATCTAAGACCAGCAAATTACGTATACTTACTTATAGTTTGTACTTACTATTAGTCCTGCTCTGTCTTCTCTGAATCTAAGTTTAACTCTTGTAATAACTCGTAGGCTAACGCGTAGTTGTCTCGGCAAGGTCCATAACACATCTATAGAATGTTTCTGATTTGGTGATAAAATTCATTTGAACACTTGTAATTCCCGGCATTTTTGGTCAAATCCGGTGCTTGTCCCAAACAAACACCGTCAAAAATGTCTCTGTATTCTGTATTCTGTAATCTGTAATCTGTATCCTATATTCAAATGCATACTTCTTGAAGTTCTGTAGAGCACCTTTTGCTATGATGATACTTGCCAACTGGTATAATTTAGATATAATCCGAAATATCGGACTTTCCGCACTCTGGGCATGTTCTATCTATGGGATGAGTAGCTGTCCTTTGGCTCTTCAGGCCGTCCCCTTAAGAACTCTCCCCTTGTGTGTACAACCAGCATGTTTATAAATAGTTTAGATTTAGTTTACTTTATAGATATATGTAAAACGGTGCCCCTCACAATGCCTGTACATAATCTCCTTCTTTCTGAATTATCTTTGGAGCACCGCGACTTCGGCCCGATCGAAGTTTAAGAGTATCAAAACGAATTTAATCGAAATCCCTTTCGTGATGTGCAGGTTCGAGATCGCGATCTTTGTACTGATATTTCTTAATATGCTTACCATGGGCATCGAGCACTATGACCAGCCTCATGCGGTTTTCTTCATTCTGGAAGTGAGCAACGCCTTCTTCACCACCGTCTTTGGCCTGGGTAAGTTATCTTATTCTTTATTTATTATTTCCTGGTTATCACACCGATTGAGATTTTTCTCCTTCCGCAGAAGCCATTGTGAAGATCGTCGGCCTGCGCTACCATTACTTCACGGTGCCGTGGAACGTGTTCGATTTCCTGCTGGTGCTGGCCTCCATCTTCGGCATCCTGATGGAGGACATCATGATAGACCTGCCCATTAGTCCGACCTTGCTCCGCGTGGTCCGAGTCTTCCGCATTGGGCGCATCCTACGGCTCATCAAGGCCGCAAAGGGCATCAGAAAGCTTCTGTTCGCCCTCGTAGTGTCGCTGCCCGCCCTCTTTAACATCGGAGCTCTGCTGGGACTAATCACATTTATATACGCTATCCTGGGCATGTCGCTGTTCGGACACGTAAAGCTCCAGGGCGCCCTCGACGACATGGTAAACTTCCAGACCTTCGGGCGCAGCATGCAGTTACTGTTTCGGTTGATGACCTCGGCCGGGTGGAACGACGTGCTCGAGTCGCTGATGATCCAGCCACCCGACTGCGACCCCTTCATCCACGGGCAGACGAACGGAAACTGCGGACACCCGCTGCTGGCCATCACCTACTTTACGAGCTTCATTATCATCAGCTACATGATCGTTATCAACATGTACATTGCCATCATCCTGGAGAACTTCAACCAGGCGCACCAGGAGGAGGAGATCGGCATAGTCGAGGACGATCTGGAAATGTTTTACATTCGCTGGTCCAAGTAGGTGTACTCTCCCTGGCAGTAGGCCTAGCCGTAGGATCTCGCCAAAAGCTGCCTGGCGAGTTATTTGAAGACAACTGCTGACTATTCGAACCGATTTACTTTCAGATATGATCCACATGCCACCCAATTTATACACTTCTCGCAACTGTCCGATTTTATTGCCTCTCTCGATCCACCATTGGGCATCTCGAAGCCCAATAATGTCGCTTTAGTGTCATTTAATCTGCCCATCTCTAAGGGCAATAAAATACACTGCCTCGACATTTTGCACGCGCTCGTGAAGCACGTGCTAGGTCATGTCGAGGAGACCGATAACTTCAAACAGTTGCAGGAACAAATGGATGTCAAGTTCAAGAAACAGTTTCCAACGCGAAAAGAATTGGAAATTGTTTCGTCGACACGGATCTGGAAGCGCCAGGAAAAGGCGGCTAAGACCATTCAGACGGGCTGGAAGGAGTATTTGCGGTACTAGAATTACCACACCAGCCAATTACCTCACCCTAGCAATCTCAAACGAGCCTCTTTATCCATTTCCTTCGAGATTCTAATCATGTGGTGTCTCTTCACAGGCGCAAGCGGGAGAAGGAGCGCTCCAACTCCGGGGACAGTGCCACTCAGACCTCCAGCCCAGGCGGATGGCAATCGAAGCTCTCTGCCCTAAACTTCTTCCACCTTCAGGTGAGTGCGGGCATTTAGTTTTCACCTGCTTATTCTAATCCCCCGATCCCTTGCAGGTGAGTCGACGTGGCACCGCCTGCTCCAGTCGGGCCTCGTCTCGGAAATCGTCGCGTGCCTCGGACGCATCCGATCTCAGCGAACTGGCCGGACCATGGCTAAACCTGCCCCTGATGCTCGTCTCGGGGGCCGACGACGTGGTCAAGGACATCAAGCAGCAGAGCGACGAGCTGGGCAAACGGTAGTTATCCTGGCTTCACCCGCACGGCCCACCCACACCCACATTTACACATAACATACACACAACAAACACACACTGACACGTAACCATTCCATGTATGTTTGTGTTTCATGGCTGCGATGAATTTGAAATGCAATTTTTAGACGAAAACGAAAGGCTTTCCATGCTCATGCCACCATAACATGCAACAAGAACATAACCGTCGATCTGCATCGATAAATTAACGTTTTGTGTGTCCACAGTGTATATGAACTTAAGCCCTATTTCTAGCAAATCCTCTTGTATCTCCCTAAACTATGAGTCCCTGCTCGCAGACATGGTCACTGCCGTTCTCAGAAGTGGCTCGCAGCCTAGTGGCTTGAATTACCTAGGTAAAGGCAATCTCCCATCCATCAGCTGCTTAGCTTAGCTGGCAACTATAACCTACTACTTACGTACAATCTTAAATCTTACAACAGACAACAATCAGAAACCAATACCAATACCAATATCAGTCTCAAAACAAATGCAACAAGCAATCTTAAAACTTCGTTTTTAGTTCTCGACTATAATTCATCCATACTCGTTGTATATTCAGTTAGATTAAGTATATGTATTTATTGAACCAACTATCCAGTACTCGTACCAGTCGACCTCTTATACGTATTCTATCTAGTATCTCCATCCAAACTCGACTCTCAACTCAACTCAGCTCATTTACGCGAACGCAAGCAAAGTCTGTCAAAAACTCATTTGCCTTCAGAAGTTCTCTACAGCAACTCTCTATTCAACAATTATCAGAACAAGAACCACAGCTAATTGCAGTTTCAAAACATTCGAGTAAATGCCTATAATACGATCATTTGTAAGTAGCGGCCTATTCCTTTGAAACCAATCCGTAGATCCACCCATTCCGACTCACCCGACTCGCCGAAAATAACTGCCGATGGACACGTGAATGCGCAATTTGAGTTCATTTTGATTGGTGCTTGCCCTTATCTAGATCGTTAACATAGTTTTGCTATCGATAAGTAATCCCATTTAGTTTAAACGTAGCTTACCGAACATGTCACCAGGTAATTGGAACCCCAAGACTAAATCTCATTCAGAATCGATTTTCATTGCCATTCATAATGATGTACAGCTTCTTTAGTGTCGAAAGCTTACCTTCTTTCCTTTGTTATTTCGTCAAAAAATTGCAGCTATCGTTGAAACGAAACAATCCTCGACTATTATATGTGAACTGACCTACCCAAACCCAACATTCTACATCCAGATAAATGAAATTTATGCTTATGATTGTTACTGTTATTCCAACTACTAAACTATTACTATTATTAGCGGTAGCATATTTGTGGAAGCGCCTAGAGCAAGTCGTCGCCGAAGCTTTTATAATTTCTTTTTGCGTCATCAGGATGCTGTCGATGACAGCTTAACCTCACCTTCAGTACATAGAAAAAGTAATTATTGACAAGTGCCTACTCACCTACCCAGTTTCCACTCGACCCAATTACCCACCACCCACCACCATCCACCGACCTCACCCACCAGTCCATTCACGATTCTTGCTATTTGTAAATACTCTCTGTACATAGCCACCGCCCGAAAGGCCAGCACCTTGAGCCACCTCTGCACCACTATCTGAATCTCAGTCAGTATCAACCTCACATGTTTGTGGCTTTATCTCCATCAAGATGCATTTCATCGAAACCAATTTCTATGCATTCCTAGTTATAAGCTTACGTTCTTGACTCATCAACTGTTACTCGCTGCGATCTCTCTATCTATAACTATACCTAATCTATCTGTCTATCTGACCTACCTGTCTGTCCACACAACCTTCGTACTTGTGCGTTGTGCCACCACGAATGCCCGACACTAATGCGTGCCTTTCACCCACAACAGCCGCTATGAACAACACGACCAACACCACCTCAACCTCCGCCTCCACCTCTGGCACGACCTCCTCCCCCGCCTCCGCGCCAGCCACTGGGTGTGGCCCAGCAGCCACCTCCGACAGCGACCGACACCAGGCGGTGGGGGGTGGGTCGGCTCCCTCACGTAAGCGCGCCTCTAGTTTCATACGCAAGAAACCGCCCCTAGAAAGAGGTTTGTCAGCACAAAGCGCTTTAAGAGTAAACAAGAACGCTTTTGTCTGTATGTGTGAATTGTACTTGCTATCCCCCTGCCGGACAGCCCACTAAAGTCCTCCTCTTTTGCCGCCTTCCAGCCGAGGCGCCAGCCCCCGAGGTGATCGTCACCAGGCCGTCGCCGGACCAGCAGACGCACCCGCATTCGCTCAGCCTACGTCCGGACAACGCCACCCTGGTCCACGTGCTGGTGCACCGCGAGAGCGAGGAATACAAGGAGGAGGATGAGAGCAGCCCGTCCTCCCCCGGAAACGGACATGGTATTAGCTGTGGCCCGGAGAGGCCGGCCAAGCAGGCGCCGCCTCAGATACGGATCAGCACGGGCTCGGTGGAGAGCACCATGGACACGTGCTCGATGCCCACAGTGCAGATTATGGTGGACAGTCCCAAGGACCCGCCGCGCGGCGATTTCAGCGCTATCGAGGATGTGGATGCACCCATCGATGTGAACGTCCAGGGAGACACATCGCAGGTGTTTTACGAGTACAATCCCGACAAGGCCACTGCCGACCACCAGGATGGTGAGGAGGAGGAGAAAGAAGCGCTGGACGAAGCCCTCCCAGACAAACAGAGATGACCTCCGGTCAACACTCCGCAGCGGGACTCGGAGCGACGCTCCAGCAGTGGCAGCAAGAGTAGTAGCAGCAGCACCAGCAGCGCCAGGAGCAGCTCATCCTCCTCGTCGTCGTCGGCGGCATCGGCAACCGGTCCTTCGGCGCGGCGTCCAAGCTGACAACCTCCAGTCTGAGTGCGTATTCGATGCCGATTCCTGTGTGCATTTGTGTCAGAACTCGTAGTTTCTTAGGCTTAGGCATGGGGCCCGCCCCTTTGTTATCATAGTCGATTACCTATATAATTATATACTAGTCGCTTTATACGATATACACACATATATACACATATACATATACGGAGCTATCCAAATTTATACATACAATATCAATTTAAGGAGGAAATCAATATTAACTATGTTAACAAAAACGTGCATTAAACCGTTGTAGTACTCGAATCAAATCAAAACTCCGAAAGAGTCGGAATCGCCATCACCATGGTTATTGTCACAATCAGAGTTGAGGAAGAGGAGAATGGTCGGTAGTTTACTGCCCGATTTAGTCGTAGTTAGATCGGTTGACCCACAAAAGAGGGAATGAGGGCTAGGTGTTGCACACGGCCATGTATTCTCTCTGCCGTGGGCCGACTTTCTTGAACATTTTCGAAGGTTGTTTTTGAACTATACAATACATAGAGATTGGCAGTACTTGCATACATTACATGTGTAACTAACTATCGCGGTTAGATGTAGGCTCATAACTGTAGTGTTTGTTTTCTCAATTATCGACCTCCATATACAAAGGTATATGTGAATAGTAAGTAAATACATTGTGTACATATGCCAAAGGAAGTATTTTAAACTAAAGAGCTAATACTGTAGTTACAGACATATGACATTAGTTAGAGACAATTTATTGAAATATTTATAAAGGTTTTTCGTTACGATAGCGCATAAAATTGCCGATTACCAATACGATTACGATAGAGAATATTATCCACTACCGATTGTTCGAAGTACAAAAGCGAAGTATTAGTAGATTTGATTATTATTATTATATTGTATTGTACATATCTTATGGCTCCTCCCCGATCCCCTTCGCTCTTTCTCTTCTACATCCAAACGAGCAGTAATAACTAAGCCAAAAACCATGTCAAGTGATTTTGTACTCCACATACTCACAAACTTGAATCAATCTAGTCCCAGTCGGGATCTAGACACTACACTGCACTGTAATCCACATCGTTATCAAACCAATCCAAGGAAACCCGAAATCAATCAGCAGTCCTACCTATGTACCAGTTGAAATAACTTTTATGATTGTGAGTTTAGTTTAGTTTATTTTCGATTAAGTATAGCCGAAACAAGCGAATCAATACCAAGACGCAACCAGTGTGCTCTCCTATACAAAGAACAACCGACAAGCTTCCACAAGAACTCTATTTTAGCAAAATAATTTACAATTTACACTCGACTTCTTTGTACGACTTTGATAATGGTTAAGTCGGGCCAAGTTTCCAAGAAACTCGCCTTGTTTTGTTACTTTTTAAGTGTTGTTCTCTCTTTTAAGTCTCCATTGTGATCACATTAAGTTTAAACATCGAACAGAAAAAGGAGTTGAGGAGTGAATAGTTTATACTCCGAGCGGGAGAATACGAACAAATACCGAAATACTTATGCACACCCGCACATTCAGGGCACTCCAATCGACTCCAGTCGAGTCTATGCTACTCTTACTCTACTTTCATAACTTAACAACAGACAATCAGACAGCGATTGATAGTAAATTGAAATTCTATGGTACCAACTAAATCGTTTTCTCCAGGAACAAATAACCAAATGAACACACAAAAACTTAATTGTGATTTTAACTGCAATTTTTACACAGAAAATAAAACAACTAAGGTCATAACTTTTAATTAGAATTGTTAACAAATGGAAAAACCAACAACAGACAGAAACCAAACACTCGTCAATTAAGTGATATTTAATATTGGTACGTACTCGTATTCGATTGTACATAAACGAAAAACGATTATGATAATGGTAACGAAATAGCAATAGAACCTCATCCAACCACAAAAAAATCAACAAAAAATGCAAAAAAAGAGAAAAGCTTTAATTTTAGTTATCTTCAACAAAAATCGATTATAAAGATATTACGATTACAGAGCGAGGCGAGACCAGTCGGAGCGTTGCAATGATGTGGGATGTTTAATTTAGTCATAGAGTATAACGACAATAAAATGAATGAGGCATATTCAATTATATAGACGCAAATTCGAGTCACCGTTACCGAAACCAAAACTCAAATTAACAACAGGCAGGCCACTCACACAGAAACCCGGGGATTAACGACAAACTTAGCCCTTAGATATTATCGAAACGTACTCGTAATCGCAGTAGAGAAGCTTTGCTCCCAGTCAAGTCAAGCCAATAAGCCAATAGCAAAACGAACCAAGTGAAACCGAAACAGAGGAGAACAGAACCGAATCCTATGCATTTAAAGCTCACGGCACCGCAGGCAGGACATTAGGATGAGCTCCCGGGATGCGCGATAGGTGGATGCATGTCGCAGGAACACATAAAGTACACAAATATATACCTATAGTTAGCAATACGGCTGGTTTAATTAGGCATGCCTTACAGAATACACGATTTTATTTATATATGCATATTTATTGTTGAGATTAAAGTATATACGAACGGTAGGAGTAAACGTTTCATCGGTCACGCCACCAGCAGCAATAGAAGACGAATAATAACATTAAAAGCAGGAGCCAAACATAAGCAGAATCAGAAATCGTAGAATTGTTTAACGAGCTCCGAGAACTAAGTCAATTATTTTAATTTGCCGCTTTTAAGGTCCTAGTCCTAGTCCTGTAACAATAGCAGCGCAGCTAAGGCGTAATAAAGAAGAGTAACTAAACCAAAGTTTAATGATAATTCGAATTCTAGCTTAGCTTAATCATTGCCTGCGCTCCACTCGCTCCAAATACGCTCCAACGGATCAAATCAGAGTTCTGGCTCAGCTTTTTATCCGTTGCTGTCGGAAACCATTTGAATCGATAATTAGGCTGAAAATTGTTAACAAATTACCGCATAGTTTGCATCAATTTCCACTCGGATTCCCATTACCATTGATTGCCTCGTTAGCCCTATAGGTCCATGAAATTCGATTTGGTCCGCTACGCTCAGTTCAGCTCTGACTTAAAAAACTATGATAGACAAGGAAAACGCAGAAAATAAAAATTAAGAATCCATTAACCATAATATGTGACTAACACACATTTTGAACCGAATCATATCAAATCAAAACAAAAGAAAACCAAGTAAAGGGAATAGCTAAATGAAAACTCTAAGAAGCGTAAATCTAACATTTGAAATTAAATATTTACTCGGGTACAAATGGTACAGTAAAGATATTCGTTTATACAATATTTACTGTCTATATAACCATTATATACTACTTACTTACTGACAATTATTAAGGTTTTTGTTCAACTTCATTACTCGTATGTTAATAAAAGCAATTTCCGACTAAATCGGTTCATTCAATTCAATGTTAAATGCAAATCGATCGAAAGGTCGATTAACACTTGTAACACTTGGTCCAGCATGTCACACTTTGGGGACTTTTCGCAGCGCTGAAAATACCTGATTTATTACAATTATTACAAATTATTAAACCGAGTTGTCGGCTTCTGAAATTACATCTTATTGTGGCCTGAATCTCTTCATTCGTCCAAATTTGTTAACGATATGTTAGTATAAACTACTACCGACTAACTCGGCTGTTTTAACTCAAAGTTAAATGCAAATCGATCTCAAAAGTTTATTAGCCTAATAAATACTATAGCTAGAGTAATAACATAGGGCCCATCAGTTTCGATCCTGGAGCAGCTGCAACACCTGCTCCAGCCTGTGCTCGATTATCTTTAACCGACCGTCTTTGATCTGCTCCTGCTTTCGGCTCTGCTCCATGCTTTTCTTCTTGTCGATCACAGCCAGGGCCAACTTGACCGTTCGGCCGTCCATCTGGGAGCACTTTCCGGTAAGCACGGAGCAGCAGCAGGGCAGGAGTTTTACCGGAGGGTCCAGCAGTTTCTTTTGGGGCACATTCGGACTCATGGGCAACTGCTGGAAGCTCGCCTGGTTGTTGCCCTTAAGGGTCTTCAGCTCGAAGTCATCGCTCATAGGTATGAGCACTTTGCTCCCATCGTTCGGCAGCACAGTAATCTGGCGGAGGCTTAAGTAGTTGGGGTAGATGTTCATCAAACGTTGGCAGATGCTCCGTAAGAGATGATTGCCCATCAAAAACCCAGCTCGCCCGTGGCCAGTAAGAACCTGTTCATATCGACTCAAGACGTTGGTCCTGCAAATGGCACCGTTCAGTTCCGCCTGCGCCTTGATAGCCTGAATATTGTGGGAGAAGAGGTGAGCCGAGGACAAGGGAATATAAGTTCAGATGGACCCACCTGGGTATCGCTCACCGCCAGACCGTTCAGCAGGTTGAACAGCACAATCGTCATAAAGATCACGAAGAGGAGGAAGATAAGGTAGGTGTAGACACTCGTAAACTTGATGTCTCCGGCATCGAACTCGCCCGTCAGCATCACGATGGTCTTGATCAGGGCCTCGATGGGCTTGGAGAAGGTGTTGAAGTCCCCATCGCCCTCTCCCCCCTCCGCAGACACTTCTGCCTTACCGAACAGGATGTAGAAGCACAGACTGAAGGTCAGCACGAAGATCGAGTAGAGGGCGAAGCTCTTCACGAAAGTGCCCGAGACTTCGCGCAACATGAGCATGTGGGTGGAAATGGAGAGCACTGGAAGGGAGCCCACCAGCAGGCAGAACTCCATGGCGACCAGTAAGATGGTTAGGACGGCCAGGACGCGCTTCGTCTCCTTGTCGAAGTTGGATTCCATGCAGGTACAGATGGATAAGATTATCAGAGCGACCTCCATGATGTTTGTTATGGACCAAAAATACCGAACTGGAGACATAATCCACTGGGTGCACTCCCGAATTATGAGATAGCCAATTCCCAGCCAGGAGAGGATTCCGAAAACGACGGTAAGAGCTCTGAGATCGCTCTCGTGATACTTTAGGAGAGTGTGGGCGATAATGGAGGCGGTGAAGAGCGAGTAAAGCAGGAAGTTACAGTAGAAGATCACGGATAGCCGGTGCCACTTAAGGAAGAGGAAGCTCGAGATCAGCGGGTGCTGCAGCAGGTGGCGAAACTCCTTTGAATCGGCCATGAACGCGATTGGGGCCATCTCGTCGTGCAGCTGATTGGAAGGAGCGGAAGGCTTGCCCGCTCCAGAATCCCTCTCCTGGCGCATCAGGTTCTTGTAATCGATGATGATCTCAAAATTTCGTTCACCCGGCTTCTCTCCGTTTGTGGTGATGCAGGAGTCGAACTGCTCCTCGAGAACCTCGGGTGGCATGTCTTGGATGGGCAGCGTTCCAAAGGCGCTCTTGGTCCCAATGTAGGCGCCGTTGTTCAGGAGTTTCTTCATCGCCATCGTGTTGCGATTTAACACCGCATAGGAAAGGGGCACCAGACGCCCCGAGTCAGCCTCGTTGATGTCCACGCGATCGGAGTCTACGAGCAAATCGAAACAGCGCTGATGGTTGAATCCATCATATGGCTGTTGCTCGAGACGACCAATTACCGCGTTCAGTAGCTTGGAATCTTTGGACAGCCGTAGGCTTGGCTCCTTTAGCAGTCGCTCCAAGGCTTGCCAGTTGCCAAAGATTACGGACGTCTCGACGAGATTCGCTTCGTTGGGCGAGCCAGGCCTCGAGTTGATGTCGATGCCAGTCGTTAGAATGGCTTCGAAGGCTCTCTGCCTGCCTTTCTTGATGCTTTCCTGCAGCAGACTAAAGAACTCCTCCTGGTGGGTGTTCAGTTGGTTGTCCTTATGGGCATCTTTATGACTCTGCAGGTATTCTGTGAACTGCTGCTCGAACAGTTCTTCGTCTCCGTCCCGCAGGGTCCGTTGGAGGGTCTGGATGTCTATCTCCGGCCCGGTCTGGCGCTCTTCCGGCAGTGTGAGCTCCGGGTACTGCGCCTGCAGCAGGCGGCGCACCTCTCCTTTTCGGTAGCTATCAATGTCCAGCTCCGGTTGAGCCAGAAAGAGCTGAACGAATTCTTGCTTCTCGGCCTTGACCTTGCTCTTCCTGAGCACATGATGCAGGGGTGTAAACTCACTCTGATCCACGGTGTTGGGCGAGGCGCCGTAGCCCAGCAGAAGCTTCATGCAGGTTAGCACCGCCGGGGCATTCTCCTCTGTGAGATTCTTGGCCAGCGAGTTTAGTGGCGTGAGTTGCGCGTACTTTCTGTCAACCTGGACCTTTTGGCCTGGACGGGGACTCAGAAGAGCTGCTAGGTTCCCGGGATCCCTCGAGTCGGCGGCATAGTTGACTGCGGCCTTGTTCAGCTTTTGATTGATCTGGGGAGGCGAGATATGGTTAGTTGGGAAAAGATCTCTGCTTCCAGATACACTACTCACGTGGTTGACCTGACTGCCGTGGTCGAGGCAAGCCTCTATAAAGTCCCTGCTGCCCGGTGTGGAGAGCGCCTTCTCGAAGATGCTCGTGCCGCGGTCGTCCTGCAGGTCGGCTTGGGCACCGCAGTCCAGGGCTGCTTTGAACTGTCGGATGTCTTGCTTGGCCAAAGCTGCAGACAGTTGGGCCTGCGGGTCGATGAAGCCGCAGTTGTTTAAGTCCATTTTTGTGGTCTGCAAAGAGAGAGCGGCAACGGAGCGGATGAGCAATGTCTGTGTGGGCTGGCTCTTAGGTAATTAACCCACGCGTCGGATGAGTAACGATCAGTCTGAAGTGAAGTGATGCAAGAACCCGCATTGCTCACTTAACTTCTGACCCCAGCAAGCTTTTGGTCCCCGAAACCTTGAAAGGCTAAAACAATGGCATGGGACTGGACGCTCACAGAAAACGGCATTTGACATCGCTTCATGCTACGATGGTTTTCACATGGAGTGGACGTGAGGCTGAGCCGAAAGCTGCCCTACAGGTTTCTGGGCAAATCTCCGTTTTGGGGGCAATTAAAG